GTGGTTATGAATGAAGACGTTCATGCTGTAGTTACCATTGTCACTGACATAATGTACCATACTGATAGGTACGACAGTTATCACACCCGTCACATGAACGTGACTGTTAGGAAATACAGCAGTATGTTAATGTAAGTTTCGTTTTAACTGTCTTTATTAGCCAGCACAGCAATTGTGTGAATGCTGGGAATGTTCAACCCTGAATGAATTTCAATCTTTGGCTTTAAGTAATCTTCCACATCAAGACGAACACTACTGATAATAACTTGTGATAGTAATTAGTTTTTAAGAAGTACTCAAAGCCATTGAAAACGCAATTGTTTTGATGAAGGCACTTGTGAAAAGAGAAATTGTCCAAAACCTTTTTAAACATCATGATAGTGCTCTGAGGGATGTGTGTCCCCCTTTGACAGTTCGGGTTCGAGCCTCAGACCATCTTGGAGCAATGAGTCTGAAAGTGAAAAACGCAACTGTTAATACTGCACAGAAAAACAACCACTGTTGCTGGCGACATGCTACACGTGAAAAGCCAGACCCCAGGTCCTTTAAAAGCATACGCGAAAATGGTCATCGGTCACGTGTTCAATATGCCAAGACACGACCAAGCCAGCAAGAACCAAGCGATCGGAATGTTGGAAGAAGGGGCAACTCAAGTGATTTAACGTTCATCCATCCACGATAACTCGACTGTAGCATCGTTTCAACACAAGATGGACAGCTGCTGATCGTCCGAGACCTGTTGCAGCACCTGTGAGAACACAGCTAGGAGGACTTTTGGGACCCGTCAACGCCGCATCAGCACCCAAACAATCAGAAGGAGCCTGGCTGCGTTTGGCATACGGTGCCGTCGACCTTATCAAGGGAAGATCCTGCAGCTCATGGGGGGAATGCAGAATGCACCATGGGAAAATTTCTTTTCTAACGAATACCGTTACAAGATCAGTTATCCTGATGGACGTCGCCGTATCTACCGACGTAGAGGACAACGCTTCGCTGACAAAGGTGTTTTGGAAAGGTATCGCTTTGGAGGAGGCGCTGTACTGGTATGGGTTGCCACCAATGCTCGTTTCCAGTCACAGTTGTTGGGTATCCAAGACAACCTCGATGATCGAGGTTATGTGAAGATTATCCTTCGTCCAGCACTATCGCTCACAATTTCCATGATGAACTGGCCTGCCATGTTATTTGACATGAATCGAATTGAGCACTTGTGTGACGAGCTTAGATGGAGGGGGCGGTCGGGTTGCCTAGTGGTTAAAGCGGTCGCTCGTCACGCCGAAGACCCAGGTTCGATTCCCGAAATTGGTACAATGTGTGAAGCCTATTTCTGGTGTCCCCCGTTGTGATATTGCTGGAATATTGCTACAAATGGCGTAAAGCCATACTCACTCACTCACTTAAATGGAGGGTTCAAGTTCAACAGCAATCACCTCGGACAGTGGTAGAACGTTTCCTGAGGCGTCTGTTTCAGTCCATGCCTCGGCTACTACAGGCATGTGTCAGAGCACAATGTGGACATACCCGCGTGGATCGATGCTCATGATTTCAATCACTGGATTGTCTGGTCTAGCCTCGATTATTTACAGACCGCCGTCATATAGCTTAGGTATTGCTGTGTGCGGCATTAAACAACAAACATGCCCGCTACTGATCCTCGACGACCCCGTCTTTTCCATTGCTATCATTTCATGTGATGGTTATGTTTGTCATTATTGTTAGTTTCATTTAGTTTTCTTTCACTGTCATAAAATGCTCCCATCTGAACATTGAATTGCGTTTTAATGGCTTTGAGTATTATATATATATTAATATTTAATAAATATCTACGTTCTCTCATCGATTTAGTAAAATTGACATTTTCTTAAAACAAATTAAACTTGTTATTTTCCATTAAAAACATGGAAAACACAAACAACGAACAATAAGAATCATGCACACTCATTGGTTCAATTTCAAGACAAGAAATGAGTCTGCTCAAATATATATCTGGCTCCAAACAAGCTGGCCACTCTGCCTGAGGCTATTTTGTTATATACCTTTCCGAGTTCATGATGTTGAAATAGTTTGTTACATCAGCTCAAGACGACAAAATGTATCACAACAAATTATAGCCCCCGTTTTATTGTTCAAGGCATTAAATTGAACTGATATCTAGTTGGAAAAAACATCCCTCGTTTGTTGAAAACGATTACGAATCGTTATCGCAGAAGATTCAAATTCAAACGTTTATTGTATGAAAGTCCATAGGCCCAAATACATGATCATGAAGTGTGTACTCTAGAGTGTTGAATCAGTTTATTAATAGATTCACATGTTTCATTGAAGTACTTTTCCGCTGTTGAATGCCAACTTAAAATGTAATATAACAGATTTCAATTTGTTGTTGCCCTATGGCGAATACATTGCTGGGACGAGTGTAGTTTTATATTCATTTAGTTTGTATTGCGTTTGAATGTCTCCCGAGGAAGGGCATATAAAGGTGAAATGATACAGATCTTCGACATTGTTTAGGTTACAATAAATACTTAACCTTTCAGATTTTTTAATTTTGTTGTGTCTCCCAGTGTCAATATTAACCCTTGTAATCCAACTCGAGCAAGAGCAAAATTAAATCGGTAGCAAATGCACACAAGGTCGAATTTGTTAAATCTTGTGTTCTGCTTAGATGACTGAAGAGTCGAGCTCAGAGCTTACCTAGTGGTATGTAACACAATGAATTTTGCGGGTCAGGTTTTAATCATAACTTTTATCTTTAACTGCAGTATTAAGTGTTTAAGTGATTAAGGAGCATCACTTTAATCTAGCTCAAACAATCTGTAGATGATATCGATTAGAAGTTTATGTGATCAGCTCACTGTCACAATACACACCAACCATGCCTCGGCTCAACACTGTTATAATGAATATACCTTTTTATAGAAGCTTTATGGAAAACAACCTGTGACTTTTTTTATAGACGTTATCAAACGGAGGTCGACATCTTACCATTTAGACCAACACTCATTCTTTGTGATTTACAAGTTGCCATCAGTTTAATGAAAAGTAATACATCAAATACGAGTCAACAGTTTTGTTCACATACCGTTTTCCCACGTTCACCATATTTGTATTATGTTTTTAAGAAGTCCAACCCGCGAGAAGGCGAGATTCCATACGAAGAAGTTGCTCTGCAAAGCGGCATGGCATCTATTACTGACGAACCACCCGGAAATCCAACTATTGCATAGCTCAGAGCAGAGTGAGCTATATCCGTACCATGTATGGAAGGGTGATCGGATTACTGTGAAAAGCAACAAAGGTCATTTAATTTGTCAGATATATTTTTCCCAAAATATTGTAAAATCACTTCTTTATGGGTTTTCATGAACTGTCCCTTAGTGTCTATGTAAATAGTTATCTATATTTACAATATGCTGTTACGTTTATTGTAGTCACTGAGCTTCAGTGTCACTACTACTGCTAAATTGTTGCTTGGAATTGTATTGTTTTTATATAGAGGGTGTCATGTGGTGATGAGACTGCGGTACTCAACTCTTCTTATAACGCCGATGACGGAAGTGTTTCTCCTTTCAAACCAGCTATGATATTGCTGACAGTGAGATTACACGGTTTCTTGTGGTGTCTGTAGCGCTGCCCAGATGGGGAATCACAAGGCAGTTATCAAGACTCAGCAGGGGGTGGTCCGCCGGAAGTGGATCGGGAGAAGTGACGTCAAGGGCAGCACCACCAATGACCCCAGTGGTCAGCGCTTCGTGGTTTACTAAGACCCCGCGAGAAACGTTCACAAATATGGCTGATGTCTTCATCTTGTCAAAACCGCCCTTGTTGAAAAGACTTTGATTTCCCTTGTTAATAGAGCAAGTTGGAATTACAAAATCTGCGTGTTTGAGGAGCTCGTCAAAAGGCACCATCCAGGCTGGCGTCATCTTTTTGTCCACTCCCACAGTGGATGATACGGGATAACCAAATGACTTTAGCCGCTTCCACTTCCGGGTGCAATTCTGCCAAGCCCAACTATTCCTACGACTCCCGATCTCCTTCCCAGCCACCCAGACGGTGTTGTCTCATCGCGCTCCCCACACGCTGTTTATCTCCTAATTTGCTTTTGTTATCTTAGTTGTAGATTTTCCGTGGTGTTGATGTTTGGAGATGCTGATTTGGAAATATACAACTGGTGAAATAATGTTTTCATTCGTGCGCTGAAGACAATTGTGATATGTGTAACCTGAAACCTGTTTCAGTTAGACCCATGCAAACAACGATGTCAAATTTTAAGGGGTAGAGGATTGGCTAATGTTTAAAGTGTTAGCTCTTCACGCCACTGGCCCGGGTTCTATTCCCCAAATGGGTAGAATGTGTGAAGTCCAAGCCTCTTGTACCCGTTGTTATATTACTGGTATATGGCTAGCAGAGTGTAAAACCCAACTCACTCACTCCAACTGTAAACAATGGAGTTAGACAAGGTGCTACAGTAGCCAAATTGACATACAACGTGTTTGTCAAACATCACTTGTCAAGTCAATAATGGTTCACAATACTCCAAGCCCATCTTATCAAATCAGTATGCCACAAATAAAACCTTTAGTATTTGGTAACGTATAGAATAACAAACGACGAGTATTATGCCATTGCCACCGTTAGTTTGATTTGATGGCAAACATAAAAATCATTGATCATCAGTAATATTCCATCATTGTCTGTACATGTTTTAGTCTCAGTTAGACTGCAGTTTCTTCAAATTACGACAAAAACATCTATCGTTGTTTTACTCATGCACTCCAACGCATACAAGTTCATTTTGCATTAATCTAGAGTGTGTGTCATCTGGAGTTCACAACATGCGCAATATCACCTATTTGGACTCGGACGCATTACAAAATCGATGTTCAATTTTCCTTTGTGGGTGTTTCATGCTTTTGAATATATCACACCCTTGCAACACGTGTGCAAATACAAAGTACCCGGAGACTATAAATGAGCCCTAGACGCAGACTGTCTGTACATACTGACATCATGGAGAAGGCCATTATTTGTTGCATATTCGCTCTGATGTCACTAGCTCTCTCTGCAGGATCTGGGTTAGACAAATCAAGCATACTGAAATCCTTGAACCTCCGAATGAAGACCACGGAACGTCAGGCATTCACTACAGCACTCCACGAAAGAACAATGGGAAGGATAAGTGAGTGTTCACAATCGTACAAGTTTTTAACATGAAACCGTTTCCAAACCTCCAGTAAGAGACCTGGAACTGATAACTGATAGTATCTGTATATTATGCATCAATGCAAAAACCGAATCGTGAGACTGACCGATTCAAAAGACTCACTAAGGGTCGGGCCATTTCAAATTAGGGGTTGGGATAGAGTTATGTTGTTTTTTCTTCATTTTAGGGGCTGAGATATTTTTTCTTCTGAAAAGAGAGCCGAGATTCTTTTACGGCACATTTCAAAATCAACAGTTTCTCACTGTACACACAAACATAATAACTGTGCAGATGTTGGGGATTTTATTACATTTAGCAGGGCATTATAAACAAAATTACCGGCTGTATGCACACAGAATAAATCAAGAAAGCCTATGTGTTCCTTATTTCCGCTCTCGCTTTACCTTAGCACAAGGTTCCAGCCAAGACAAGCAGGGAAGCGGAGAATCCATGAACGCCAGACTCGAGGCTGTGGAACGTCAGCTTTTGGCCTCAAATCAACGCCGCAACACCGGTAAGTGTTGGTAATCTGTTTACTATAGACTCATGGATATTAGTGTAAACTATCTCAAAGGATTTGCAAACAATTTTCAAAGTACAACAAAATGACATGTGAAAACAGACATAATTCACACATGTACAAACTTCGTATTTACAAATCGAATCTCTGTTCAAATTATATCAAAACGTTTATGAAATGTGAAATAAGAATTTGGTACATTTCATTGTTTATAGTTTCCATCTGTCCGTATTGATTACAAGTGTTAAAACGTTTCAAACGGGAACGAAAGGTAAGTGTTACAACATGCAAGGGAATATGAATCTAATAAGGAAATGTTTGAGTTGCAAGATAGATTTGCGTGTGTAAACATTTATGCATATTCCGTAATGTTCATAGGTTTTTTATGTTCGACCACAGTTTCAGCTGAGCCCTGTTATCACTATCCCTAGTTTGGCCAGTAACCATTCTGGGTTTTACAAATGTCCCTTGTGGACGTTGATCAAGCTGAAACTCGGCATGCGTGTTTCAATGGACATACTTCAAGGGCTATGATCAAAATTTACACAACATGCCCGGATGACAGCTTCCAGCCTTCGTCTCATTCCTCCAGTAAGTCATCTGATTTGCTGAATGGGCTACTGCAGCCATTCTCGAGAAAGAGCTGACTCCAATGTGGCCAGAGTCTGTAACGGTGCGTACAGTGCATGTACTCGAAGACCCAAGATGTCCAGCGGGTTCAGGTCGGGAATCATGGCAGGTCATGGCAGTGTCGCCACAGAGTCATTCTGATGAAAAGCTGTTACTGTCCGGGAACGATGAGGCCTAGCATTGTCCATGTACACAGGTCGTGTGGCGAGTGGCTGGTTGTCGACATGCGGCACAACAACTGGTTACAGGACGTTATGAAAGTACCGATCACCATTAAGGTTTCCTTGGATGGTGACAAACAATTACCGAACCTCCACCATACGGGGTCGTAGGTCATTATGTTCCATGGTGTATATGTGTAGGCCATATGTTATACCTCCAAACCCTCAATCGGCTCGCCGTGACATGAGGCAGGAACCCTGCTCTCAACGGACCAACGGACTCGCCAAGTCCTCAGATTCCAAGCTTTCCGGACCAAACACCATGCTAAACGAATTCTCCAATGAAGAGAAAGAAGGTAGCTTGATTACCTACCTGAACTTCATTCTCGTCGATTTCAGTAGATTCCTTAATGTTCTTCTTGATACCCCTCTATTGGTAACCATTGTTGACGACGTAAAAGTCGAAGCAGGGTCATATCCTCACGCCTTGACTTCATGCGAGGTCTTCTGGTCGTGGGAGATCCTGAACACAATTGGTTTGCCCGTGATTTCGCGCCAGTCTGCTGATTACGGTATAATGATACCTTAATTGACGACTTGCGCTCTTGCCTGTCGAATGCATATCAATGATACGTCATCTTTGCACCTCTGATAACCGTCACAGATAATGCTTCAACAACGCAAGACAATTACGTTAAATATCCACAGTTGCGACTGTACTGTCCTATCATTTCGACGAACACCATTTTGGGGCTTTTCATCACGAAATTTACAGTTGCGAATGGCGATAATTCAGTATGAATTATTTCCAGGGATGCTCAACCTTTTGCCTTGTCTAAATTAAATAAACAAAGGTAAGCAAAAAGTATAGGCAGGCCAAATCTTGCAGACACAAGTGACTACAGGAAACACTGTTGTTTTGACTGTTAGCAACGTTCTACTTCTTAAGCATACATATTTACCATACTCAAAACCGTCATATTTGAAAACATATGAGCTGCTGACAAAATGACAATGAAACGAATACCTGAGTTTTCCTTAAGCTGAATGGTTTTGGAATGTAGGCTGCTATTGGTTGATTTAAAACATATTTTATTTACGGAAAGAGCAAACTGCTCCGTTTTATGAATTTATGAAAGTTATCGGTCTTAACCTCTCCCAAAGCCGTGGGTATTGGACACCAATAGATTGACTACAGCTTCGGATAAAATAGGTGCGCATTATTGGAAGACTTGTTGTACATGATACTTCCTGACTCCCATTGTCAGCAAAGCCTAAGCGACTGAATGGTCTTTGTGTTGTGAACGCGTCTGATTGTTCCTTTTAGAACTGTCGTTCTGAACTGTGCACAAAGTTTTTCTCTGTTTACTACATGTGCGCTGGATTATATAATCTGCTATATACCAGCTTGATTTACGGCAGAGCTTTCCCGTCAGCCGATTGCCAGATTGTTAACTTTGGACGTTATATCCATGCAATTCAAACAAACTGTGTTTTGTATATGCTGCACGGAGATGTGTGGTGTTGGTTGGTGAGTTTGGGTGGCACATATTAATATTGATATTTTCAACATAAAATGTGTTCCAATACACACGATTATCGGCCAGAACGTATTCCACGGGGCGTAAAAGACACAATAAAATGGTATACCTTCTATAACAAATCTGTTGTCTTCCATTATTTCAGGAATGGTGAGGAACGATGTGTCTTTTGAGGTAACGTGCAGCAGATCGAGAACTTATACTGTCTATGGAAATCAAATCTACAGGTTCGACACAGTAACCTTAAATAACGGAGGAGGGTATCACAAATCCACCGGTGTGTTTGAAGCGCCAAAGTCAGGCACCTACCTGTTCTGGGCCAGCATACTACCGTATAATAAAAAAACTGTAAACGTGAGACTAATCAAAGAAGGAAGACAATTAGTCAACACTGGCTCCAATGATGCTTCACCTTCGAGTTTCTCCTACGTTGTACACGTCAGGCGAGAAGAGAAAGTGTGGTTCGAAGCCGGTGGCTACACAACCACCATCTACGGACATCAACACTCAAGTTACGGTGGAACCTTGATTCATCAGCAATAATGTGAATTTGAAATTCTTATGTTGAGATCTTAATAAAGCTGCACTGACAAGCTGACTTCACAAGAGTTTGTTTTTATAATGGTCACGAATCCAATTTCCACTGAGTTATTTATTTATTAGCTTCAACAGAATCAGTAACTGCACTGTCGTGTCACTTGATTGTCTGGTCTGTTATGCTTAACTCCTCACATCGATAGACCCGAGACGGTCTTCGGCAACCCGTGCTTGTCGTAAAAGGTGACTATGCTTGTCGTAAAAGGTGACTATGCTTGTCGTAAAAGGCGACTAACGGGATCGGATGGTCTGGCTCGCTGACTTGGTTGGTGCATGTCATCGATCCCGAGTGCGGCGTTAAACACCAAACAAACCAACCAACCAACCGCACATCGATATACCTGTCAATCATAAGAGCAAACAACTTACATTTATACAATGACTGAATATATTTTTTTCCGTAATGTCAGCTTAGGGTGAACTCAGTTAGCACTTGTCACTTTCAGGAATATCTTGACACCATATTGAACACTTTAATAGCACTTGCCTTTACGACCTGGGTTACAGATACTTATGTCCTAAGTGATCTATATTTATGATCTTCTTCTGCATGCTTACGATTCCACATGACATTACACAGGTAACCGGGTCGATGATCTTGTTTTAGACCAACTTCGGGCATAAGAGAGAGAATTTATGGATGTCAACTTCTTTATTATGAGGAAACCAAGGTTTCGGAGTTTTTGCTTACTCCATCAAGTCAATGAATGCTAGGGTGCAGAGAGCATATATACATATGTACATGTAAAAACAACAAAAGTAATAAGATAACAAAGATGGAAACATCAGCAAAGGAAACTAACACAGGCAGAGGATGATTTCAGTAGACTTTGGTTCCTTGGTTCTTGCTTTAACTGGTAGTGCTACAGGTTATAGTAGTTCTGCTCCAACGCCTTAAGCAAGTAATAAGGATAATGTATGTAAAACAGTATATATAAAAGCATTCAAAGCAATTAGGAGACGCTCTAGGAGAGCATGCAGGAAATGCTGCATCTGCACTTGGTATATATATTAGGACGTATTGTACCCTGGCTCTTGAATTTTATAAGTTAAAACTGCTACTTGGCAAAGTACAAACTTATGGGCAGTTATTGTAGCAATTGAAGTGATGTTGTATGGAACTGCTAAATATGAAGTCTAAGTCCAAATCATGAGTAAACCTGTTGTGACTCCACCTACTAAATGTCAAGGTTTTTCATCGAAATGTTGCTGGTTTTAGGTTACAATATGTGGAGGTTGTTCAATGTTACTGAACGTGGTTGAGATGTTACTGCTGTGTTTGGCTGAATTACTGAACACGGTTCAATTAGAGTGGAGGACTGTGGTTTGACTATTCCTGTTTCATATGTGCTTTGCTGCGTTGTTAGGGTGGTGTTATGATCTTAATCGATACCAAGTGTTTGTTTATCAGTAGCAATTACAGTTTTATTATTTTAACCTGCCACTTGTCCAGTCTGAAGTTCCATGTTACTTGGTGACATATACGGACCTATTTAAAAAAACAAAGAACAAACTTTAGAACCACTATACTGTAGTACATCTGGATATAGCTTGATAGTCGGAGGTAGATCAACAGGCGACGAAATAGCAAATTCTACGTTTGCAGCAAACCGCTTTTGTGCATCAAATGCTGTACCTACACCAATGATATTTGTATGTGTTTCTGCCTGGGCTCCAACGGGAGCCAATACATAACTTCTGATTGAGTCATTAAGTCAGTCAATACCAGGATGAGCAAATACCTCTGATTTATATACGATGTTTTTTTCTATGCATTTTCAGGTTCTTGTCGTTGCTCAATCTTTCGGACAGTGAAAGCAACACGACCCTTAAAGTTCTTAATGTCTTATATCCACTCTTGAATCCAGAGCGCAAAGTCCTGTTGAAGTATGTCCCTTTTGAGTAAATCATGGCTGACTTCTTTAACAGAGCGTGTGCCACTGTATGGAATACCTAGGCCATGGTTAACACTGACGCCAATCTGTTTTTGAAGAAATAGCAAATTCACCGTAAATACGTTCATATACCCGCTGATTATAAGGATTATTTGATGCATTTCATGCTTGATCCTGTAGTAATGTAGTAATGTGCACTTATTTCTGCAAGGATACGTCTAATCTGATAGTATACACGAAACACGAAAACCGACTTACTATGTTTGTCAGTTGCTGAAGAACGTCATGCCATATCTGAGGGATATCAAAGTGTATGCACACTCAATGATGAAAAAGCTAGTATTACACTTAATGAGTTATATGGAATAGAGGCTTTAAACTGTGAAAAACATTCTATAAAGCGTGTTGGGGACTTATCAAATACCCTTGGATTTGCACGAAAAGAAGCGATACCCAACGCAACAGTGCATGGAGTGAAATTACTGAATACAGTTCCCTATTAAGAGCTGTGCGTCCATGCATCTTGATCAGATTAGTACAGCATATATATTCAATGTGAAAGTCCTTGTGCTCGAAACATTTGACTGGCAACTAAATATCACCATTGGTCTACCAAATTTGAAGACGATGGGTAAGGTACATCCTTTAACTAAAATAATGAATAGTGGGATTATACTTGCGGCTTATATTCCATCAAAACAAAAGAGTGCGTTCGTTGCTCCTCTACCGGAGAATGAGTCGTCCAGCATGAAAAGATATTACCTCAGTTTTAGTTACTGAATGCGGTATTTCACCTGCAGTTGGATACTTTTTTCTGCTTAATGAATATGCGATATAGGGCGTTGTCGAGTTACTACTGGCAAAAGGACTTTGTGTTTGTGTTGTATTTTGACCCACTCCGACATGGTGGTGCGGAGAAGCAGGCTGACAGCAGCTTAGGCAAGCGATGATGTAGTGCACTCAGCCCTCCTCATGCACTCCTAAGACAGGTGGCACTCTGTGATTTCCTCCCACACAAACCTGAAATACTGTACAATTCGGCGTTAAACCCAATCGGTCAGATCGCACACTGAACCCATATATGGCGATCTTTGCTGTGAACATTCATAAATCATTTACTAAACAGTTTGTTTTCTCTTTATTACAAGTTTCATCCCAGACCTTTCTGACTTTCTGAGCTTGATAGTACATTATGTGTATTTCATCCTTATCTACTTGTCGATGTTCATTTCATAAAACATCCGTGGACATCAATTTTAGAAATTGACCCAGGTTTGTCGTAAGTGGCAACTAACAGGAACGGGAGGTCAGACTCGCTGACGTCGTTGATGCAGTCATTGTATCCCAAATGGGTAAATCGATGATCTTTCTGTCAATCATTTTTGATTGTCAGGTCCAAACCTGATTATTTACAGATCGCCGCTATATAGCTTGAATATTTATAAGTGCGTGTTAAACAATATAAAACGCCAATGCAAGGGAATAACCACGAAGATGGTAGCAATGTCCTGTCCTGCCCTACCGATAACACCTGCCATTCACACAATTTGCATAATTAAGTAAGTATTTATTGCCTGACGCCGAACAGCAGTACTCCTGCCATGCGACGGGGTCTGTAAACAAACCAGACAAACGAGTGATCAATGAACCAGAAAATCCAGTGCAATTACTGATTTCGTTGAAACTAATAAAAACTATGTTAACTTTGAATTACGTCTCCCGTTACAAGGTATGTATTTTGATTGTGAAAAGGGTTTGTCGGTCCCATTTAATTTACAAATATTTCTTAATATTTCAGCAAACAAACGTTTTTGTTGTATCATTTCGTTCAGAATAACGATGTACCAAAACGGTTTGAATTTAAAGAATTGCGAAAATATGAAAGGTCTGGTAAATATGCTTCATAATGGAAATGAAATCAATCAACATTTGTCATTATCATGCTGTCACGGTATGTAAATGTCAGGAGAGTGGTTCTGTGTCTTTTCTATTTACGCTGCACTTGTACCACGCGCATCTATAAAATCTGATATTATGGGAGTGCGCAGCTGTACGTGGTGTTCGTACAGGTGGTACCATGTAGTAGTTGTAGCTGAACATGTCCACGTGTTCATAGCTGATTGTATACATGAAAATATACCTGTAATTGGAAAATCACCAGAATAACACAAAACCCTTTCCAGTCGTAAACAATTATAATGCAGGTTGCCTTTCGCTTTTAATAATTCATGTTTTCCAATTGCCCGAAATTGTTAGATCTGTACCACGAGATCGGTAGGACGCACGCACACACACAAACACACATACACACGCACACACACACGCACACGCACACACGCACACACACACACACACGCTCGATCATATTTAATAACCTTTTGTTATCTGTTTATAAACTTTTTTATACAAGATACTACCTATTATAAGGAAGGTATCAATACGTTTAAGGCCTGGTTGGGGCGTTAGCGTTTATCATGTTGGCACTTCGCCTACAATTACATCTGCATTTCGTTAAATGTGAAAGTTCGGTTATGTGAAATTTTGTTGCACGTGTGCCTTCTATGAATTACTGGAAAACGTATTGTAAACATGCTTATGTAAAACAACATGGATAATAAATGTTTTTGGTAAATATATGCGTTGTGATTTGTAAGATGGGATTTGAGTTGGAAACAACAAAACAACTACTGATGATACAACTACACTGTCATGTTCCATCAGGTGAATAGTCACACAAACTTGTTCAACGGCAAAGCTAAGTAAACCATGATAAGGTCACGGGACTCACAGTGAATGAAATAATCACTTAAGTAATAAATATATGAAATATATAATTCATTGATAGGTGATTTGGTGAGAGGTGGAATCTGGAGCATGGACCGAACAGATTAGATCGGTTGTTTTCCTCGATTGTTGTAACGAAGGAAACAACCATGAGTTCTGAAAAAGAATTATTAGTTTCATTTACTTATGAACTACAGACGAACTTATCTCACGGCAACTTTGCTGTGGTGGCACATGGTCACATACACACGTCACAGACACCATCCCACTCCATACAATATATCAGGTGTGATACGTGCGGGGCAGGGAAGTGTAGAATCAACAATGGTCATAATAACGTTCCTGTGCCTCTGCAAACAATGACACACCTCAAGTGACTAACAGTGATTGCATTTCAAACCTTATGGAAAGCTTGATACCAGGTGATATAGACTGTGTTCAGACTTCGGGGACATCTAGCAAATAATGTATATTATCAATAAGTCAAATTGAAAAGATCCTGGCTTCACATCTGGTATACAACAAAGAAATAGCTTTATAGTTGTAGTTGTAGGTACTTTAGGTGATGGAAGTGCCATCCAAATGAGAAATATATTGTAATCAACACATCTATATTCACAAGCTCATTACAGTTTTGTGTGGTCACATTCCATATCACACACATTGATCTTGAGGACACGAAACACACACACGTATTACAACATTCCAATTTGTCTATTTCAGAAATACATATCCAGATGCAACAGTAATATAAATAATAACGTTCCTATTCAAATTCATTTTCAAATATATGGGCACAATGTCATTTCCCACACTTTAATATTATAAAATAAAAATCACATTTGACATAGGCATTCATATTGACCGTCAGTGTCATAGCCCTCAGCTTAAGATTCTACACATTTCATTGTGATATGCAGACATAACATGCGTCGTGGACATTTGCAAAGTAATACTGGAATCGCAATATTATGAGCATTATGCTTAGGAAAATATACAGAATATTCAGCCTTGTAAACACAAACATGCTGCTGTGTGGCTAACGTTGTGCAAGTGCACGAGTCTGAATGTCCCTTACAATCACATTACAGTCACAATATCTGAACTGAAAGTGACAAAACCATTTCCATATACGGTGAGTGCATCGTGCCCCACGGGCAACGGCAAGTCAGTTGTTCACCTGCAAACATCGCGGCAAGCTATGGTACGAGCGTAAATAGGGACTTGCATCGGACACCATTTTGGTCACTGATGCGTCAATTTGTGCCGAGGTGAAATGATGGAAGCTGTATCATATCACAAGAGGAACTGTTTTGATTTTCTACTCGTCAATGACACGTTGCATGTTAACATGAGACGCTAAGCTCCCCAATACTGTGCGAAAGGGGCTAGAGGTCGTGGCGTGTTGTGGCGTGGTGTGGCGTGGCGTGGTGTGTGTGCGCGCGTGTGTAAGTCCAGATTAATGCCAGTGTTATGGTGCTAGCCACTGAGACACTATGCCGCAGTTTATCACGGATACCCAATTCAGACACAATATACTGACTCCGAGCCGACCAGTCCATGTTTTATCCCCTAATGCCAAGCGCCAGGCTGTGTAACAAGTACAATCTTTTGACGTCTTTTGGTGTAACGCACAAGACGATCGAATCACCCACTTTCAGCTTTCCAGGCAGATACTCTACTCGTGTTTTCAACCAGACATAACCATTGACTCATTACTCATGTGAAATGGAGGATCATGGTCATTAAACTGGAATTGCACGTAAGTACCGTGTAATGAGTAATGTTCTGTTTAAAGTTGTCTTTCATTAGACGGGGCGGTCGGGTAGCCTAGTGGTTAAAGCGTTCGCTCGTCACGCCGAAGACCCGGGTTCGATTCCCGACATGGGTACAATGTGTGAAGCCCATTTGGTGTCCCCCGCCGTGATATTGCTTGATTATCGCTTAAAGCGGCGTAAAACCATACTCACTCTCACTTTTATTAGACATGTTTTTTTTCTATAGATATTCTGTTCGGTATTTAAGGCCACATGGCCCATTGTACACTTGACATTTTCAGTTTCATTTGTTTAGTCACGTGATATACATGATATATAAGAAACATCTGACAGAATATATATGTTTCAACAATACAGCTAATAAACGTTAACAGCAGAGTTCTTGGATTTTATAAGACTGATCATTAGCATCTTGTTTTTGTGCCTATTGTTAAACATCAGAATATACTTTTCTCTAAGATGTTCATACTTATCTCATACCAATAAAACATGAAATTCATCCTCAATTTCTCCTAATTGGCAGTTTTTACAGATACCCATTTCAACATCCCTTTTTTCATATCTACGTCTAAAATGTACACTGAAAGTGAATTTACCTATCGTGAAGCAATTAAACCGGAAGCGCATTTTTATTGGTTGAAAATGTGGTTACTAAACATGAGGACTCTACATATAGTCACATCCCTATTTTCAGAGTTTCAGGATTATCTGTTGAAAATGAAAGAATAGGTCACCTGAAGTAAACTCAGAGATTTTTGTGGCATTCTGGACATCCTCGTTAAAAACTGAATGTGAAATTTGGGGATAGAAGGTGCAATGAGGTGTAAATGGGGTTTAACCGCATTCAAGACATATACCGATGTGCATGCAAGTGTGTGTGTGTGTGTGTGTGTGTGTGTGTGTGTGTGTGTGCTGGACCGGACTGATGCCGATTTATAGTGCTAGCTCACTGAGATACCATGTCGCAGTTTAACATGAATATCCCACTGAGACACAGTATACCAGTCCGTGTTGTAGCCCCTTAATGCCGAGCGCCAGACAGGGTAACAACAAGTACCATCTTTTAACGTCCTTTGGTATGTCGCGGCCAGGGAACGAACCCCGGACCTTCCGCTCTCCGGGCGGACGCTCAACCACTAGACCACGGAGGTGGTATCCTAGTAACGAACCACACAGATACTGCACCATTGCATACGTGAATGATAACACTGTATGGAACGATGATCAGAGTATTGGGAAATACAACAAAGGCCATTCTATTTTACTGTTGTCGTTTTATTCCAAATTACAGTTAAGGCGTTTCTTTAGGCTTGTTCTCAACACGTCCATCCTATCTGTATTTACAATATGCTGGTACGTTTACGATAGTCACTGATCTTTGGTGTCACCAATAATGTCATATGATTCTTCGGTGTTTATTAAACGTATTGACCACTGAATATAGAGGGCGCCATGTGGTGATGAGACTGCGGTACTCAACTCTTCTTATAACGCCGATGACGGAAGTGTTTCTCCTTTCAAACCAGCTAGGATATTGCTGACAGTGAGATTACACATCCGGTTTCTTGTGGTGTCTGTAGCGCTGCCCAGATGGGGAATCACAAGGCAGTTATCAAGACTCAGCAGGGGGTGGTCCGCCGGAAGTGGCTCGGGGGAAGTGACGTCAAGGGCAGCACCACCAATGACCCCATTGGTCAGCGCCTCGTGGAGGTCCTCCTGGTTTACTAAGACCCCGCGAGAAACGTTCACAAGTATGGATGATGTCTTCATCTTGTCAAAAACGCCCTTGTTGAAAAGACCTTTATTTCCCTCGTTGATAGAGCAAGTTGCAATAACGAAATCTGCGTGTTTGAGGAGCTCGTCAAATGGTACGAACTCGGCAGCAACCTGCTTGGCATCATTCTTTGGACCGCTTCCACAGTAGATGATACGGGCAGGGTCAAATGACTTCAGCCGCTTTGCCACAGCGAGTCCAATTCTGCCAAGCCCAACTATTCCCACGACAGAACCCCCGATCTCCTTCCCAGCCATCCAGAGGGCGTTGTCCCAGCGCGTCCCCCACACGCTGCTATGTATAGCCCTCATTCCTGCAAGAGTTATTATAACAACAATCGTCAGTCATGTCGTAACTCAAGCGAGGCCTTGAAATAAGTTAACCACCAAATCCTACAGAAACGTACTTGCATGATGTGTTTGTTTGGTCTTTTACGCCGCACTAAGCAACATTCCAGCTATATGTCGGCGGTCTGTAAATAATCGAGTCAGACAATCCAGTGATTGACACCATGAGCATCGCAAATGGGAGAAGATGACATGCATCAACCAAGAAAGCGAGCCTGACCACCCGATCCCGTTAGTCGCCCTTTACGACAAGCATTGTCGCCTTTTACTGCATGCTTGGGTTGCTGAAGACCTATTCTACCCAATCGTCATGGGTCTTGCATGATGTGGAGTTAAATAGTCAAGAGAAGAGACAAACTGAATGTATCTTCTTTTTTTTAAATATACCTTTAAATTGTATACCTACCTAGACTCCTTGGAATAAGTTCTTTGTCTGATTTAATTGGTGTGATAATATACACCATAACGCAAATCGTTTTATGTCGGACTTTTCTCACAATCTTGCAAGGAACTGAAATGTGATGGGACTATGACAAACCTGGTTTGTACTTTCTGGCAGCACCCAGGACGAGGCCGACTGCGTGTTCCGCCACCGCCGACGTAAGGACGTTGGGGGTGTAGCCAACAGCCACGCCACGACGCCGGCACTCCTCCAGATCAACGTGATCAAGACCCACGGACATCGTGCCTACCACCTTCAGCTGCGGACCTGAAACACACACAGTAACACTGTACAGTGCCCCCTGATACATACGCCATGTGTCGTCTCCATGACAACTGTGCTGAAGCCCGTGATATTGATAGTATATACACCATGTACAGAATAATGATAATAATAATATCGAATTTCCTTCTCAGCTCCCTGGGAATATACAAGCCAAGCTTCCTTGTCCGGCGCTAGAAGGTTAACAGCCACAACATCCTCTCAACCTGCCCTGTAGCCAATTGTACTGCTGGTTAACAGAGGCATATATCAAACAAAGTCACTTGCCTAAGATTTTGTTTGTTTATTGTTTAACGCCACACTCAGCTACAATATGACAGTGGTATGTAAATAATCGAGTCTGGACCAGACAATCCAGTGACTGTATCGATCCACGCGATTGAGATACGATGACATGCATCAACCAAGTCAGCGAGCTTGACAACCCGATCCTGATTGTCGCCTGTTGACAAACATGAGTTGCTGAAGCCCGTGTTGTAACGCTGATCTCCACGGGGCACTTGTCCAAGAAGACATCCTGTGTGCTAAATGTGCTTCGGTGTGTGGCGGGACCGGCGCCCTAGAAAGCTGCCGAACTGTCCTCAACAGAACCTTGTGATATTGAACACAGGTAATACACCATGTGCTGTTTTAAAAGAAAGCTACATAGTATTTCGATCTTGTGTCTAGTGTAAATTGCGGATATATTGTTTATAGGCAAGCGTAATATGACCACACGGTTGTTTAACGCCACACTCAGCAATATTCCAGCTATGTGACAGTGGTCTGTAAATAATCGAGTCTGGACCAGACAAACCAGTGATTGACACGATGAGCATCGATCCATGCAGTTGGGATACGATGACATGCATGAACCAAGTAAGCGAGCCTGACCACCCAATCCCGTTAGTCGCCTTTTACGACAAGCATGCCGATTGGGTTGCTGAAGACCTATTCGACCCTGGATCTCCACGGGTCCCGGCGTCAATTGAATTGTATGCAGTCTGTTATGATAGTACAACTGTATGATTAGTGATCCGTGCAACAGATCCATTGTTAATCATGCCATTAGCATAACAAGTGTACTGTCGGAAATGCTAGAAAAGTGATTTTCTGGCTTCATTTTACAAACACGAATCAGAGGACTGTGAAAGTAGCATATATTTAAATAACGCAAATCTAGCTCATCTAGCCTACCCTATCTGACATTGTGATTAGCCTGAAAAGGTTCTTTTACTGGTGAAATGATGATTAACTGAGAAAATATTCGTGTGTTGTCATGCATGTATAAAACTGCCTACTGCCTGCATTAATTACCTGACACCTGTCCCGAGGTGATAACCTCACACCGGCTGTGCATTCTCACAGGTGCAAATTCACCTGAGTTGGGGGTGGTCTCAAATATTGCGGTTATTGGACTTTATTGAGATGTGCTCTGACCGGGGTAGCAATTAAGATATGTACTGCTTTATAATTGCTTGGAAAATGATGGAACAATTAAAAGCTATAAAACGGGATGAGTATTGGAAGATTGGGGTTTTCGAATCAAGACGTAATAATTTTGTTGTTTGTAATGATTTCTGAATTTGTTCTGTCACCAACGCGAATTATAATTGGTGCAACAAGGCTGTTCACGCCGTCACGTTGTCGGTACTGACGTTCTATTTTGAGAACATGATCTTCAGTCATTCGCCACACCTTTGGTGTGATTCCAGCAGAGGCTTCGTTGATCAACTCTTTAATTTGACATGTATGAGTTTAATTTTTTTGTTATGTCTTGCCACAAACCCTTGTCAGACCAGTTAAGTCACATAGGCTTGGGTTTACAATGTCTGGCGTACGTGACAGGGCTTACAACGGCTAACCGACAACGTGACCGTGTGGTGCCGCCAGGACATATTTCATGTACTTTACTGGGGTCTCTCTCAATGCGAATTTTCTCCATGAGTTGAACATTTGATTCAGATGGTCGACTTTGCAAGATGTCAGATATTCCTGCATGGTCGCCTTCAGACTAATCATGGTTGGTGTGACAGTATCTCTTGTAAAATTGTCGATTCGACTCCTTGTGACTGAAACACTACATAGATCGGTTGTTACTCAACTGTCTGTGAAACATTCTATCTTGTTTTAACGGGCAAAAAAACTTTTTGTCTAGCATTTCCGACAGTACTATAATTGTATAGTTTCTACCATGGTAGCAGAAAAGGCATTGCTTACACCTGAACAAAGGCGCTTATTGTTATAAAAAAAGTAAAGCCCAATTTACCATCTAGGAAGTAAGGTATTAACTCAAACTGTACACGGCGAACATGATATTTATTGTCTGACTTGAAAATCGGAATTTTTGCGCACTTTAGGATCTTAGTGGTAGATGGTTTATCAAGTTGTGAGAGTTATGTCCCTTTGTTGACCCGCGGCCCGAGGTAGACGGTCAACGAAGATGGAAAGGCCCTTTTAGATTATCATGACACCCCCATGCGGATGTATGACAAACTGATAGCCGATTAGTAGACTGCTAGTTACTTTTGTATCATAATATGATATTCTGAACTGTAATATCCTAAACTGAGCATTATAAGGATAGGTAGGCTCGCGTTAAAAATATGAAAAAAATATAACCATCACATACTACGAATGAACATGTAAAAACACATAAAAGAAATATTATCGATTCGTTTGAATATTATAATTTAAATTCTATATGTCATCATAGCTGTTTCTTGAATGAAAAACACACACACACACACACACACACACACACACACACACACACATATATATATATATATATATATATATATATATATATATATTACCAATGAAAAATATAATATAAATTACCAATATTTGTAACAGAATCTTACAAAAACGGTCCCACATTGCAGGAAGTAGCACAATTTAACAGCATCTCATTTTGAAACATTTCTGGGGGTTGGGGTTGGGGGCATGTCCTCAAACCGATGGTTGCCGTAAAAGGCGACTATTCTTGTCGTAAAAGGCGACTAATGGGATCGGGTGGTCAGGCTCGCTGACTTAGTTGATGTATGTAATCGATCCCAATTGCGTGGATCGATGCTCATGATATCCATGACTGGATTGTCTGGTCCAGACATGATTATTTACAAACCGCCGTCATATTGCCAGAATATTGCTGAGTGCGGCGTCAAACAACAAACAAACAAACAAACAAAACCTCGTTGCGCCCCTGACAGTGTCTCTATAATCCCCTGTTTGTCGTGAGAGGAGACGACTGATAATCAGCCGATAACAATGCGTGACCTGGCTGATAGTGCATCGTTGCACCCCGCCGTCTTGGGGGGTTTGGGTCCATCACTGGTTTGTCTGGTCAAGTCTCTATTACAGTTTGACTGTTGCTGATTGCATGAATGATAACGGAGATAAGTAGCATTCACTGACGTAACAATGAGGCCTTGTGATTTAACTCACTTTCTACTTTCAATTCACATCACGACAAGGGAATGTGTATGCACAATATCTGGTAAGAGAATGGCCTCAGGTTCAAGCAAATGTCGGGACGTTCGCGATATAAAACACATGCTTTGTTGTAAGACAAAACTTTACTTTTTGTTTATGTAATCGATAAAATATGTATTTTTTAAATATTTTTGTTCACATTTTCTGTAAATATTCAACTTACAGTTTAAATGTTTCAATTCTTATTCATTACGTTAATCGGCGGAGAACATCTAACAACATTCTTCGATCACGAGGGCGGGAGAAGGTCGTGTGTGGGTTTGCATATCAGGCTATCTCTGCAGCTAACCTAGTTACGGGGTTTTTCTGTCCGTCAGCTGATACGTGTACAGACAGAATACCGTGTACAGGAACTCACCTGGTACAACATAACCCCTTCTCGACCTGCATCTGAAGAAAACTGATTACACTTGTTAAAATCGACGCAAGCAACAAATTCTATTTCCCTAACATTATTATTAACCGAGGAGATTGTTCTTGCTGTCCAAATGGCCTGGGTGGGGGTAAGATATTTAACTGAAGACGATGCTTAAATCATGATGTGATATTATCACCTGTGCTGTTTTCTGTGACCTACCTGCAGAGTCCAACAATCGACGATCAACTCGATCTGGGGGGTGAATCAACACGGCGTTAGGCTTACACTGCCCCACCCTCTCAACAAACGTGTCCTGTGGGATACGCCCCGGCCCCTCCCACTCTATGACGTCACACACCTCCTTCAGGCGGGCTGCGCCCGAGGGTGGTACTCCTCTAGCAATGAAGACAACGGGACGAGGACTTCCACTCATGATAGCAGACATTGGAAACTGAGGAAGGGGGGTAACTCGTGTATGTCCCTCGTTCACAAGCGCTATATGGAGGGACTTACAGTGGTGGCTTTGAATACGCCTCGTGTTACACCTCCTGCGTTTAAACATTGGCCGATGTTTGTTTAAAAAGATTATGTCGTATTAACATGGTGTAACTGCAATCTACAAATAACATACGATTCAAAGAAAATCATACAGAATCTTCCAAACAGATCACGGAACAAATATATATTCAAGTTGCTCATTGAGCTTACATATATTACACATCATGTTTTGAATACACCATGTATAGGAGGTTAGGATGAGTGAGTGAGTGAGTGAATATGGTTTTACGCCGCTTTTAGCAATATTCCAGCAATATCACGGCGGGGGACACCAGAAATGGGCTTCACACATTGTACCCATGTCGGGAATCGAACCCGGGTCTTAGGCGTGACGAGAGAACGCTTTAACCACTAGGCTACCCGACCGCCCCAGGTTAGGATGAACGGAAACCTATGTATGTATGTTTGTGTGTGTGTGTGTGTGTGTGTTTCTGTGTGCGTGCGTGCGTGCGTGTGTGTGTGTGTGTGTATCTGCGTGTGTATGTACATGTATGTATGTGTGTGTCCGACGCAACGTGTGATCAATAAAATAACCACGTGACTACCTTATGAATTACGACGATCATGGGGTTCCTGAGGACCAAGTCTATCTAGATATATCCACGAGGTAACCTAACATGACACGTCATATGCAACATATTAATAAAACATGAACAAATTATGGAAACAAAACGAATCACGGGATTGTCTGGTCCAGACACGATTATTTACAGACCGACGTCACATAGCTGGAATTTGGCTGAGTGCGGCGTTCAACAACAAAAAAACAAAAGAAACAAAACGTGATGGTTACGAACATGGATGACATATATAACCAAACATCTAACCTAATGCCGATTTTATAGTGATAGCCCACTGAGATACCATACCGCATTTTAACATGAATACCCCACTCAGACAGTGTTCTGACTCCGAGCCGACCAGTCTTTGTTTTAGCCCCTTAATGCCGTGCGACAGGCAGGGTAACAACAAGTACCGTCTTTTAAACGTCTGTAAACCCCCGACCTGCTGCTCTCCGGGCAGAGGCTCTACCACTAGACCACGGAGGCGGTCGGACTGCGAAAGGCAAAACAGTGGTGACATTGATATGGTAAGTAATGTCAACTTCCTACGTACCTTTAGAGACAGCGTATAAATACTTTAGTTATTCTCTCCTTCATTATTATTTGCAGACATTATTTGGACCGCTGGGGGAGCGTTTATTGATCATACAGACATCTCATCGAGGTTTATCTTTACAGCTAATAGAGTAGTTTAAAATCTTATAAAGAGCTCATTTGCATATTTATTGCATCCTGATACCAATTGTATCGGATTGGTTTTATGAAAACACTATGCGTTACAAATAGGGACATTAGATAGTTTACAAATGTTTGTTTGTTTGTTGTTTAACGCCGCACTCAGCAATATTCCAGCTATATTGCGGCGGTCTGTGAATAATCGGATCTGGACCAGACAATCCAGGGATTGACATCATCAGCATCGATGTACGCACTTGGGATACGATGGCATGCATCAACCAAGTCAGCCAGCCTGACCACCCGATCCCGTTAGTCGCCTCTTACGACAAGCATGGTTTGATGAAGACCAGTTCTAACCCGGAATCTTCACGGGACGTTTCCTTACAGTGTAGTATATACCATTTGGTTACTTACAAGTATATTATCAACACAAGTCCCGTGTTACATTGGTTCTTGATATGTGTATGGCAGCGTGAAACATTAAACTCAGCGATAACCCATCATTCCTCTTGTTGATTGTACATATCGGCGTAACAAGCCAGCAATGATCAACAGCTATATGGACGTGTACATCCTGCTGCGGTGGGAAGGATGGTTAATTTGGTAAGAAAGTCTACACAGAGCACCTAAACAAGATTAAATTTATACATCATATATCCTTGATCCCTTCGAACCGCCTCCGTGGTCTAGTGGTAGAGCGTCCAACCGGAGAGCGGAAGGTCCGGGGTTCGATCCCCGGCCGCGTCATACCAAAAGACGTTAAAAGATCGTACTTGTTGTTACCCTGTCTGCGCTCGGCATTAAGGGGCTAAAACAAGGACTGGTCGGCTCGGAGTCAGTATACTGTGTCTGAGTGGGGTATTCATGTTAAACTGCGGCATGGTATCTCAGTGAGCTAGCACTATAAATCGGCATCAGTCCAGACTAGTACAAGCAGCCACACACACACACACGTGCATGCACGTCGCTATATAAGTGCAATAATCTTGGACGCGACGTTAAACCCCATTTCACCTCACCTCACCTCACCTCACCTTGATCCCTTCAAACGACACCTGAATCTCTTAATACTATAAGAGTCGACCAAACATCATGCACACTTTTGCTGACATACTGATCGTGAGACTTTACGTCTTAACTTACTTATTTTCCATATGTGTTTTGTTTCTGAGTAGCCAGCACACGTTTTCACTCAGTCATTCACGGACTCTCATACATTTTCCTCTGTGCATCCGCTGTACACATCATGATCACTGGCCACAATTTGACATGATTGTATCATTAAACTAAGTTCAGAAAATACTCATGGCGATTACTACATGAGATGAAAGCATTTTCGGACACACATTCAGGGATGTTTCACGTACACAAAATGTTAAAATCATCACTGATGCAAAACGAAAGAAAGCATACTTCGGCGATTGAGAAAACTAAAAGCCAGAAGCCTAGATTTTCTGCCGAAACAAATTCCACATGGCGTAAAGGGCAAATACAATGTAGCTGTGGAAATTATATGAATGAACCACTGAAATAATTGATGGCACCAGGTGTTCGCGAAAAGGGTGGGCATGTCCGGCAGCACCCGCCATTCGTATAATTTGCATCAAAAGTAAGTATGTAATGCCTGTATGCATGACTCATGCCATGCGACGTCAGCCTGTAAACAAACCAGACAATGAAGTGATCGACGAACCGGAAAATCCAGTAACTAAAGAGTACCATTACTGATTTTGAAAGTAATAAAAATGGTATGTTAATTTTGAATTACGTCTGCTGTGTACAAGTGCAAGTGCACACTGAGAGTGTTGAAGAAAGACAAGTTCTATGGATGAACAACTTCTTTATTACAATTAGCGCGACGTTTCGGTGTAGATCCTAACACCTTTATCAAGCAAGTGATGGATAGTGCTGGACAACATAGGTATATATACTTATTTACATCAATGTTTATACAGTTAATTGATTGATGGACACAGAGAGCTGATTAAGATCTTAATCAGCTCTGTGTCCATCAATCACTGTAAAGGTGTTAGGATCTACACCGAAACGTCGCACTAATTGTAATAAAGAAGTTGTTCATCCATAAAACTTGTCTTTCTTCATCACACCAACTTCTAAATGCCACTGGAAGAAGTTACTGAGAGTGTTGTTGAACAGTATAGTCCTTAAAACGTTTTATGTATTCCCCGACTCGAGTTTGGGTAGATTAATGAATAGGTCTTCAATCATTTTACTTCCTCGCCTTTCCATAATACATTGAACAAGGGAACAAACTTATACCACATTTTGTGATTCAAAAGGTTAAACATAATTTATCTTAATGCTTTAATGATGATATTGTCTGTTGTGAATATTTACAAACCAAATACACCTGCTGATAGTTTGATGCAAAAAACATATAAAACAGTTCAACTTGGTTTTCAGCACAGCAGGGGTATATTGTTTTTATCATAAAATATACATTTGTATTCCAAAAGCATGTCCACATGAAGGTCGTGGTCTGATATCCCCTGACGCCAGCGCTGTTCGGGAGAGACCCAGGGGAACGTTATCTGGACGAAAACTCTTTCTGCATGTCGATGTTCGTCCTGGTGTAGCCTTCCTTGAACACCACCAGTAGAGGTATGGCAGTTATCACTGTTCCGAGGAGACACCAGTTCATCCACGTGACCCCTGGAAGGAGAGTCAGATGAGTGTAGCTCTGCTAACATTTGAAGCTGAATGACTTAGGTGGCCGGAGTAAACATTCCCGGCACGAGGACCCCGCCGCGATTCGCTGTGCAGTGAGTGTTTCGTCCGTTAAATAGGCAGACAGATACCTATAATTCTGGGCAGAAACCGATGATCGTGAAGTCAGATTCGCCCAGATTATGTCTCCGAGTTGTCAATACAACGCCCTGCTCGTGAGTTTCACCAAACCGGAAACTGGAGACCTTCATTACTTCGGGCTTTCATCCCACATCAAGCTGACAGGTGATATAAGTACTGTTCAAAGCGGCGTCAACGCCACTCATTGCCAACTATACAAATAGTTCCTCTCCTACGGTGCAGCGTAACGTAACTTAGTCCTATACGAGAAACCCATTGCCGTTCGAGATAGGAATTGTTGATTTAGAAACATTTGAAAAGGTCACGCTTCTATTTCTATTTCTATCCTTTCCCGTTATCACCGTGCTCATTATATCATGGGCCCATGACAGTTAATGTTCATTTAAAATGGCGGTGAAATGTAGATGCATTATGCAGTCATAGGTTATGCGTGCTAGGTCACAGTCAGGCGTGCCCATAGTGGCTGGTGAACTGCATGGTGTACAGAGAGTTAGCCCTTCCATATCTAGTGTTGACAGAGGTAGGCATGGCACTAAGCAACGTAAACTCGACTCCGATCTCCGTGCAACAAGAGTCGTCCATCTAGATGCGTGTTGTCAGAGTTTCTGTGTAGACGTGTTCCTGGCATATAGGTCACATGTACAGTGTGTGCATGGTAACGGGCTGACAGAATGTGGGTACAATGGGTACACGAAGAGCGGACAGGTCCTATCATAATAATATTCCTGTAGAATGCACATGTTGGTACCCATATGAACTATCCTCAGAATGGAAGAAGTACCTGTTGTATGGGAAAGCCTTCGTCTGCGATACAGGAGCTTTGAATGAGATCGTTACCTTTATGAGGTGCACGTGACTGAGGCGCCATCAATGAGATGGTTACCTGTATGAGGTACATGTGAGTGACGAGGAGTCATGAGTGAGATCGCGTCCTGTGTGAGGTGCACGTGTGAGACGAGGAGTCATGAGTGAGATCGCGTCCTGTGTGAGGTGCATGAGAGTGACGAGGAGTCATGAGTGCGATCGTTACCTGTATAGGGTGCATGTGAGTGACGAGGAGTCATGAGTGAGATCGTTACCTTTATGAGGTGCATGTGAGTGACGAGGAGTCATGAGTGAGATCGTTACCTGTATAGGGTGCACGTGAGAGACGAGGAGTCATGAGTGAGATCGCGTCCTGTATGGGGTGCATGTGAGTGACGAGGAGTCATGAGTGAGATCGCGTCCTGTATGGGGTGCATGTGAGTGACGAGGAGTCATGAGTGAGATCGTTACCTGTATGAGGTGCACGAGAGAGACGAGGAGTCATGAGTGAGATCGCGTCCTGTGTGAGGTGCACGAGAAAGACGAGGAGTCATGAGTGAGATCGTTACCTGTATAGGGTGCATGTGAGTGACGAGGAGTCATGAGTGAGATCGTTACCTTTATGAGGTGCATGTGAGAGACGAGGAGTCATGAGTGAGATCGCGTCCTGTATGGGGTGCATGTGAGTGACGAGGAGTCATGAGTGAGATCGTTACCTGTATGAGGTGCACGAGAGAGACGAGGAGTCATGAGTGAGATCGCGTCCTGTGTGAGGTGCACGAGAAAGACGAGGAGTCATGAGTGAGATCGTTACCTGTATGAGGTGCATGTGAGTGACGAGGAGTCATGAGTGAGATCGTTACCTTTATGAGGTGCATGTGAGAGACGAGGAGTCATGAGTGAGATCGCGTCCTGTATGGGGTGCATGTGAGTGACGAGGAGTCATAAGTGAGATCGTTACCTGTATGAGGTGCACGAGAGAGACGAGGAGTCATGAGTGAGATCGCGTCCTGTGTGAGGTGCACGTGAGAGACGAGGAGTCATGAGTGAGATCGCGTCCTGTGTGAGGTGCACGAGAAAGACGAGGAGTCATGAGTGAGATCGTTACCTGTATAGGGTGCATGTGAGTGACGAGGAGTCATGAGTGAGATCGTTACCTTTATGAGGTGCATGTGAGTGACGAGGAGTCATGAGTGAGATCGTTACCTGTATAGGGTGCACGTGAGAGACGAGGAGTCATGAGTGAGATCGCGTCCTGTGTGAGATGCATGTGAGTGACAAGGAGTCATGAGTGAGATCGCGTCCTGTGTTAGGTGCACGTGAGAGACGAGGAGTCATGAGTGAGATCGCGTCCTGTATGAGGTGCATGTGAGTGACGAGGAGTCATGAGTGAGATCGTTACCTGTATAGGGTGCACGTGAGAGACGAGGAGTCATGAGTGAGATCGCGTCCTGTGTGAGATGCATGTGAGTGACAAGGAGTCATGAGTGAGATCGCGTCCTGTGTTAGGTGCACGTGAGCGACGAGGAGTCATAAGTGAGATCGTTACCTGTATGAGGTACATGTGAGTGACGAGGAGTCATGAGTGAGATCGCGTCCTGTATGAGGTGCACGTGTGAGACGAGGAGTCATGAGTGAGATCGCGTCCTGTGTGAGGTGCATGAGAGTGACGAGGAGTCATGAGTGCGATCGTTACCTGTATAGGGTGCATGTGAGTGACGAGGAGTCATGAGTGAGATCGTTACCTTTATGAGGTGCATGTGAGTGACGAGGAGTCATGAGTGAGATCGTTACCTGTATAGGGTGCACGTGAGAGACGAGGAGTCATGAGTTAGATCGCGTCCTGTGTTAGGTGCACGTGAGAGACGAGGAGTCATGAGTGAGATCGCGTCCTGTGTGAGGTGCACGTGAGTGACGAGGAGTCATGAGTGAGATCGTTACCTGTATGAGGTGCACGTGAGAGACGAGGAGTCATGAGTGAGATCGCGTCCTGTATGGGGTGCATGTGAGTGACGAGGAGCCATGAGTGAGATCGTTACCTGTATGAGGTGCACGTGAGAGACGAGGAGTCATGAGTGAGATCGCGTCCTGTGTGAGGTGCACGAGAAAGACGAGGAGTCATGAGTGAGATCTTTACCTGTATAGGGTGCATGTGAGTGACGAGGAGTCATGAGTGAGATCGTTACCTTTATGAGGTGCATGTGAGTGACGAGGAGTCATGAGTGAGATCGTTACCTGTATAGGGTGCACGTGAGAGACGAGGAGTCATGAGTGAGATCGCGTCCTGTGTGAGATGCATGTGAGTGACAAGGAGTCATGAGTGAGATCGCGTCCTGTGTTAGGTGCACGTGAGAGACGAGGAGTCATGAGTGAGATCGCGTCCTGTATGAGGTGCATGTGAGTGACGAGGAGTCATGAGTGAGATCGTTACCTGTATAGGGTGCACGTGAGAGACGAGGAGTCATGAGTGAGATCGCGTCCTGTGTGAGATGCATGTGAGTGACAAGGAGTCATGAGTGAGATCGCGTCCTGTGTTAGGTGCACGTGAGCGACGAGGAGTCATAAGTGAGATCGCGTCCTGTATGAGGTGCACGTGAGAGACGAGGAGTCATGATTGAGATCGTTACCTGTATGAGGTGCACGTGAGAGACGAGGAGTCATGAGTGAGATCGCGTCCTGTGTGAGGTGCACGTGAGTGACGAGGAGTCATGAGTGAGATCGCGTCCTGTATGAGGTGCACGTGAGTGACGAGGAGTCATGAGTGAGATCGCCCCCTGTATGAGGTACACGTGCGCGACGAGGAGTCATGAGTGAGATCGCCCCCTGTATGAGGTACACGTGCGCGACGAGGAGTCATGAGTGAGATCGCGTCCTGTATGAGGTGCACGTGAGTGACAAGGAGTCATGAGTGAGATCGCGTCCTGTATGAGGTGCACGTGAGTGACGAGGAGTCATGAGTGAGATCGCGTCCTGTGTGAGGTGCACGTGAGTGACAAGGAGTCTTGAGTGAGATCGCGTCCTGTGTGAGGTGCACCAGAGAGACGAGGAGTCATGAGTGAGATCGCCCCCTGTATGAGGTACACGTGCGTGACGAGGAGTCATGAGTGAGATCGCCCCCTGTATGAGGTACACGTGCGTGACGAGGATTCATGAGTGAGATCGCGTCCTGTGTGAGGTACACGTGCGTGACGAGGAGTCATGAGTGAGATCGCGTCCTGTATGAGGTACACGTGAGTGACGAGGAGTCATGAGTGAGATCGCGTTCGGTATGATGTACACGTGAGTGACGAGGAGTCATGAGTGAGATCGCGTCCTGTATGAGGTGCACGAGAGAGACGAGGAGTCATGAGTGAGATCGCGTCCTGTATGAGGTACACGTTAGAGACGAGGAGTCATGAGTGAGATCGCGTCCTGTATGAGGTACACGTGAGCGACGAGGAGTCATGAGTGAGATCGCGTCCTGTATGAGGTGCATGAGAGAGACGAGGAGTCATGAGTGAGATCGTGTCCTGTATGGAAGCACGAGAGAGACGAGGAGTCATGAGTGAGATCGCCCCCTGTATGAGGTACACGTGAGTGAAGAGGAGTCATGAGTGAGATCGTTACCTGTATGAGGTACACGTGAGCGACGAGGAGTCATGAGTGAGATCGCGTCCTGTATGAGGTAGACGAGAGAGACGAGGAGTCATGAGTGAGATCGCGTCCTGTATGAGGTAGACGTGAGTGACGAGGAGTCATGAGTGAGATCGCGTCCTGTATGAGGTACACGTGAGCGACGAGGAGTCATGAGTGAGATCGCGTCCTGTATGAGGTACACGTGAGAGACGAGGAGTCATGAGTGAGATCGCGTCCTGTATGAGGTGCACGTGAGTGACGAGGAACTATAAATAAGATCGCGTCCTGTATTAGGTGTCCATAGCCTTGTCTATGTGGGCTGTTTGTAAAACAGGAAGTTTTACGTGGCTTTATATCCAAGCCTTTATCAAGGGGTCATATCCAAGGGTCATATCTAGGGGCCATATCAAGGGGAACAACAAAAATAAACCTCCCACAGTACCGTATGTATTAATTCCATATATAGCCGTATTTTCCACATACAGCCGTATATTCCATAGTACCATATTTATCATGAATGTTGATTTATCAGATATTTTGCATGCCTTTGTATATACACACGATGATATGTAACTTATCATATTTTTGGTATTCAAGTAAAAATACTTGAAAGTAAATAGGGCGTTTCTTACCTATATCAGGTATCTGTAGGATAGAGAGGAACACGGTGCCGGTCAGAGAATTAACGAGTGTGAGCATCCCGGTCGTCACCCCCTCAGCTATAGGGTAGGACGCCTCGCAGCCCAGCTCATAGAACAGAGGTACAGAGCCATTGATGAACACTCCGATCAGGATGTAGGATATGTACAGGGACACTGGGACGTGAAGAACACGAATAGTTTAGCCACACAAGATCTCCAGGGTGTAGGATATGTACAGGGACACTGGGACGGGAAGAACACGAATAGTTTAGCCACACAAGATCTCCAGGGTGTAGGATATGTACAGGGACACTGGGACGGCAAGAACACGAATAGTTTAGCCACACAAGATCTCCAGGATGTAGGATATGTACAGGGACACTGGGGAGTGGAGAACACGAATAGTTTAGCCACACAAGATCTCCAGGGTGTAGGATATGTACAGGGACACTGGGACGTGAAGAACACGAATAGTTTAGCCACACAAGATCTTCAGGGTGTAGGATATGTACAGGGACACTGGGACGGGAAGAACACGAATAGTTTAGCCACACAAGATCTCCAGGATGTAGGATATGTACAGGGACACTGGGGAGTGGAGAACACGAATAGTTTAGCCACACAAGATCTCCAGGGTGTAGGATATGTACAGGGACACTGGGACGTGAAGAACACGAATAGTTTAGCCACACAAGATCTCCAGGGTGTAGGATATGTACAGGGACACTGGGACGGGAAGAACACGAATAGTTTAGCCACACAAGATCTCCAGGGTGTAGGATATGTACAGGGACACTGGGGAGTGGAGAACACGAATAGTTTAGCCACACAAGATCTGGGCGTCGGTTCAATTACGCAAATTAGGAGATAAACATACTGTGTTTTCAATGTAGAGCTAGGTTACCTGTAGATTTAACCCCGCTAAATGGAACCGAATGCGCATTATTGCAATTAAGAAATTACAAATCTCAATCAAGCATTATTTGTTACAAGTCAAGTTGTCAAGTCTTCTATAAACTTACTGAGACTTTTTACCTGAAGTATACACTGACCAATTAAACTCACCCATACTGAAGGGAATGAACGCGAGACGCAGCAGCACGAACCAGACGGTTGCCGATGTAGCCAGGACGAAGAGCAGCAACAACATCACCTTCATGCGACGCATGAACATATCGGCGAGCCTTTAAAAGCAGCACATTCACTCACATTCGTTTTAAGTGGATACGGCAAGGGCATTTAAAAGAACGAATGATAACAATATTTAGGCAAATGAAGGATCTTTGTGAACGCACTTGTGAAATGCTCGACTTCCTTATTGATAACACCTACGTATGTAAAACTTGGGTGAGACATTTAGGCAAGAAGGAGGCTTCCCTATGGGCACCAATTGCGCTCCCCTTCTTGCGGATCTGGTTCTTTATGAAAATGAATCGGAATGTCTGCTCGGATTGGCAAATCAAAACAAGGTATTTTGGCCAAGAAGTTTAACTTAGCTTCAGGTATTTCGATGATCTGACATCGTTCAATAACAATCAAATAGCCAGTTTCCTTCCACTTCCGCCCGAACTGGAAATAAGGGACACCCGAGAAACCACCTCATCTGTTCCAGATTTAGATCTATGCATTAAGATACAAATGAACACTCTCCACAAGGCAAGAGGGATGACCAACTTTTCAATGCTCACAACTCCCTTTATGTCGAGCAGCAATCTTACAGGTTTAACTTTTCGTGTCTACATTGAGGTAAAATTGAGCATGCCCTTTCTTCCAAGATTTCAAACAGCGTCACATGACTCTTGCTCAGAAGATCAGGGTGACAACATTCAAGGCCTCAGTAAACCTTTCAAAACGTTTTAAGGAAGACGTGTGGAGGACAATTCCAAATTTATGACGTATCAGTGACAAAAATGCAGTGCCCCAAGTGATGTTCATCTGAACAATTGCTCTGGATGGTCAACAATCCAGTCCACACCGGCAGTTATTGTACTGACCGTTTCACCCAACATTAGAAGACACGATAATTATTCCGGACAGAACAGTGTACCTGGACATGAGGAGGGCTGCTACACTGCCTCCCATCGTGGCGTAAAACCCCATCCAGCCCGCCTGGTTCTGTAAAACAAAAGGGGTTGAAAGATGGTCCTTTGGCCACAAAGAAGGTAGCAGTTGCATTGTGCCAAACCTGATCGGCACTACAGCTGTTATCCGGGAATCATGTCTTTGTTCCAATAAAGTATGTAATTAGATATATTCATGTCTATAACCTATAGCTTCGCTGAACACTATAATAACCATCAGGATTTAATTCACCAGTCGAGTGATACAATCAATGACAACAGGCAGGAAATGACACTTTACAAACGTTTTAGGAGGAAATTAATATGTAAGTGATACATTTCAAAAACGAAATTTCTAATAATCTTCATAATAACAGTATATGTTGATAACTTCTTATAGTCCAACATACATCTTTAAAACATACTAAAGCCCTGTGGTTATTTTCGTTACTGGGAAATCATTATCCGATCCTGTGAACACTGTATGTCAAAGGTTTCCTGCACATGTGACTGAGGCCGTATTCATAGCTCGCCTGCGATATATTGACGTCCTCCAGATTGACGTCTAGCACTGCCCCAAACGCAGCGAATACCCCAGTGGGTGTACCGTATGCCATCAAGATCAGCAGGAAACGCTTGTGTCTGGAAAAGTAACGTCATTTAGATATGATACCGTTTCCTTTGTCATTTCATTCTGTTGACAAAAGTCAGCGCTGTCATGCAATTGACACTGCGTGAGACGCCGACTGATGGATGAGGGTAAATAATGCCAGGGTGAAATTAGTTGCACAGTTTGTTCCCTTGGGTAGATTGGTTATTGCAAAGACGAAATGATGTTTTGTAGGGAGGATTGGGAATTATATTTGGCATGTGATAGGAAGTTCCATCCGTTTGCATCTTAAACTGTCCCTTTGGACTCGATAGGTTGTTTGTTCTCTCAATGGGTGCTGTGCGGCTTGGAGGTGAGAGGTGACTTACGTGAACAATCCATTTAGGCCTTAGAGGCAGCCGGTTCTCTCAATGGACGCTGTGCGGCTTGGAGGTGAGAGGTGACTTACGTGAACAATCCATTTAGGCCTTAGAGGCAGCCGGTTCTCTCAATGGGTGCTGTGCGGCTTGGAGGTGAGAGGTGACTTACGTGAACAATCCATTTAGGCCTTAGAGGCAGCCGGTTCTCTCAATGGGTGCTGTTAGGCTAGGAGGTGAGAGGTGACTTACGTGAACAATCCATTTAGGCCTTTGAGGTAGCCGGTTCTCTCAATGGACGCTCTTAGGATGGAGTGACAGGAGAGTTTCGTGAACAATCCCTTTAGGCATAAGGATGAGTGAGTGAGTATGGTTTTACGCCGCTTTTAGCAATATTCCAGCAATATCACTGTTTAGGCCTTGGAGGTAGCTGGTTCTCACTATGGACGCTGTGAGGGTGGAGTGACAGGAGCTTTTCGTGAACAATCCCTTTAGGCATTAGGGTGAGTGAGTGAGTATGGTTTTACGCCGCTTTCAGCAATATTCCAGCAATATCACTGTTTTGGCCTTAGAGGTAGCCGGTTCTATCAGTGGGTGCTGTTAGGCTGGGAGGTGAGCTGTGGCTTACGTGAACAATCCTTTCAGGCCTTAGAGGTTGCCGGCTCTCTCAATGAACGCTGTTAGGGTGGGAGGTGACAGGTGACTTACGTGAGCAGTCGCGTTAGGACTTGGAGGTAGCTGGTTCTTACAACGTACACTGTCAGGATTGTTGGTTAGAGCTGACTTACGTGAGCAATCCTTTCACTCCTTGGAGGTAGCCGGTTCTCTCAATGGACGCGGTGATGCTCGGGGGTGATGGGGGCCTGGCGGGGAAGTACACCACCACCAGTAGCAGCAGCAGGACACTCGCAGCACATTCTGGTGCAGAGACATAACAGTTTGTTCTGAACGTTGGAAGCTGACAGGTCAGTGATCAAACACTGAATGTATTACCCAGATCATATAGAACACATTTTAATCCGCACCTACATACATGAGAAGCATCAAACCGTCCCTCTCTGCAGAGACGTCAATGGCGTTGGTGATGTTCCAACTTTGATCGGCGTCATCTCTGGAGCAGCTGCAACCAAATGTGCGACAAAGTACAATGGAGCTGTATTCTACTACCACCAGAGAATAACACAATTTTTTTAATCATCGGTATAATAATAAGCACACAAAACAAAACATGCATTTAATAAAATATGCATTTATTGATAAATAGATCCGCGAAGATCCGGGGTAGAATAGGTCTTCAGCAACCCATGCTTGCCGTAAAAGGCGTCTATGCTTGTCGTATGAGGGATCGGGATCGGGTGGTCAGGCCCGCTGACTTGGTTGATGCTTGTCATCGAATTCCAATTGCGTGGATCGATGCTCATGATATTAATCACTGGATTGTCTGGTCCAGGCTCGAATATTTACAAACCGCCGTCATATAGCTTGAATATTACTGAGTGCAACGTTAAACAACAAACAAACAAATATCAATAAATAATCTTACTTTTGTAGACGTGTATCCGTTGTATTCGTGTCTTGATCTGGTTCAGGCACCAACAGGGGACCTTCAGGTAAAGAGACACTCGTGTATACTCAACGACAAAAGTATCTGATGACATCATTTATGATGCCAATTGCTGGTGTCCGTCACCCTTATATTACTTGCATATTACTTAAAACGTCGCAAATCCATATTTGAACACACTCATATCATTTTATTGTTAACTATAATAATAATAATAATAGTAGTAGTAGTAGTAGTAGTAGTAGTAGTAGTAGTAGTAGTAGTAGTAGTAGTAGTAGTAGTAGTAATAATAATAATAATATATAATTGAATTTGCTGTTATTTTTGACATGGCAAATATGCGGACCTCGCTTTCGAAATGTCACGCTTGCATCCCAAGTACCGACTCCCCATTGTTCTCGGTGCCTTTGGTTTGGTACCTCCCAATGTGTTGACTGACATTGGGAGAGTACCTGGGTTTGTTGCCAGGAATACAGCCCTTCTGACAACCTGGGTAATGCAGAAGGCTGCAGTGTTGGGGAGTCTTCACATTCTCCGAAAAGTTCTGGATGGGTTTGACAAGGCAGCGCTTCCTGGGAGAAGTCCCATTCACTGTCTGGGCTGCGTGTAGAGGGGGCAAGGGCCCTGAGCTGATGATGAGCCTAACCAGCCTGACTGTGCCAGGATCACCCAAACCCTCGTTGCTGCATTTTTTATTTGTATGATGAAAATAATAATATATGACGTCACATATTGGTCATTTCACAGTGGTAACATCAAAATGATTGTCACGACAGCTTTGGTAGCTTGCTTCCATATACACACCTAAATTCTTTCCCCTTTCACACAGCTGTACATCTCTCGTGGAGAATGGATATAAGAGCATATTTCACCATTTAAAAAAAATTCAACTAAAAAAAAGAGAACATTTAAAGCATACGGGTTACATGTCCAGCCCATATTGCACTGATTTACCCAGGTACACGTAAAGGAAACAGCAAAAAGAGATTTCCTGGCCATATCTACAACATCATCACGTTATGGTGGTGACTAACGTGATAACGGCTTCCCTGGCCTTTTGAATTACCCTAGCCCTGCAATATGCAAATGTTAATAACGTACATTCGAGTCACGGGCACAGTTGTACCCCATTACGTGCCCTCACATACATACAGATAAACCTTCAAAACAGGATCTGTTCAGTACATATAGTACACAACATTCTACGCCTACATATTTCCAACCTTCCTAAACAACTGGTCCTTGCAAATACATACGTCTCTGTTTGTGTCTATGTCTGTGTCTATGTCTATGTCTGTGTCTATGTCTGTGTCTATGTCTGTGTCTATGTCTATGTCTGTGTCTATGTCTGTGTCTATGTCTGTGTCTATGTCTATGTCTGTGTCTATGTCTATGTCTGTGTCTATGTCTGTGTCTATGTCTATGTCTATGTCTGTGTCTGTGTCTGTGTCTGTGTCTATGTCTGTGTCTATGTCTGTGTCTATGTCTGTGTCTATGTCTGTGTCTGTGTCTATGTCTGTGTCTATGTCTGTGTCTATGTCTGTGTCTATGTCTGTGTCTATGTCTATGTCTGTGTCTATTCATGTGTATATGTATGTGTCTATGTCTGTGTATATGTCTGTGTATATGTCTGTGTCTATTCATGTGTATATGTCTGTGTCTATTCATGTGTCTATGTCTGTGTCTATTCATGTGTATATGTCTGTGTCTATTCATGTGTATATGTCTGTGTCTATTCATGTGTATATGTCTGTGTCTATTCATGTATATATGTCTGTGTCTATTCATGTGTCTATGTCTGTGTCTATTCATGTGTATATGTCTGTGTCTATTCATGTGTATATGTCTGTGTCTATTCATGTGTATATGTCTGTGTCTATTCATGTGTATATGCCTGTGTCTATTCATGTATATATGTTTGTGTCTATTCATGTGCATATGTATGTGCTTATGCCTGTGTCTATTCATGTTTATATGTATGTGTCTATTCATGTGCATATGTCTGTCTATTCATGTGCATATGTCTGTGTCTATTCATGTGCATATGTATGTGCTTATGCCTGTGTCTATTCATGTTTATATGTATGTGTCTATTCATGTGCATATGTCTGTCTATTCATGTGCATATGTCTGTGTCTATTCATGTGCATATGCATGTGCTTATGCCTGTGTCCATTCATGTTTATATGTATGTGTCTATTCATGTGCATATGTCTGTCTATTCATGTGCATATGTCTGTGTCTATTCATGTGCTTATGTCTGTGTCTATTCATGTGCATATGTATGTGTCTATTCATGTGCATATGTCTGTCTATTCATGTGCATATGTCTGTGTCTATTCATGTGCATATGTATGTGCTTATGCCTGTGTCTATTCATGTTTATATGTCTGTGTCTATTCATGTGCATATGTCTGTGTATATGTCTGTGTCTATTCATGATTATATGTATGTGTCTATTCATGTGTATATGTCTGTCTATTCATGTGCATATGCCTGTGTCTATTCATGTTTATATGTATGTGTCTATTCATGTGCATATGTCTGTCTATTCATGGGTATATGTCTGTGTCTATTCATGTGCATATGTATGTGCTTATGCCTGTGTCTATTTATGTTTATATGTATGTGTCTATTCATATGCATATGTCTGTCTATTCATGTGTATATGTCTGTGTCTATTCATGTGTATATGTTTGTGTCTAATCATGTGTATATGTCTGTGTCTATTCATGTGTATATGTTTGTGTCTAATCATGTGTATATGTGTCTGTCTATTCATGTGTCTATGTCTGTGTCTATTCATGTGTATATGTCTGTGTCTATTCATGTGTATATGTCTGTGTCTATTCGTGTGTATATGTCTGTGCTTATGTCTGTGTATATGTGTCTGTCTATTCATGTGTCTATGTCTGTGTCTATTCATGTGTATATGTCTGTGTCTATTCATGTGTATATGTCTGTGTCTATTCATGTGTATATGTTTGTGTCTAATCATGTGTATATGTCTGTGTCTATTCATGTGTATATGTCTGTGCTTATGTCTGTGTATATGTGTCTGTCTATTCATGTGTCTATGTCTGTGTCTATTCATGTGTATATGTCTGTGTCTTTTCATGTGTATATGTCTGTGTCTATTCATGTGTATATGTTTGTGTCTAATCATGTGTATATGTCTGTGTCTATTCATGTGTATATGTCTGTGTCTATGTCTGTGTATATGTCTGTGTCTATTCATGTGTATATGTCTGTGTCTATTCATGTGTATATGTCTGTGTCTATTCATGTGCATATGTCTGTGTCTATTCATGTGTATATGTTTGTGTCTATTCATGTGTATATGTCTGTGTCTATTCATGTGCATATGTCTGTGTCTATTCATGTGTATATGTTTGTGTCTAATCATGTGTATATGTCTGTGTCTGTGCCTGTGTCTGTGTCTGTGTCCCGAGGGACTTATGTTGGTCGTACGAAGTGACTAGTGGATCGGGTGGTCAGGTTTGGTGACTTTGTTGACTGTGTTGTCATCTTACCCCTAACGAGTGGATCGTTGCCCACCCTATCGATCACTAGATTGTCTGGTACAGATTTGATTATGTGCAGACCGACGTCATATGACTTGAATATTGCCAAGTGCGAGTTTAAACAACACACTAACAGTAGCTATGGAAACAACTCTGCATAGTGAGCGTTGCACCGGAAACAAATTGAGTCCTGGACCGAATGTAAAACCACATGTGCGGACACGTTCCCCAGTATGTGTTATATCATTTTGACACAGGCGTACAAATTGTTGATGATGAAGTCATTGTATCATTTGTATTAACTTTGAACTGAAGTTCCTCTAACCTATTATGAAACCTCCCGAGATCCCCATGTAGCCCAGCACGGTGGAGACGGCCGTCGCAGTGGCCCTCTGGTGTGGCGGGAACCACGTGGCGGACACGAGGGATGGGCCAGCGAAGGATACTGTCCCAGCAACACCATTCAATATGGCTGCGATATTTATCAACCTGCTCCGAAAAACACAGAGTGTAAAATAGACATATTTCAGCTTAATTACAATTTATACAATAACACAATGATTGTGAAAGGTCATTGTTTTTGTAGTCGTGTATTATTCAGTAAAGTAAACAAGATAAAGGGTTTTATAGCAAAAATGGATAGAATTATCATAAACCGCCCCCATGTTACCAAAAATGTGCGGGCCACTTAGCTTGTGATGCCCTCATATTGCTTGACGACGGGCCATTATCACGCCCGTTGTTAGGTGACGTCAAAAGATAGGGAAAGGTGACGTCACGTTCAGTAGTGACGTCATCTGGTTTGTTCTATGACGTTTCCATATTTGTAAAAGAGGGTCAGTGACATTCGTCTTGATTGCAGTAAATGTTTCAAAACCGATATTGTTGTTTCGTTTCATTTGATAACAAATTCTATCCATTTTAGCTATAATAACGGTAACGGTAACGGCAGAAGCCCTCGGCCTTTTGAACTTCCTTCCTTCGTCGGGCAGTTAATCGAAGACCTCGGATTTGTGCAAATGATAATGCCCTGAAAAATAGCGTTACCTTTATAATATTTTCTGTTATGGACACTGTTTGTGGTGTAACGGAGCTTGGGGTTATTTTGTTAGTGCATCCAGGGTCACGTGGTTGATTGTTACACCAAACATAGCGGTACGTTTGCCTGAATCTGTCACATCAGTATACACAGACAGGGTACAGTCGAGACCACGTCCGACATTGTATCTCACAGACTCCTCGGACGTGATGCCACAATCAAGGCATTCATAATCATGTCAATAACAGTAGCACCATCACTCCACACAGCTGTCCATGAGATAAGATCAGATGCCCTTCATGTAATATGCATTCCCTTATCATAAGCATGTCCGAGGTCGAACAATGAAGGCCCTTACATGTATCTCTATAGACGATTAGGCTATCACTGGTTTATGCAAGATCAACGGAGATTACCTTTACATATTTACAACGGTGGCAGGGTAGCGTGGGTTATCGCAATAATAATTTACAAGATGCCTGTTCAATCAAACAAATATCGCGCGATGATCTCAGTATTTTATGACAGGGCGTTTTGTTGCACTGTGGCATTGGTATTTTGATAAAACGTTTTGACATCTGAAATTCACCTCGACATGCCTTCAATTGTGGCCCAGAGAAATCGATACAGTGATAATACGAGACGAGAACGCGATAACACGAGACGAGGAAGCGATAGAATGTCGTTGTTTCTTCATTTTGTTGGGAGTAAGGTGGGGTTTTCTGCATAAAAGCCAACTAAGATTTCACATTTCAAATTATACCCATGAAAAAATTGTTAAAATTGTATCACTATTTACATGAATGTAATTTAACTGCAGAAGTAGGTGAAATGTTTGTGTAAAAAGTAATTGTTTCATTTATGCTTCTATTAGGAGTTTTATGTGACCATCACGCCCGTCAGCGCGTTGCGGTTCATGACAAAATGCTCTAAATTAATCAGGTTAAAATCTAAATGCATACCTTTAAAAAGAAGTTATAGAACACACGAATCATCCATACGACTAAGGTTAATCAGTCATGGCCGTTTGTACTGCAAAACATAATCTTATTATTGTGCGTGTTCTTTACCTTGACAACGAGACAATGGTCGTTAAACTCTTTCTGTGGAGTTTTTACGAAATATAGGAAAAAATAAAAGTTTTTTTCTGTTGTAGTGTATGTGAATTTTGCTTATTTACTACAATAAAGATAAACACATGCGTGCATACACACTAAATATTTATCTACAAAAAAATGTTGAAATATAGGAATAAGAGGCAAAATAGCGATGAGAATTATAGGAAAGGATCAGTGAATATCAGCAAAAATGAAATGTGACTTGCAACATATTCAGCTCTCTTTTCTTAAAGAAACACACCTTGGCCCCCCAAAATGAAGAAAACAACAACATGACTCCCACTCCACCCACCCTTAGATCCATAATCAAACGGTCAGTCCAATAATGATACTAAGGTCAGGTTTAACAATTCGTTACTGTTTTTCGTGTATACTTTTTACAGAAACTAATAACACATGCGACACCTACAGTGGCCAAGAGGGGATATTGCTTTACCGCGAGAAAGCAAAAAGCGATAAAGCGATAACACGAGACGAGAAAACAATACATATCGCTTTCTCCTCTCGTGCTATCGCTTTCTCCTCTCGTGCTATCGCTTTCTCGGCTCGTGTTACGGCTAACTGACTTTCTCGTGGTCGTAATTGAAGGCGAGAAAGGGATGTACCCCCTCGGCCGCATTAGCTTCCGTTGCTACCAGTTGCTTTTACGAGTAATGTCCCTTCTTTGCCCCTCCTATTGACCAATCAGATTCCACCTCTCAGATCACTTGCATTTCCTTCAAACAAATGTCAAGACGACCTGATCGATGATTAATATATATTTCGCAATAAAACGGGTCTTACTTCGATAAGTGCATCAGATCATGTGAGCACCATAATTAAAAACATAAAAAGATTTGAAAGAAATTTGTCGACGCCAAGATGACGGTACACATACTTTGTAAATGCTGCAGTCGACCGAAATCTACACGTTGAAATCCATGTTGTTTACGGACCGGATGTCGAATTCATTACGCGATTTTGATTGGACTATGCATAAACTAGTTAGTCCAGCCATAATATAACTGTATGAGTGCAGCCTAGTTCGGCAAGGGTGGAAACTGAACTTTTACAGTCAGTTAACTCCCTTGCCTCGGGAAGATGGAAACTGAACTTTTACAGTCAGTTAACTCCCTTGCCTCGGGAAGATGGAAACTGAACTTTTACAGTCAGTTAACTCCCTTGCCTCGGGAAGATGGAAACTGAACTTTTACAGTCAGTTAACTCCCTCGCCTCGGGAAGATGGAAACTGAACTTTTACAGTCAGTTAACTCCCTTGCCTCGGGAAGATGGAAACTGAACTTTTACAGTCAGTTAACTCCCTCGCCTCGGGAAGATGGAAACTGAACTTTTACAGTCAGTTAACCCCCTTGCCTCGGGAAGATGGAAACTGAACTTTTACAGTCAGTTAACTCCCTTGCCTCGGGAAGATGGAAACTGAACTTTTACAGTCAGTTAACTCCCTCGCCTCGGGAAGATGGAAACTGAACTTTTACAGTCAGTTAACTCCCTTGCCTCGGGAAGATGGAAACTGAACTTTTACAGTCAGTTAACTCCCTTGCCTCGGGAAGATGGAAACTGAACTTTTGCAGTCAGTTAACTCCCTTGCCTCGGGAAGATGGAAACTGAACTTTTGCAGTCAGTTAACTCCCTTGCCTCGGGAAGATGGTTGTTCCAGTGATACAGTCTAGACCTGAGTACTGATGCACTGACCATGTTGCGGGGACAGGCTCACTCGTGATGCATCTCATCGCCGTCGCCAGCACTATCAACACGGCACACAACAGCATCGACGTCCGCAGGCCTGAAAAACGTTGTTTACATTGTCAATATGCCCGTATACATGAACACGCCATGTGCTTTACACCTGCCCACGTTATATTTAACGAAGTCTGACGTTAGAATGCATATGTTCAGTGATTCAGACTGGAGAACTCCAGGGTAGGAATGAGGATGCAAACATCCTTTTGGTAGGCGGGATTCAGAGGTCTATTTAGAAGGTGTTCGGGACTCAGCAGTGCGGTACGCGGGACGCACGTATAATCGTATTTGGTACACAGATTCATTTTTTTTTAAATAGTGTTCGTAAAGATTTCCTTGAACTTTTTTTATTGTTATAATTACTTCTCAATGCTTTTGAAATTTGAGTAAAGTAGTATTTCGGAGTCAGGTATGATCAATGATTCGGATTCAGGGCAACTCCGAGATTGGCATCCTTAGAAATTCCCACATGGGTACGATGTACTAAACTAATTCTTTGAATCCCCCGCCACGGTAACGCTGCGACACTGATAAAAGGGGCGGATACGGTTGTCATCGAGATAAGATAAACAGTAAATCTTCCACGGGTGATATCTGTCTTCTCGTCAAGCTTACCTTTGACATCCATCAGCCAGGCAACAGGGACCATAAACACAATGTACACAATATTCCCCCAGTTGTTCAACATGCCTATTTCAGCGTCCGTCCACCCGAACACAGCCTCGGCAGACTGAGCTATAGGTCCGAAACAGTTCCACACCGCGGCCTGGAGCAGTGCGGCATAGGAAAAGACCAGGACCACATACCACCGCCTCTTGTAGGACTTGATGTCCCTGGAGGAACCAAGCAGAGGGGAAGCTTCATCAATGACCGACTGTATTGGACCGCAGTCTGTATATCCTTGCGGGTCACTCAATGGTGACACCAAACTCCTTTCTTCTGTATCTGCCATTCGGCCAGATTATAGTGTCTTATGATGACGGATTCATTATAAAGTCATGAAAAGTTCACCAGTTTCCTGTGGGAGTACCATAATATGCTAGGCTTGCGCCCTGTGACTCTTCGGCTTTCAACAGTTGGCTTCCGGCTGTGCCTTTGTCCCTAATAGTTAACGTAATTCAACACTACGTAACGGAGTGTTTTCCACACACTCAACAGTGTATATCAACCAGGTTGCTTGTAGTCGATGTGGTAAAGGCGAGCTTGTTATCACTTATCGTAATGAATGCAATTTCATCTCTATGTCAAGGTTCACGAACTGAACCAACGCATGACATGTGATTGAGCTGAGGTGAGGTGAAATGGCATTTAACGTCTCGTCCAAGATTATTGCACTTATATAGCGACGTACATGCATGTGTGTGTGTGTGTGTGTGGCTGCTTGTACTAGTCCGGACTGATGCCGATTTTATAGCGCTAGCCCGTTGGATACTATGAGGCAGTTTTACATGAATACCCCACTCAGACACAGTGTACTGATAAGGTATCTTGTTCTAGGCCCTTTATGCCGAGCGCCAGGCATGGTAACAACAAGTACGTTATATTAACGTATTTTGGACAATCCGCTCTCCGGGTGGACGCTCTACCACTAGACCACGGAGGCGGTCATGTGATTGAGATTGAGGGCAAACCCTGTGTTGACGACACAAATGCAGTCGTTATTGACGATGTTGTCGACTCAAAATGACGCGTCGAACAGGAAGTCTTGCTCGTAGATCTGCTGCTCTTTAACGGTTTCGCACGGTCTTGTCGGAGATTCTGCGCAGTCCTGGTATTTGGGATGCGGTTGAGGTTGCTGTGGTCGTCCTTTCACGTAGGTGGCGCAGTCGGATGTAGCGATCTTGTGTGGGGGTGGTTACCTTTAAGTCGTCCCCATTTTGGCCGATCACGTGTTGACCCATGCTGATGAAACCGATCCAATAGCTTTGTGATGTGATGGGCGCTACATTGAAAACCCTTGCTACGGCTGATCTGGATTCCCCTTCCTACACGCGACCTTTGACGTTGTTTCTTTGCACTTCTGTTAATATTGGCATGTTGTTCAACTGTCACTGTTCGATTGACCAAGATGCCAGGCAATCAAAAATCCTGCTCTTTAACACCGTTCATAGCGCTGATGTACGTGCAGTACGTGAAGCTCCATGGCCCTTTTGTTGATGCACAGGGTGCGTTTTTCCGAATCGTACGTGTTTCCTGACTAATGGTTTGCATGTCCTTGTTGTGATCATTTTGATCCGGAAAATTTGTCACTGACACTATAACACATTAAACTTCTTCATTTTGCACCTCTTGGTCCGCTAGTTTTGCTTTAGGGCCAAAAAATTCCGTATTGCGTTTCTTTTTTTAGGAGTATACGAACTATCGTCATATCATTGGCGACACCGCTTTGTAAAAGGCTTTCCCTTCTTTGTGACTTTGCCAGCACAGTGCCGAGGACTGCCAATGTGGGATGAATAACATGGTGTACCATTTTCACCTAACGGATAAACTGTCATCAAACATCACTATGTGGAGACACGGAGTCATTGCCGGCGTCGACTGTGTCGAGACGTGGTACAAGGGCAAGGTTACCGTTAGACACGATCAAAATTATGTGGCAACATAAACAATAGTGTCCACGCAATTCTTATCAGTCTTCTTACGGAACATCGACGTAACTCTAGCCTCATCTATTTGATAAGGACTTGCGAGTTTCTGTGTTGCTCTTGCGAATACTCTATAATACACAGGTCCAACACACATCAGGACAACAGGTATGCTGTTTCTCTTTCTCATAAAGGGTTCGTTAATGAAGTAATGCAAATTTTATTTGAAACTTTGTGTGAATCCGCCAAAGGAAATGTTGTTTGTGTCACATTGATGGAATTAGAAATGGATTTCTTTAATAACTGAGGTGAGGTTTGTAGACAGTTGTATGTGTTTGATAATAATCACAAATACATACTTGTAATTCTTCGTGTCCTTGTTGAGAAGATTTAAATACCTTATACCAATCAGCGTCAATCACGACACCTTACCCTTTCAAACGATTATGCATCTTGCCAATCATATGTATATTACAAGCAAGCCCATACCATACGAAGCCCTTGTGCTGCTAGTTTCTTCTACAATGTTTAATTTATGTTTTAAAGGGAAAAAAATCACGTATACATAAGTGAGTAGAATATCACTCAATTTGAATAGTACATCAGGTTTACACTGTTGTGTCACCGGAATACAGGGCGGAGACCCATAATAACTATGATTCTAGCAATCCTTGGATCGTAAAAAGGGATCATTAAAGGGAGGTGTTCCTAAGAGCTAAGAGTGTCGTAGCTTGACACATGTAATTACAGAGACGCGTGGCCCCTTCGTGCGTCTCGAGTTATTCTTAAGGGTTTTTCTGCCCTTGTGTTGGGAGGGGGCGATATTGGGAAAAAGTCAGGAAACGTGGTGTCGTGGCACTGGATTATGTCATCCACACTCGCTATCACTGAAATGTCTGTCCCGAACCAGATCGTTTACAGGCCGTCGTCGTGTGGCAGGAGCATTGCTGGTTGCGGCGTTAGGCAACAAATAAGCACATAAATTGTTGGATTAGCAGGTAATACGGGTGTGGCAGGCAATGCTCGCTCTTTTCGCGAGTACTTGGTGTCGCCACTGTTTTTTCAGTGATCTACTCAGATACTTTTCATCACTTCGTTGCCTTTTGATGATTTCCATCTTTACCTAACAATGCGATGATGTGAGTATGAAGATGATTATGATGACCAGCATATCAATTACATAAAGTTCAAATGTTGTGAAGCTGCGTTTGCAAAATCATGGAAAGCACGTTCAACAATAGAGTAACGTGGTGTCTGGAATCAAATAATTTAATTTCATTATGCAGTGTGGTTTACGAAAGATCGAAGTACGGATGACCATATAGTTTGTCAGGTTGATAAAAATGCAGTCAATTTGCAGTGTGATCTTGTTCAATCTAGAAATAGCGTACGACACAACACGGAAACACTGGTAATAATTTACATGACCTTAAAAAGTCTCATTGTAAGTCGTAGTTATTTTTGTTATATGTTCGTTTGGTTTGAAGGGCGTCGGATCATTATACGCAGGTTCAGCGTGTCCTACATAGCAATATTTTTTTCTGTCACACTACTTACAATCTGTCGTATGTTACTTTGTTTATCATTATATAGACGGGTCGCTTTTCGTTGACGATTTTAGCATATCTTGTCGTCGTAGAACTATACAGTCAATAGAAGGGCAGTAACAGTTATGTCCTAACAAAATTCAAAATTGGGCAGTTGAAAACTTTCTCTTATTCACCCTCTTCGAATAAGACTAAAAATTGCAATTGACGGTAGATGCTACATCTGAGATGTCATGCAAAAGAAGATGTGCGACGATGTTATAGTAGGTGATCTAACTTTCGTAGCTGGCGATTAATAGACCAAATGGGCGTCCTTGTATGATAGTGAAGTACTAAGCCAGCACGAGCCAGCGCGCACGTAGTGTTTTAGCTCTACTCAGCGCTAATAAGCGGTGCTATTTGGTGTGTGATTGGATTAATGTAAGGTTGGATTAAGGTGAGGATTCTCCTGTAAACCTGACAGAGGACGTTTTGTTTCGTTATTAGATATAAATCCACTGATGCTTGAGAGGAGGGGTTGTCGCATTCATATTGAGTCGCATTCTTGGCTAGGGGCCAGCGGTCGCATTCTTTTGGAGACGCATTAATTTCACGTTTTACAATATTGTAAGCCTCCTCCAACCTGTTTTAAATGTATTCTGCAATATTTTAATGGGTGTGTACAGGTTTGTATATGCTATAAAGTCAAACATGATACCTATAAGCTATGTGAATTGAAATCCGAATTCACATATTCATGTATATGCTATGCACATGCACAAATTATTCAAAATACGAACCACCTGTTTTCTCCATATCTGTTAAATTAACCCCTTTAAGTACTTTCCTATCTGACAGTCTTCACCGTTAACATCTAGTGCATGAAACAGTCCAGCTGAAACCTGTAGCCATAACAATAGGCACACCAGCCTCAACATGTCGCCATGAATATTGATGTCACTGTTCATATCAAACCTATCCATGCACGTGGAATGGCCGTTGTTGTGAGATAAGGTGTCGGAATAGATGGACTGTTGGATTGGGTCAACCTACACTAGATCTTCCAGCTCAGTGTTCAATTGGAACCATTTGCAACGAAACATTGCGGGAGTACCACGGCTGCTGATCAAGGTATGTGAGTCAGAGTCACCATATTTCTGAAAGTTTATCAAACTGATTGCTCCAATTCGGGGTTAAATCATGACCAACATCGCTGTGACATAGAGCCCATGAACATATTTAATATTTAATGCTGGTCTGATTCGAAACATTATTCTGCTTTACGTTCTTTAAAATACTGATGGTAAAAACAAACTTTATAGAAGTAGCCACTGAAAACATAAGATGTTTATTTTGTGAGTTGATAACATTTATCTTTAACATTTCAGATTTATAGTCCATATTCAAGAAAGGGATATATGTTGATCTTAACTTGGAATACTTGTTACACTTAAATGAGACATGGAATTCATCTTCAATTTCACCTTTCTCACAATCGGTACAAACACTGTTAACAACATCAATATCTGTCGATTTACGACACATATTTACTTTAAAATTATGTAATGAGATTCTAAATTTACAAAACGATCTTATTAATGACTTGCCTGGTAAAACAGATATATGCATTTCCTGTTGAAGATGTGTCTTTAGGTTACTATAATTGCTTAGATAATGCGAAGATGAAACAGTTTTGCACCAGTTTTGTGCAAATGTACCTTTCACTCCCTGCTTGAATATTCCCATAAACACTTGAATGTTACCAATTTCCTGTGCAATCCACACAAAAGAAAAAACACATGTAAATAATAAATTTCTAACTTCAGATTACCCAGTTATGTTTACCTATATCATCTAACTGCTTTGACAATTTATAACATTAAAGGGGATATCTACTTTATTCCATTCTTAGTAACTTTATCCAGTATTTAACTATCACTGACATTGATAAACATATTTAAGTAACAGTTATAATCTTCTCGTATATAAATGACGTATGTTTGTAAAAATAGCAAACAAGCAGTTTCCCTGAATTCATTACTCATTACAAATACCCCATGGTGCTATTTCGGTTAAAAAGCGACAAAAACATTTTCATAATCATAAGAAATATCTACTGCAAGCAGCGTCTCCATTGCATGATTCGGACGATATCATAAACAGGTGTAAATGAAGCACTGTCAAATAGCGATGATACCATGTGTTCGCGACCAGGTGAGCGTATCCTGACCCAACGGTGGCACAAACACACACAAAGGCAGGCCAATTGTTCACAAGAACATAACACATGTCATTGTAGATGTTATGACATATGAAAACAGTACAGCAACACAATGCTGTATTTAATCAGGCAAGGTATGAATCACTATACCAATTACATGAGAGTAGTGACATTATCGAGTAACTGTAAACTACACACTTAACTTACACACACTACATTGCACCATATGATGAGGTGTGTTCAGATGAGGATTGCAACCCGTCATCGTCTTCAAATATACATATGTTGATCGATGTATTGATTCGAGGATGGGAAATGTATTTCTCTGTAAGTGTTTGACAATGAATATACCACAAAGACTAAAGCATTGTTGCCTGATCAGATTCCACAAATATCACACGCAGATTTTATCTTCAGGTGACTCTTAAAAGCGCCAGTATCGATTATCTATATGATGATGATAAGAAGAATTCTTACATGTTTCGCTAAAAAATCAAAGGCGCCGAATCTTTTTTATCCGGCGTACACTTATTCTAGTTACGCCACTATGGCCTGACATATCCTTGGTGACATCGTTCTTTTATTACTGTCAAGCAAAATAGCGTAGCCACATCAATTATAGACCGGTGAAATAGTTTCTTTAAACTTGTCGAATATTTGAATGTTATTCCCTGAGAATAAATATGGCAAGATGATGTCAATCATGTATGATACCGCAGGGTTTTCCCCAACAAATTCAATCCACTGGGTTGTGTCACATCTGTACGAGTCGGGCGTTGGTGCACCAGAACTTAGGCCTGCCTCTCGACACAGATATAAGCAATCCTTGACGAGCGCCATAAGCAGTCTGTGACGTGCACCAGTAGCTCGATGTGGGTCATTTAGCAACATACTGCAGTTGAACAAAGCGACCGCTGTTGCTCTTCCTCCGCCATGTTCGTACCACGGTGACGCCACATCACGCCCCAGGCCGTCGGTTACGGTATCTCGTTGTGCATCCAACTGGTTAAACACAGAATTTCATGTCTTTTAGTTCCTGCAGTCTGCTAACATTAGTAGGGGAAACAAAGTTGCAACTTTTACGCCAGCAAACTCACAAAAACAAGCGACACCGAACTTCGGCCATGTTTTACATGATTGTTAGTTTCGAGTCACGTTATTACACTAAATCTAAAAATCATTAAAAATACATAAATATAACTCATTATTATTGCTTCATAGGGTTATGGATAATCACACACTGAACGGATAATAAAATGTGACTTCAACCATATGTGACCAATTTAGTCGTGTTTTATTAGATTTAAAACGTACTTGGTCTCTTAACAAAAGGACTCAGAACTCAAAAACCATAGGAGATGTCTTAACCAAACTTGGCACATAGATAGGTCTAGTGGTGTACTGGTGCCTTTTGATAGGTTGGGATTTTTATGAAAAATTACTTTTCGAGTTTCCATGGCAACGAGTTTGACTTAGACTGAAAATGGCGGTAGTGCTTCTTCCCTATGTTATATTGGCGCGGGATATGAGTATTTCATGCTTGTTACAACTACTTTTGCGCCCAATGGAATATGTCTCGGCAGATAATCGAGAATGATTATTCTCGGTAGTTGACTTTTTTATATACTTAATTACAACGTTTCTTAGAGAGTTACTTTTGTAAAACACACACTTTCTTCGCAGCAATTGGCATGCCGCCCGAACGCTCAATGTAGCATTACGTACTACCAATATTGCTGACCGTCACGTTGTTCATACTCTACCTTCTGCCGACAGATCTGGTCCAGAATGATGGCGTCGTCCCAACCCGGCTACGGCACAGTCGACTACGTGGTGTTCTCCTTGCTGCTGCTGCTCTCACTAGCTATAGGTGTCTTCTTTGCTGTTCGATCACGTCGTCGTCAAACCACGTCGGACTTTCTCCTCGCCGGCCGGAAAGCCCCGTATCTCCCTGTAGCGATGTCGTACCTCGCAACGTTCGAGTCGTCCATCATGATGCTGGGCAAGCCATCTGAGACTTATGTGTATGGTTCGCAATGGTTCCTGTCCTCAGCCGGGTTTGTTGTCGCTCAAATCTGTGCCACTTTCATGTTCGTCCCCATGATCTACCGACTCAATATCACAAGTATTTACGAGGTAATACACGAGACTGGTGATTTTGTTACATGATCCTGAACAATATATCAATTAGTTCTGTTTTGTTATTGCTGAAATAGCTCACCCGTGAGGATCCCGGTTCGGAGAGGTCGTAAGAGGGGACAATGCTTGTCGCAAGAGGCATCTAAGGGGATCGGGTGGTCAGACTCGCTGAATTGGTTTCTGAATGTCATCATATCCCAATTGCGTGGATCGATGCTGATGATGCCAATCACTGGATTGTCTGGTCCAGATTCGATTATTTACAGACCGCCGTCATATAGCTGGAATATTGCTGATTATTTTACAGACCCTTGATAGAACAAAAACTACGAACAGCCTACGAGACTCACGTGCTGAGGTCACCGGTTTCATTGAACCGAGTTCACGACTGCAGGCGATATTTCACCTCCGATACAGATTATACATTTGGGAGTTTTTATTACAGTTATTTAATTAAAAAGCGATGAGTTGGTTTATAAGTTGAACAAACCATTTCTCCTATACATAAACGCAGCATGAATGAGGCACTTTAGAAGTAGGGAATGCTGTGAAAGGTCCCGTGGATTATTCCCGGAAAGACTTATGTGTAGTAAAGCGTATGACAGCACAGTATTTCCCCGTGAACCTTCATTTCGATTGATGTAACTCTCCTATATCTGTATTCCCAGTACCTGGAAGTAAGGTTCAAGTCGAGGCTAGTCAGGATGATTGGAGCTGCACTCGGAACCATGCAACAGGTAACACTTGAATAACACCCGGATAATTCAGTTACTTTGTTTTGTATTGAAGACACTCATCACTGTGAAGTTTGATTCCTCAGTTGGACGCAATATTGGGAAACCCTTCTTGGTATGGGCTGCCGCTATGTGGTTGGAATATTGCTAAACACTCACTCATTCACTCACTCAGATTATTCACTCAGATCATTCACTCACTCATTCAGATCACTCACTCACCTACTGAACTCACCCACCCACAAACTCAATCACTCACTTGAAAAAAACACTAACTCCTTCACTCACACGTGTCTGTAATTATGGTGTCAAAGTGGATATAAAAGGAGGTTTCTTATTTGCAGATAACCTATATCGCCATCGTGATCTTTGGTCAGTCGCTGACACTGGAGGCTGGTAAGGGCAGCGCGAAACTTAGATATACGATTTCGGTTTCGTTAAGAAACAGTTTACTGGCAAATCTGTATATATGTATCAATGATGCTTTGTCTCGTTCACAAAATGTTCATTTTTAAAACCTCACTGATGCAAGATATCTATTTCCCAAAATGCAGATGTCGTACTCAGACGAAATGAATAATAATTTATTTTTTTTTAAACTAGGCTTGGTCAAATGACAGGACGCTGTGAAATGAGCTACACTAATCACACACCTCGAAATCTTCCTATTAGGAATCAACGTTAACTATGATTTTCTATAATTATTATTCTTTTGAATACATCAAAATGAATGTCTTTACGTTATCATTGATCACGTATGCCATCCGAGAACTTTCAAGCAGGTCACTTTACCAATCGCACTTACGTTGTTGACGATGACCTTTGCGTTTGTTTCAGCCATCGGAATGCACGTGGAGACGTCTATGCTGGTGTCGACTGTCCTCGCCGTAGTTTACACCTCTCTGGTGAGTCGTAGATTTACCTTGTTATGAGATCCTTGCCGTTATTTCTACCCATTGTTGTTCTGTGCAAATATACGAGTTCTACATGGAGATTGTGGAGGCCAAAATTTATTGTCCTGTAATGCGTCTATTTTGATGTCGATTAAGGCGGTTAATATGCTGAGCATAGTTCCCCCTAAGTATGTTTCTAGGTTTGTCAGCACCATACCCGTGCTCGTGGATTTCACCTAAGTGGAAAACGTGTAAGACCTGCATCACTTCGGGCTTTCCTCCCTCATTAAGCTGACAAGCCATGATATAACTGGAATACTATTAAAAGCGGCGTTAAACACAACCTACACACACTATTTTGCTCGAGGGCGGAGAGATAGCCAAGTGTTTAAATCGTTCAATTCGCTCCCCACGGCGAAGACACGGGTTCGATTCTTCACATGAGTACGATATATGAAGCTAACATTTGGTGCCTCTTGTTGGGTTTTCGTTTAAATATTGCTAAAAGATTATATTCCCCCGCGCAGTCACGTAACGCCTCAATTGGTAATCACTGTTAAAGTCCCTCCTTGTTGGACCTGTGACACTGCAGCATTGCATTAATGTAACGTTATTATTATCACTGTTGTTGTTGTTGTTGTTGTTGTTGTTGCTGTTGCTGTTGCTGCTCCATATTTCCATAATGTTTTCTTTCAGGGAGGAATGAAAGCTGTCATCTGGACCGACGCGTTCCAGTGTGCGCTCATGTTCATTGGCATGATCGCCATCATCATCAGGGTGAGTGGCTGATGCTGACATATGGTTCACACTGCCCTGTTGTTGTGCATGCTCTGTTTCAGCTTTAGATTTGTGCATAAGGATTCAGAGTAACACAACACTCTCCACTAGACTGTGTGACAAAAGGGATGACTTCAACTTTCCAATAGCCAACTTTTCCTTCATGTCGAGCATTAATCCAGCAGCTCCAGCCTCTGGTGTTTACATTTCACAACTTTTGAGATACGATCGGGCAGGCTCTTTCTACCAAGATTTCAAAGAGCGTTCTGTTGCCCAGAAGTTGTTAGATCAAGGCTACAACATCCAAGGCCTCAATAAAGCTTTCAAAAGGTTTTATGGTATACACTTCCAAATGTGATGCACCAGTGACAAAAATGATGCCCGATGCTATTCCCTATTTTGACTTAAACCATTTGTTCCCGTGCTTTTTCAGTCGAACAATTGATTTGCCTTTGCATGTGTTTGTGACGGGTACCATCGGTGGTGCAGGATACACTCACCTTTTTGAAAGCTCCTGGTGTCACCACTATTTGATAGTGATTCAAAAACACATGAGTATGACATAGTTGGAATCGAACAATTAAGTCTGCTTTATGCATATATTTCTCATGAATATGGAAAGGGTCAATGTCAATTTAGTGATGCTCATTGTTCTGGCATTGTTTCTTTAAGACCGCCTCCGTTGTTCAGACGGTAGAGCGTCTGCCCTGAGATCTGAAAGTCGGTGGTTCGATCCCCTGACGGAGTCATACCAATATACGTTAAAAGCGGGGCCGTGTTGTCACCCTGCCTGGAGCTTGGCATTAAGGAGATAAAATAAGGACTGGTCGCCTCGTAGTCAGTGTACTGTGTCTGAGTGCTGTATCTACGTTAAACTAGCCACGGTATCTCAGCTGGCTGGCTTCATAAAACCGGCATTAATCCGGAAGAGTACGAGCACACACGCACGCACGCACGCACGCACGCACGCACGCACGCACGCACGTATGCATATCGTTGTATCGTGACTGTGTTGTGTCACGTTCAGTGAATGTCATGCACATGCCATGTTGCAGGGATGTGAGGTTGTTGGTGGCGGCCACGAGGTCATGGCACGGTCAGTCGCAGGTGGCAGAGTGAACTTCTTCAAGTACGTAACTCTTTGTTTTTTTGTTTTTTTGTTGTTTAACGCCGCATTCACCAAAATGCCAGCTATGTGACAGCGGTCTGTACATAATCGAGTTTAGACAATCCGGCGATTGACAGCATGAGAAACTGTCCACGAATTTGGTATACGATGACATGCATCAACCAAGTCAGCGAGACTGACCACCCGATCCCGTTAGTCGCCTCTAACGACAAGCACAGTCGCCTTTTACGGCAAGCATGGGTTGCCGAAGACCTATTCTACCCCGGATCTTCGCGGATCTTGCCGGGTTGTAATTCTACGTCAACCATGACAGATGCTATTGTAATAACTTTAACGTTGGAGGTATGCAGCATAAAATACCAAGGGTGCCACGTGTTGCCCAGTCGTCGTAAGCTGTTTGTTTGTTTGTTGTTTAACGCCGCACTCAGCAATATTCCAGCTATATGACGGCGGTCTGTAAATAATCGAGTCTGGACCAGACAATCGTATGATTAATATCATGAACATCGATCCACGCAATTGGGATCGATGACATGTATCAACCAAGTCAGCGAGCCTGACTACCCGATCCCGTTAGTCGCCTTTTACGACAAGCATAGTCGCCTTTTACGGGTATGGGTTGCTGAAGACCTATTCTACCCCGGAATCTTCACGGGTCTCGTCGTAAGCATCAGAATTTGTTGTAAAGATTTCTGTCCCGTTGTGCCCGAGTGCTATTATCGAAGGTTCGAATCCTTAATTCCTTTTAGCCCCAAATTGCTTGTGTAAAGATGTTAAATTGATAAAACGTCTAATACTTGCATTACGTCCCCTTGGTGTTGACAGGCCGTGATATCATTGGAATAACGTTTAATTCGGTGTTAAACCTAAATCATTCACTGTAATACAAAGAGTGAGAAATCAGCTGTGCTGGAAGAGCTTGTGAAATGGAAATATCTAAACTGAATAAGAAATAACATTGTTATACATGGATATAAATATAATCATGATTCGATATGGATGTAAGAGAGGGAGAGAGAAAGGGGGGGGGGGGGGGGTGTTCGTGATTGACATACTGTGTTTATTAGTTCGTGATCTTTTCTTTCAGCTTTGACCCCGACCCCACAGTTCGACACACCTTCTGGGGACTGTTTGTGGGGACAATCTTGAGGGAGTCCGCATTTGTGTTCAGTCAGTCTTCAGCGCAGAGAGTCAGCTCCACATCTTCAGAAACACAAGCCAAGAAGTACGTCTTTTCACATGTACAGGGGCATACACTTGCACTGTATACATAGGATATATGCGACTCAAAACCAAAGAAAGACACTCACAAATGATTTAAATATCCATTTTGCAATGATGATGTTTAGTGTTAATGGAATGATCATATACTATCGTGAAGGATCAGCGTACAGTTACCTATCTCGTCGCATTTATGTTAGTGGACAACAGTCACGGTCATAGAAATCGTAGGATTGACAAATACGCTCACCTTTTCGCGAACACCAACGCGAACCGCAAAGCACCACGGTAAAATAACAATATACAGTGTTATTCATACAGCAGCTAATGAAGGGCAGCCAAAACATCGTCTTAAGCTTCCCTTGGTGTAAGACAAGTCGGTTCATACCAGTAGGTTTCATCTGAAATGATGAACAGTTTAAGTATATCAATCGGTTTGTGTATGTGACGGGTACCACCCGAAGGGCAGGATACGCTCTCCTTTTCGCGAACACCTGGAACCATCACTATTTGATGGTGCGCCATAAACACATGCTCATGATGTAGTCGGTTCGTACAATGGACTCTGTAGAGATTGCCTATGTGTATGGACAGGGTATTGTAAAGCTTGTATAAACTCCCCCATGGTCATGGCTGACAACTGACGCAGGCTTCCAGATCCATCAGCAATATTACATGCAACCCTTCTTCTATCCTAGAATGATGCTTGTGTCTGCGCCGGCATTTCCCTTGATGACGGGGCTGGCTTTGCTGATGGGACTGGTGGCTTATGCTTACTATGACAAAATACAATGCGACCCATTACAGTCGGGACAGCTGTCTAGCCCTAATCAGGTGATAAGAATGAGTGAGTGAGTATGTTTTTTAGCCGCTCTCAGCAATATTAAGCAATATCACGGCGGGGGACACCATATCGGGAATCGAGCACAGGTCTTCGGTGTGAAGAGCGAACGCTTTAACTATAGGCTATCATTAAGTCATTAGTAAGTGATGTTTGTGTGTGTGGCGGGGTTGGGGTGATTTGTTAAGGTGGCGTTACACTCAACTCACTCAATCACTGACTTAATCGATTGTATTATAGAAACTTAAGTTTGTTTAAAACGGGCAGACGGTAACCCACTTACCAACATTTATCATTTCCCTTGACTATAATTTCATGAACTTACCGTAGATGAGGGATTCCTTACTCAATCCTTTGAGAGCCACGCCATGTTTTAGTGGAAACTATTACATGGTGGTAACGTTTCACGAGTACACCTCTCTCTGTCAACTCTTACCTGAAACAAACACATCGATATCTCGTGACGAAATATCAAATATACCAGTGCATATTACTATCTGTCGTCTTGTAGATTATTCTCCTGCTGGTGAAGGATTTGTTCTGGGATATACCAGGAATGTCCGGGCTGTTCCTTGCATCTCTGTTCAGTGCTGCTCTCAGGTACGTGTCTTCCTGGAATGTCCGGGCTGTTCCTTGCATCTCTGTTCAGTGCTGCTCTCAGGTACGTGTCGTCCTGGAATGTCCGGGCTGTTCCTTGCATCTCTGTTCAGTGCTGCTCTCAGGTACGTGTCTTCCTGGAATGTCAGGGCTGTTCCTTGCATCTCTGTTCAGTGCTGCTCTCAGGTACGTGTCTTCCTGGAATGTCAGGGCTGTTCCTTGCATCTCTGTTCAGTGCTGCTCTCAGGTACTTGTCTTCCTGGAATGTCCGGGCTGTTCCTTGCATCTCTGTTCAGTGCTGCTCTCAGGTACGTGTCTTCCTGGAATGTCCGGGCTGTTCCTTGCATCTCTGTTCAGTGCTGCTCTCAGGTACGTGTCGTCCTGGAATGTCCGGGCTGTTCCTTGCATCTCTGTTCAGTGCTGCTCTCAGGTACGTGTCTTCCTGGAATGTCCGGGCTGTTCCTTGCATCTCTGTTCAGTGCTGCTCTCAGGTACGTGTCTTCCTGGAATGTCCGGGCTGTTCCTTGCATCTCTGTACAGTGCTGCTCTCAGGTACGTGTCGTCCTGGAATGTCAGGGCTGTTCCTTGCATCTCTGTTCAGTGCTGCTCTCAGGTACGTGTCTTCCTGGAATGTCAGGGCTGTTCCTTGCATCTCTGTTCAGTGCTGCTCTCAGGTACTTGTCTTCCTGGAATGTCCGGGTTGTTCCTTGCATCTCTGTTCAGTGCTGCTCTCAGGTACGTGTCTTCCTGGAATGTCCGGGCTGTTCCTTGCATCTCTGTTCAGTGCTGCTCTCAGGTTCGTGTCTTCCTGGAATGTCCGGGCTGTTCCTTGCATCTCTGTTCAGTGCTGCTCTCAGGTACGTGTCGTCCTGGAATGTCCGGGCTGTTCCTTGCATCTCTGTTCAGTGCTGCTCTCAGGTACGTGTCTTCCTGGAATGTCAGGGCTGTTCCTTGCATCTCTGTTCAGTGCTGCTCTCAGGTACGTGTCTTCCTGGAATGTCCGGGCTGTTCCTTGCATCTCTGTTCAGTGCTGCTCTCAGGTACGTGTCTTCCTGGAATGTCCGGGCTGTTCCTTGCATCTCTGTTCAGTGCTGCTCTCAGGTACGTGTCTTCCTGGAATGTCAGGGCTGTTCCTTGCATCTCTGTTCAGTGCTGCTCTCAGGTACGTGTCTTCCTGGAATGTCAGGGATGTTCCTTGCATCTCTGTTCAGTGCTGCTCTCAGGTACGTGTCGTCCTGGAATGTCAGGGATGTTACTTGCATCTCTGTTTATTGCTCTCTCAGGTACGTGTCGTCCTGGAATGTCAGGGCTGTTCCTTGCATCTCTGCTCAGTGCTGCTCTCAGGTACGTGTCTTCCTGGAATGTCAGGGATGTTCCTTGCATCTCTGTTCAGTGCTGCTCTCAGGTACTTGTCGTCCTGGAATGTCAGGGATGTTCCTTGCATCTCTGTTCAGTGCTGCTCTCAGGTACGTGTCGTCCTGGAATGTCAGGGCTGTTCCTTGCATCTCTGTTCAGTGCTGCTCTCAGGTACGTGTCGTCCTGGAATGTCAGGGATGTTACTTGCATCTCTGTTTATTGCTCTCTCAGGTACGTGTCGTCCTGGAATGACAGGGATGTTCCTTACATCTCTGTCCAGTGCTGCTCTCAGGTACGTGTCTTCCTGGATTGTCAGGGCTGTTCCTTACATCTCTGTCCAGTGCTGCTCTCAGGTACGTGTCTTCCTGGAATGTCCGGGCTGTTCCTTGCATCTCTGTTCAGTGCTGCTCTCAGGTACGTGTCTTCCTGGAATGTCCGGGCTGTTCCTTGCATCTCTGTTCAGTGCTGCTCTCAGGTACGTGTCGTCCTGGAATGTCAGGGATGTTCCTTGCATCTCTGTTCAGTGCTGCTCTCAGGTACGTGTCGTCCTGGAATGTCTGGAATACCTGAAAATCATATGAGTTGTAATCCCTGATATCTCGTGAAAGGCTTGCGGCGACGCATGCGATAATCAGCCCCAAAACAAATTATATGTTTGCTCAATAATTAGATGCTGACGGTCCCGACATTGCAGCTCGAGGGAGCCTACCCTGCCTCATATATGTCATGGTTACTACAGGTCCGACACGGTACTCATAATGGCGCATGTTGTATTCCAGTACCATCAGCTCCGCCATGAGTAGTTTCTCTGCCAACATGTGGCGGGACTTTCTCCAACCCTACCTGCCCACTATGTCGGAGAGAAGAGCTGTCATCGTTGCCAAATTAGCAGGTGAGCAATCTAACGTGCGATACATGACAGCCTGGGCTAAAATAGTATTTTACCCTTTTTGTTGGCACTATAACATTTGAATGACATCCACAGTCACTTGTGGATGTTTAGTCAAGCTTAGCCAAAACACTAAACGTTACCAGCAACATTGGTGCATTGTTAGAGGTGTGTGTTTTGTACCATCCTTGCCCACATGCTTGAACATGTGGACGTTTAGTCAAGCTTAGCCAAAACACTAAACGTTACCAGCAACATTGGTGCATTGTTAGAGGTGTGTGTTTTGTACCATCCTTGCCTACATGCTTGTACAGTTACTGTTTTCAGGAATTGGTTCACATATCCCGGTAGGATAAATAATATGTGTCTGATTGACATATCATGGTAGCGCAGTTACGTACCTTTGCTACCATGGTCTGCTAGACACGAGATCGAATCCCGTTTTATGATTCTTGGTCTATCAAACTGTTTATCCGCTCTGGAAAGCGCTAAAAAATCTAAGTATGCCTGTTAAAAAATGGTGTAGCTCGATCATTTTATTACCGTCTTCGCCACGCTTGTGGTTTTGACACAGAGGTCCACCCATGGTACGACCCGGAATATGTCGAGGGCGTCTGTTAAAAAATGGCTGTATTAATGTTTATATGTTGTTTCACGCCTGACTTAGCAATACTCCATCTATATGACGGCGGTCTTTAAATAATAGAGTCTAGACAAGACAATCCAGTGATTGATATGTGCATCGATCTACGAAATTGCGATACGATGACATACATAAACCAAGTCAGCGAGTCTGACCCCCGATCCGGCACAGCATAGTCGACTTTTACGGCAAGCATGGATTGCTGAAGACCGGATCTTCACGGGTCCTGTATTAAGGAATTACGTTTATGAAAGAAGTTGCGTTTGTGTATATAAAGACAAGAGTAGTCGTCTAGAAATATGCGTTGTGATATGAGTGAATTGCTGCTGGAAGCGACGTTCACTATATACGATAATAGGCTGGCAAATTGGCAACATTGTATAAATACCTGTCAATGATAAATTTATGTTGAGGTGAAAGCATAAATCTTGTTTATCGTTCAACTTTGTTCTCAACTTTATAACGTATCAAATACAGTTCCACTCACTCACGCACCATAACGGTCACTCACTTGTCAAAATACTAACTGTCAGCAGTTTTATATGAATCCTTGATTCTGCCTATCTGTTTACATACCAGTCGGACTCTCAACATAACAACATCCATATAGGCCAAGGTAAATGGGATCACTCCGCTAATGGAAAATGTATAATGCTCCATTAATGACGTCGGTTTAACATTTTTGTATGACATGTTTGATCCCAGTCATGGGGCAGCATGTTTATAGCTATTTGTTTTTAAAACAACAAAATACGTTATGACCTTTTTCTGGCATTTAATTTCAACACAATTGGAATACAAAAAATTGCCACAGAAGCTTTTAATTCAGTTGAGTAATTAAAACTCCTTAAAAAGGTAGAGACAGAAACCCAAGTTATAATTACCCTTTGACTGACTTTCACAGTCACTGAAATAATGTCGATGCGACGTTAAATTTTACCTCACTCACTCACTCACTCACTCGTACTTTCACAAAATATGTTTTTGTCATTTTCCTTTATTTCACTTGACCGACAATTAATAAAAGTTATTAAAACTTACATGTAAACACGTTTTATACTTTAATATATTAGACTTTATTCTTACACTCCAAACATTCGGTCGTGGGAAAAATCAGATAACCATGAAATTTAAAAAGATCTAATGTAAAAGTGAACGCGACCAGGCCTTTTCCACATTCATAAGACTTAAATGTTGAAATCAGAGTCCATTGTACGATTCCGACTACACCACAAGCATGTGTTTAGGGATCACTATCAAACAGAGATGATACCAGATGTTCGCGACAACGTAAGCGAATCCTGACACACCTGGCGCCCCAACACACTTAAATGCCGCCTTTTTATGTTCTCACTTCTTCAAGACTTACGAATGTGGCACCTACTATGTACCTACTCTCCATTGTTACATAAGCAATAAATAAAGTTGTGTACCAAATAAATGCAGTTTTACACTACTGAAAGCTGTTCAATATATTCCCTTAAGGATGCTATGTAGAAGTATATGCTGTGGCTTTGTTCGAAATGTGCCTCTGTTCACCAAGCAGTCAATATGTACCCGGTAGAATGAGAGTGGTTGTCAACCTTCTACCGCCTAACAGGCAGTCTAGGTTGTATACTCCCCAGGGAGCTGAGAATGATTGATGAGTGCACACTGATCCAGTGACCGCGGTCTATAATCGCGCTTTGATGATGACCATGTATGGTGTGAAAATATGTGCGATATAAATAGCCTTGTAGTAGTAGTAGTAGTAGTAGTAGTAGTAGTAGTAGTAGTAGTAGTAGTATCAGATTAAAATAAAAAGTGCAGCAAAGAGGGTTTGGGTGACCCTGGCACAGTCAGACTGGTTAGACTCATCATCGGCTCAGGGCCCTTGCCCCCCTCTACACGCAGCACAGACAGCGAATGGGACTTCTCTCAGGAAGCGCTGCCTAGTCAAGCCCACCGAGAATGTTTCGGAAAATGTGAAGACTCCCCATCACTGCAGCCTTCTGCATTACCCAGATTGTCAGAAGGGATGTATTCCTGGTAGCAAACCCGGGTACTCTCACAATGTCAGTCAGCAGATTGGGAGGTACCGAGCCTAAGGCAGGGAGAACAATGGGGAGTCGGGCAACTTGGTACTTGGGATGAAAGCGTGACATTTCGCGATCGAAAGCGAGGCCTGCATATTTGCCATGTTTTTCCTAAATCTTGTCAATCACATTAGTGTCAAAAGGGACAGAAAATTCAATGATATAAATGATTTCATTGGATTTATCAAAAAGGACAAGATCAGGTTTTTTGGCCTGAATACGTCTGAGGCTGTATACGGGCCTATTCCAAAGGATTTTGTATTTATCATTTTCCCTCTACATATTCTGGGTCGTACCATGGATGGACCTCTGTGTCGAAACCACAAGCATGGCGAAGACAGTCATAAAATGATCGAGCCACCCCATCATGTCGCTTAAGATACCGTGTCTGTGCCAAAGCTGGGCATCCACTCACAATGTGTTGGACAGTCTCATTAAATTCTTTACATAATCTACATTTCATATTTACATTTTGATGCAAAATCACACATTGACGGTTTCGAGTTGGAAGTGACTGGTCCTGAGCAGCAAACAGATAGCCTTCTGTTTCACTTTTGAGGCCAGACGACTTCATCCAGGCGAAGGACTCTGCGGGATTGCGGATCTCTCAACACACTGCACATAAACTAGATGCAGTGGTCGTTCCGATAGCCTCTCCCTGAAAACTGCGTCTGGGCCGACTTGATATGGCACTTCGCTTGGTTGACACTCATTTTTGTACCGTCCAGCAGTACAGAACCATCAACAAAATCAACACCGACATTGAGATTATGTCCCACATCCTTGGCTCGTTTAAGAAAACTGTGGAATGCCTTGTTTTCACCATGAGTCTTGACATGCTTCACAAGAGGATTATCAGACAAATAAATCTGTGCAATTATTATTATTATATATTATTATTATTATTTCAGTGGTGTTGTGCGGTGTACTGTCCTGTGGTGTCTCCTACGCCATCATGTCGTTGAAAGTCACAACATTACCACAGGTTAGTCATATATAATGTACATATTTCTTATGAAAACATTGTATCTGATATTTGCGAAGTTAACAGTTTAGACACATGTTATAGTTTTCCTATCATATTATACCTGATGACACCCATTACAGTTCCGCCTCGTTCTTATGACGTTTAGATATCAGATAACCTTCCGAAAAAGTGAAAGACAAACTATTGATAGGACTTATGTCATGACATATGCCCAATGGTAAACGATCAGTGAGCTACAAGGTAATTTGTTGTGCCATATGCAGTAATATAACATTCATTATTCACATAACATTGTATAATCATACAACATAATATGACATGGAGATTACGTTGCTTGTTGACAGATAATCTTCACTGTAAGCACGTTGACGTACGGACCTCTCAGTGGGCTGTTCCTCCTGGCAACGCTGTGTCCTTGGGCCAACTTCAAGGTGAGAATCAGCTACATACCCGTGGCCTGTCAGGATCTTATCCCTGTCAGGTTCGAATCCCAGACTGGTTCTGATTATGATCCTCACTGTGCCAATGCCATACCCATGCCATACCCGTGGCTTTCATCAATACCATACCAGTGGATATCATCAACACCATACAAGTGGCTTTAATCAAGTCCATACCAATGGATATCATCAATACCATACACGTGGCTTTCACCAATACTATACACGTGGCTTTCATCAACACCATACCCGTGGCTTTCATCAATACCATTCCCGTGGGTTCCATCAATACCATACCCGTGGGTTTCATCAATATCATACCCGTGGCTTTCTTCAATACCATTCATCAATACGATACCCATGGGTTTCATCAAAACCATTCATCAATAACATACTCGAGGGTTTCATCAATACCATACACGTGGCTTTCATCAATACCATACCAGTGGATATCATCAATACCATACAGGCTTTCGTTAATACCATACACGTGGCTTTCACCAATACCATACACGTGGCTTTCATCAATACCATTCATCAATAGCATACCCGTGAGTTTCATCAATACCATACCCGTGGGTGTCGTCAATACCATACCTATGAGTTTCATCAATACCATTCTTCATTATTATAATCCTAATTACATCTTGCTAGTTTTCCACCACTCTGTGTATCTACACTGTACTTGGATCTGGGGCCTTTATACTGAAATGCACTGGTTACTTTTGGGTGTAGATACCATGGTGCTCAGGAACTGTAGGATATATACATCATAGTGCTCACATATATACACTTATTTTAGCACTATGATATTATTATTAAATTTCCTTGAGGGTCTTTCAGACTGAAAGAAAACCATGCAGTAATGTCGGGGTGTAAACAAAACTCAACACTGTGCTAATGCCCTTGGCTATCCAATTTAAACAAGGAACAAATTAATGTCCATCCCATTGTCTGTACACATGATCCTTGTTCTCACGACTGTTTCATGTATCTTCATGGAATTGCAATTTTTACCCACTCGTATTCAAAGTTACTTTATTATTACATTTAAGATTTTTTTTTTTCTCTCTCTCTCTCTCTCTCTCTCTCTCTCTCTCTCTCTCTCTCTCTCTCTCTCTCTCTCTCTCTCTCTCTCTCTCTCTCCTCAACGTCTGGCTCTGTGTCTCACTATCTCCCTCTGTTTCTCTGTCTCTGTGTGTATATCTGTCTCTCTCCCCTCTCTCGCTGTCTCTCCCCTCCCCCTCTATGTCTCTCTCTCTCTCTTTCTCTCTCTCTCCACGTATATAAAGTGTAAGCGTGTTACAGGGGGCGGTGGCAGGCTGTGGCAGCGGCATTGTCGTCACCGGGTGGATCTTCATAGGCGCCACCTTCTCCAAGGCAATCAAGGCGACGCCCTGGTTGCCCGCTGTCTCCACTGCTGCCTGCTCCAACTCCACCAACATGTTCAACACAAGTGCAGACAACATGACGGTGTTGGGAGACTACGTTACGACATCTCCAACTACACCAGGGTCGGCCATGGCGTGGAAAGATAACGTGTAAGACGTAGTGTACATATAAGTGTGCTTCCCCTACACGGAGACAGATTGTGAGGGTGGCATTGCAGGGGGACTCGCACAGCTGGAACCTGCACTGCCAGTAAGCGGACGATCGTCTACCCGGACGAGTACCTCTGTCGAGTGCGCTTTCGATGTTTTCGGGTTGGTTAAAAGAGATCAACTGATTAGCAAAACATTTTCTTAAGACTGTAAAAAATGTATGTTCTTTCTTGTTCACACGAGAAGCGATTGTGATTCTTAATTCATGAAGTATTATTTTCTTCGTATTGTCTCGAGTCACGCTACGTTTGGTGGATGAACACACGGGAAATATTGTAATACGGGAAATATCACTTTGAGAAATAGGAATTACACATATAGAACACATATGCCTTTCACGTGAATTAACCTTAACATGTTTCTATTTGCATTTCTTCTAGGACGGGTATCGCGAGAGTATACCTTTTGTCATACACATGGTATGGTGTTGTTGCTATAGCAACGGTGATGCTCGTGGGCTCCATTGTCAGTTTGATTACAGGTACGCATGTCCTTAACAACATGGCTGTGACGTATCTCTTGGCAAATCGTCATTCGTTTCATTGCTATCAATTTTATCAATAGTATTATGCGTTTGTAGTGTTCTCGGTAATCTGGGTGCATCAGTATCCTTCACACCACGGATGCAGCGGCGAGCTCTTATATGCTTTCCTCTGCACTGTTTGACGACATGTTTGACCTGTGAAGTTCCGGGTTAGGTCTTCAGATCCCAGTTGCGTTGATCGATGCTCATGATTTCAATCCCTGGATCGTCTGGTCCTGACTTGATTATTTGTACAGACCGCCGTCATATAGTTTAAATATTGCTGAATACGGCGTAAAACAACAAATAAATAAACAGAACTATTGACGATATATTTGCAGGTAGCAATACGAATGACCCTGTTGACCCCTCTCTCCTGGCAACGTACCGACTCACGTGCGGCCGCAAACATGGCGGACCGGACAAACAAGCAACGATACAACCCGACGCCGTAGAGGTCACAGAAAAGGTCAAACAGAATATAACTCTCGTATAAGACAATCACACTCAAATCTGTCCAATTTAATTAAAATCGGACATTTTACTCAGATACGATCATTTGCATGAAGATTTGTATGAATGAGAATGGCTTTATGCCGCTTTTAGCAATAGTCCAGCAATACTACGGCGGGGGACACTAGGATGGGCTTCAGCCATTGTACGCGAGAAGGTCGGGGGAAATGTCAGTACCATTGAGCGAAGTATTCACACAAGCATATCTCATTTCTGTTTCCCGATAACAAACATAACCGGGCAGTTCCGAATGCAAAATCATAATCTCAATTTCTATCATAAGAAAAAAAGGGGAACACTTGATTTATGACAATGATTTTTGACGAAGATAATAATGAAGATGAAGTTTAGATATGTATCTTATATATAGACAAGTATATTTTAAACACAGACTTAAATAATTGCAGACGTTCGACCCTTGAGATAGAGCAGCAGTCCGGTCTGCGCCATGTACGAGATCCTCCTGGTCAGTCTCGCGTCTATATGCCTTACTACTTTGAACTTGTATATCACACAGTAGAGCTTTCATCACAACCGTACAGTGCTGCATGGTTTAAACAACTTTCAAGAATATTCAGAAACCCATGCTTGTCGTAAGAGGCGGCTAACGGGATCGAGTGGTCAGGCTCGCTGACTTGGTTGATGCATGCCATCGTATCCCAACTGCGTAGATCGATAAGTATATAAAGTGGTATTAAACATATTTCTTTTTTTGGCACTTTAAATATATCTAAACAGAAATCATGTATTGTTTGTGTATCTCGAGTGTTCATTATATTTATGAATATGTTTACTGCACTTTCATTTCCGATGTATTTACAAATTATATTTTTCCTCTAATAGAGGTATATGCTTCACATACAGGTAAACATGAATTTCATCTTCTATGTACAATTTGTCATTAAGCCTCCAGTGAGGCCATAGTTTTGAATGGTATGGTACATTTGTGTATATTCCTGTCTGTCATAAGTCCAACATCACCACATCTAAATTTTGGGGAACACATTCTCAAATGTAAAGGAACAGAATTGCGTATACAGTTTTCCACATCCAAAAGTGTATTAGATAACAGGTAGTTGGAACATTTATGAGTGTGTTGTGTAGAATACAGGTTTTGAATAAGATTATCAAGGAGTTTTATTTTAGATAATTTTATAAAAATGTTAATTTTCCCAACTTCCTGTCTTATGCATACAAAACCAAACCCAAATTAGAATACGTTTGATATGTGGAGCCCATGTGACTCTAATAGCATCATCAAGAGATTTTAACATTAAATAACATTGGTGAGGTAGCCTATTTCTGTCTCGAGTGGAATCAGTTTATTTCAGTTTATCATCCAAAACTGGCTCCCACAGGAGATATCGCTTGGGTGAGATCACTCGTTGATATACTATTATTTGATATCAAAAGACACTCGGATTCTCTGTATAAAGGCCACATGCCCAAGTACATAGATATATGGATTACTTACAAAGTGTGATACAAAAAGAAGATGAAAACCTTTCAAAATAGTACAATTAGAATATTAATAACGAATAAGGTAATCACAAAGTATCGTTAATGTATTTAGCGCATCGTGACAAGGTTTCAATGTTACATTAGTGCTGCAAAAATATATTTGTCTGCAAATATCATACAATTGGCATACTAACATAAAAGACCCGTGAAGATTCCGGGGTAGAATAGGTCTTCAGCAACCCATGCTTGTCGTAAAAGGTGACTAAAGGGATCGGGTGGTCAGGCTCGCTGACTTGGTTGATGCATGTCATCGATCCCAATTGCGTGGATCGATGATCATGACATTAATCAGAGGATTGTCTCGTTCAGACTCGATTATTTACAGACCATTGTCATATAGATGGAATATTGCTGAGTGCGGCGTTAAACAAGCAACCAACCAACCAACCAACCAACCAACCAACTAACATGAAATGCAACTCTGCTATAGTACATTTACAAAAAGGACAAAACATAAGGTTTCAATCAACTCCCATCAGGTGTACTGTAGAGGGTGTGTTTGTGTTTTGTGCAGTAGTTGTATTGATAAGAATGAATCGTTGTCGTCAAGAAGGGTTCACCTGACGCGATCTTTTCAGGAGCTGCCCTCGGGACTTCACACCCAGATGTATCGTTATGGAGTAAATTTGATTTAAATTACATTGGAAACGTCAAAAAATATGCAAATAAAAGCCACAAAAAACGTTCCACATTCATGAGAAATATCTTTATTTTCCTTTATTCTGAATCTCTGAAAGCAATCGTTACTATACTTACATACACAGAGTTAGGTCTGGGCTGGAACGGACACTTAGGTGCTTTCTCATTGGTTACAACTTCCATTTGTCATGTGTCACATCCAAAGAAGATGGGCTGCAGTCCTTGTGTACTGAATATTCAGCGAGACCTACAAACCTGAAAACACTTTACGTTCATCTCCTGTTTCACCTTCCTCACTTTCATTTACAGTCTGACCTTGCAACGTCACAAGAATGTCACCAGGACTCATTCACCAAGACTGGCTCCCTCCCTCTGTATGATACCAGAATATGACGAGATACTACTATACGGCCAGCTGTGTTGTATCCGAGACATTCCTTCACGGAGGTGCTACCGGCAGAACACCTGGTGTCTTCATGACATTTCATACTTATCAATGAGAGTAGTTTATTTGTCACTTCAATTTCATTTCATGCAGCTGATATAGGAGTGTGATCTCCCTGACACGTGCACAGGGCGACCATCCTCTGTAGGATATTGTTATAGGACATTATATTACGCCAACGCCAGAGTAACTAATCAGTGCGATCCGCCGAAACAGATTCCATAGGGTATTTAATACAGAATAACGGTGAATTATATTAACGGATCACCGAAAATCAGTGATGACACCAGGTGTTCGAGAAAATGGATAGCATGTCCTGCCCTACCGTCAGTACCGGCCATTCAGACAATGTGCGTCAACAGTAAATGTTTGTGTGTAGCCTGACCTTCCATACGACGGCCGCGTGTAGGCAATCGACCAGACAATCAAGTGATGGACCAGGAAAACAAGTGACACGATGGCGGATCTACTGATTTTGCTTAAACTAAAAACGATATATTGATTTTTAACCAGTGTGCAGTGTACGAGTGCAGAGATTCTACTGTTTATATGTAAAGATAACTTACAAGAAATATGTTCGTTTTATCCACTAGGGTAGCCTGTTTGACACACTACAGACGATCTGATGTCGTTCGATAATGGTCAAACAGCCAATTCCCTTCCACTGATTAATCCACCTGAACTAGGAATAAAGGAGACCAGTGACACCGCCTCACCTGTTTCATTATAAGTTATGTGCATAAAGAGTCGGATCCAACTTTCCAAGAGCAATATTCCATCAGCTTCAACCTTAGGTGTCTACATTTCACAACATTTGACATACACTGCAGATGTCTAAGAGCGATATACGACTCTTTCTCAAATGTTAGTTGGTAAAAGTTGCGATATTCAAAGCGTCACTAATGCTTTCAAAATGAAGGCATTTCAAAATTAGACGCATCAGTCACAATTTAGCTTCCGATGCAATTCCCTATTTTGACTTTAACCATGCGTTCCCGTGTTCTTACTGTGAGTAATTGACTTGTCTTTGCATGTGTTTGTGACGGGTGCCACCATAGGGCTAGGATACATTCACCTTTTCGCAACTGGTATCGCCACTATTTGGTAGTGATTCATGAACACATGAATATCATATCGGAATCTTACAATCAACTCGTTTCGGAGAAACTGTTTATGATTAGGACCGAAAGACTTTAAGAGATGGTACTTTTTGTTATCCTGCCTGGCGCTCAGGAAAAAACAAAGGACTGGTCGGCTCGAGTCAGAATACTGTACGTGAGTGGGGTATTCGTGTTAACTGCGGCATGGTACTAGTATCTCCGTGGGCTAGCTTTATAAAACACACACACACACACACACACACACACACACACACACACACACACACACACACACAGACTCCCTCACACACACTCCCTCACACACACTCCCCCACACACACATGCATGAAAGTCGCTATGTAAGTGCAACCATCTTGAAGTCGACGTTACAACCCATTTCACCTCATTTGTTATGATTATGGAAACAGTTGTTTTCGTCGCTTGACTGTATAACAGCACAGTTTCTTTACTGAAGTTAGAACTAGAGTTCTTTGTTTCTCCCTGTGTTGGTTACATATAGATGACATGTTTCCTTCACCAATCAACTTCAAGGGCGCCGTACCAGGAAGTTATGTGCGAGGTTTAGTTTCAGTGCCCAGAAACAATAATATGACTCTCCAATGGACGAAAACAGCATTCCAAGGTTCAACCCTCCTTTACAATTTTCTCATCAGAATTAATGTATCCTATGTATATTCTTCTTAGATTCCAGTAGACACGTCTCCTCTGTGCGCCGTTGCTAAAATCAATGGATACGTTACAGTCAATGTCGAAATTCTCAGTCAATTTGAACAGTAACGGTCAAGCAGTTTATCCTTTGCTTGATGCTCTGTCACGTTACAAATTGTTACCGACTAATTTGACGAATTAGATGGACGAATTCTACAAGTAAAACACGATCAGACATGAAGATGAAATAACATTTGCTCCAGCTGAGAGAAATGCACGGTAAATAGTATAACAGTTATGCTGTTTGTTAGCAATATTCCATCTATAAATAAACAATTCTGGTCCAGACAACCCAGTGGTTGACATCATGAGCATCGACCTACGCCATTGGGATGCGATAACATCGATCAACCAAGTCAGCGAGTTTGACCACCCGATCCCGTGAGTCAACTCGTAGGTCAATGGGTTGATAAAGTAAGACTGAGTATAATACATGGTAAACATGGTACCACATGGCACTCAACGCTCCGGCCTATCTTGTAGAGGACATGGGTGGCCTAGTCGACTAAGGCGACGCAATTCGCTGAACAGCGTCGCATCCCTTGGGCACATCGGAAACCTGTGGTAACGGGTTCGAATTATGTTTCTAGGTTTGTCAGCACCATACCCGTGCTCGTGAGTTTCACCAAAGTGGCAAACATCTAACACCTGCATCACTTTGGGTGTTCCTCCCACATCAAGCTCACACGCCTTGATACAACTAGAACACAGTTCAAAGCGGGGTAAAACCCAACTCACTCACTCTTGACTTCGTAATCTACGGTGTTGTCATACACTGAATACTTAATGAGTGAGTGAGTATGGTGTAACGCCGCTTTTAGCAATATTCCAGCAATATCACGGCGGGGTACACCAGAAATGGGCTTCACACATTGTACCCATGTCAGGAATCGAACCCGGGTCTTCGGCGTGACGAGCGAACGCTTTAACCACTAGGCTACCCGACCGCCCCGAGTACTAAATTGGATCGGGTGAACACACCATTGACTATCAGAAAAACATTTTTAATGCAGGGTTATGCAGGACCAGTCTCTGCTGTGGTGTTAAGTGTAATAAATGAAGTTACTGTACATTTAACAGTAAAATATAACAAAATTGCAAAGACTAAATAGTTTTTTAAGAGGTTTAAAAAAATCATTCGGTCACACCAATTAAGTGAAAAACAACAAGATCTCATTTTGTTTAACTGACATTGCTTCAAGTCTGAGGCAGATCATGTTCTGGTATTTGAAGAGCACACATGACCCGACTCGTCACAAACACGCCTCTAAACGGTCTTAATGGAGCTGTTATTGTTTCCCGATACAGATATACTGAAGGAATGGGCAAGGCGGGACACATCCCTGCACATACTGCTTCAATATCGACACATATACAGGTTATTTCCAAGAGGTATTTTAATATATTGTTATAGTTAAAGTTTTAATGTAGTTTAATAAAATTATAATGGTAGCGGGGGCACGGGTGGTCCAGTCGTCTAAGGCGCCGCGATTCGCTGTGCAGAGTTGTCAGAAATCTATGATTGTAGGTTCGAATCCCGGTTCGCCCCGATTATGTTTCTAGTTTTGTCAGCACCATACCCGTGCTCGTGGGTTTCACCGAAGTGGTAAACGTCTGAGACCTGCATCACATCGGGCTTTCCTCCCACATTAAGCTGACACGCCGCGATATAACTGGAATAATGTTAAAAGCGGCGTTAAACCCAACTCACTCACTCACTATAATGGTAGCGTTGGCTGTGCTCAGATTGAAGTAACCAGTTAAATATATAACGGGCAGATATGGCCCCGTTCCCAAAGCGATCTTAGCACTAAGATGATCGTAACTCTCATACTTTAACACAGGATTAAGACAATTATAGCACTAAGATCGCTTTGTGGAACGGGCACAGGTCACTGCCAGATCACCCGAGTTCTACAATCTATGCAGAGTAGACATGGTGCATGTGATTGAATGTTTCATCATATTTGAAGACCAACTCTCCGCGATCGATAAAATGTGGATCAATCTTTACGCTATCAAGCACTGGTCCAAACACAAACCGTGTGAATTCAGTACTCAGTGGTGTTCGTATGACGTGAATGTTTTGACCCATTGTTTGGCGAAATAGCCTATAATAAGTAATTAAAGTTGTTTTATCAAGTCAATTCTTCCCATAACGTATGAGGACACGTGATCTATGAGAAACCATAGCTAACATTGCCCCATACTCGGATACACAGATATGTCGGTTATATTGACACAGAGGCGAGTAGTTATGGAAGATGTGGCTTCAGGTGGATTGTGTCGTTGTAGATAGGGTGACGTTGTTTAGCAGGATGAAATGTATCGTCTATCCTGCTGCTGTAGCAATGTGGGTCATGTCAACACAAGCATAGATGAGACACAACTACAGCTCACAGAGGAGGAAGCACAGTCTCGGGAAGGTCGAGAAAACCTAGTTTGCTTTGGTAATCCACACAAAATAATTATTCCCCAAAATGGCTTTAACCTTCATTTTATATTTTTGACACAGGCCTTCTCCACGTTTTGAGACATTCCTGTGTTAACAAGGCATCGCGTACAAGTCTCAGTATTAAATTAGTGAGTGAGTGAATGAGCTGGGTTTAACCCCGCTTTTAACAGTATTCCAGTTATATGTCGGCGTGTCAGCTTAATGTGTGAGGAAAGCCCGAAGTGATGCAGTTTACCACTTCGGTGAAACCCACGAGCACGGTATAGTGCTGACAAACCTAGAAACATAATCGGGGCGAACGGGATTCGAACCCAAAATCATAGGTTTCTGGCGTGCCCAAGGGACGCAACTCTGCACAGCGAATCGCGGCGCCTTAGACGACTGGGCCACCCGTGCCCCCCAGTATTATATTAGAATGACACATACTGCTATACAGAGAGTTACAGACGGGTAGTCAGACACGCAGAGAATGTAACTGACCTGACTTCTGGCATGACGTGTACATCCTGCACCTCATGCCTTAACGTCTGAATGATATTTAAATCATGTAAAAGTTCCATCTGTCGTAAATAAACCATTGTACCAATGCGGCGGATACTAGTCCAAAAAAGAAATAAACAAATTATGTTTTCATTGTAGAGCTAGATTTCCTGTGGATTGAACCGCTCTATATTGAAATTAGAACCGAAGTACATGTATGCCTATGGCGTTGCATATATGCTCAAACAACTCTCACATTATTATTAAATACAACAGACTATGTGTGCCACGACCGCTTCGTAAGCCAACATGGAGTGGCTTCTATTATGGTGAGACATCGGCCGCTGCGAAATTAATTTTTACGTCGTAGAAATACACCGAATGTGTCGTCCCTAAAATCTGAAATACACTCCTTCCGTCGAGTTATATCCAATTATCTGCCCAACATGTAACTTTGAATTTTTAAATCACCACCATAAATATTGTATTTTGTATCCCATAAAAGTACATAGTATTTCCCAATTATACTGTCAAGGAAGACTTCGTGTTCACATAAGTCGCGATAACCAACCCAAATCAACTAATCCGCCAACAATAACGTCGATATGAATAAGTGAGTGAGTTGGATTTAACGCCGCTTTTAACAGTATTCCAGTTATATCACGGCGTGTCAGCTTAATGTTGGAGGAAAGCCCGATGTGATGCAGGTCTCAAACGTTTACCACTTCGGTGAAACCCACGAGCACGGGTATGGTGCTGACAAACCTAGGATTCGAACCCACAATCATTGGCTTCTGGCGTGCCCAAGGGACGCAACTCTTCACAGCGAATCGCGGCGCCTGAGAAGACTGGGCCACCCGTGCCCCCCGATATAAATTAAGGTTCGTACTAATGTACTTACTTCTTAACATGAAACACCTCTAGAGAGATGCTAGAGATAACCTAGGTTGTAATCTCAATCGGCATAAGTTTCATAGTGATGAAACGGGATAACTGCGCTTATCAGTAGCAGACATAACTACTGCATCTCACGGCCCTCTTCCATATAGTCCGTACCGCGGGTGAGAATAACAAACTTTGAAGTTGACTTTATCTTTTGAAACTGAAGTAAGGGGTCGGTCATGTTATTTCCTAGGTAGATGGGGGCTATGTATTCAGACACAAACAAGGAACAAGCATATATGTTTCCTTTTTTACGTTTAATTACTATTTGCTTGAAGTAAACGTCGTCTGACAGTTTTTATTTTTCAAAAAGTTACGAAAATCATGTTTTGTTTCAGTACGTGTTTCTGTCCAGTCACATGCGTTAATATGGCAACAATAATCAAGAAAATCTTCAACGCACTCATATCTTAAAAGGATGTTTGTAGGGACAGTGGTTGCCTGTTGTTTGTTCTTATGGCCATGTTTGGGACATTTTGCACCTTGAGTGTGTTTGTCAGGACTCTGGTGATAACAAGTTCTGGATAAGACATTGTTACCATCCTATATGTATATTAATCATTGAAAGTAATAAAATCATCAGGTCATAACTATGTCCTCCCTCACTACATAGACACGCCTTTACCCGGAGTGGCAACGCCAGAGACTGTTGTCGTCACAACTGCCCCACATTACGAAGGTGTGTCCGAGCAAGCGTCTGATGATTGATTGGGGGCAGTGTTATAGAGAGAGATAGGGGGGATACGACAGCCCTGCATACCTCCAGTGTGTTTGTGGATGTATCTGTGGTAGGTGGTGAGTGGAAGCGGGTACAGTATCGGGCAAAAATCAGTGGCAAATGTCTTGGGTATGTCACACGTATCAGATAGGTTCCGTTTGCACCACGAGGACCTGTCTAGCCTACTCCCAACGTCGCAATACTTTTTAACCTAAGAATGCCAAAATAACTACTTTATCTCCTTGTAACTTGGAATCAATACAGCTTCGCCTGTTCCTTACAATGCCAAACTGCATGTTCACAAAGGCTGATTAATTTTATGAATAATACAAATTCCAGAAGAGGATTCTTGTAACCGAATCATCGATCATATTTTGAAAATCCGGATGAATAATTTCCTTTAAGTTTAAAACTCAGATAATAATCTTAATGGTAGGTTTGGATTACATACTTCTCCAAGGTATTTGACTCTGTCCACAGAAAAAAATTATGGCATTTTGTCAAATCACATGGTCTTAGTAGTACAATAGGTAAGTTGTTGTGTTACGTGTATCAAAGTGGAAATGTTTGTGTGCGAAATAATGGTACTATATCTGCTACCTTTGTAAGTAATGTTGGCGTGAAGCAAGGATGCATATTGAGTCCTTTTCTATTTTCATTCTTTATTAATGAATTAGCACAACAAATCCAAATAAATTGTAATAATGACATCTAGCTTCATCCGAAGCAGTAAAGATATTTCTCCTTTTGTTTGCCGATGAATAGTAATGTTTTCAAGCACAGTTCCTGGTCTACAGAAACATATGAATGAATTGGAAAATTATTGCCAAGCTGGGGTTTGTCGGTAAACCTAAATTAAACCTAGCCTTTAGTTTTGAATAAAGGTGGCACTTGATCTAAGAGAGGAACATGGCATCACCAAGAAAATGAGATGTGTATCATCATATAAGTATCTAGGTGTTTATTTTACCGGCTTTCATGGACTTTGCATGCAAATACTGCTGCAACGCAAGCAAATCGGATTTTAATTTGAATTCTTATATAATATTAAAACATTTGGGGATGTTTCGTACACCACGTACTTAAAATATTCGACACAAAAATCAGTACGATTTTACTATATAGAGCCGCAATTTGGGGTATGGAACTATATGATTCAGTGGAGAAACTACATCTCAATAAATGTAAGCGATTCCTTGGTGTTAAACCTAGTACCCCAAGTTTAATGGTGTATGGAGACAGTGGACGATATCCCTTACATATTTTTGCAAAGATTAGAGTAATTCAGTATTGCTTAAAATTAGTACATATGCCATTTGAAAGGTACTTGAAGAAATGTTATAATATGGTGCTACCTTTTGACACGCAGGGTTGTTGTAATTGGGTAACTTACGTTAGAAGCCTTCTTAACTCGTGTGGCTGTGGAAACATATGGTTAAATCAGCATATTGGCATATCACCAAACTTTATTGATTGTTTTTCGCAAACCTCGAAGGACATGTATATTCAGAATTGGCACGCGTCTCTTTCATTGTCTAGTAAATGAACGTGCCATTCTTTGTTCAAAGGCGTTTTAGTACTGACAAATATTTATTAAATGTAAACGTTAGTAACTTCAGAGCACAACTTGCAAGATTGCGTTGCATAAAATATACAGGTATTCCACGTGAAAACAGAATTCGTCAGAGCAGCAACTTACAAAAAAGTAGAAGACGAATACCATTCTATTTTTGTTTTCCCTACATATTCGGACCTACAACGTAAGAATATTAATAAGTTTTGCAGTTCCCTTTAACTGGTAAACTTAAGTGTACCCATGTCAACGGAAAATGTTATACATTTGCGAAACCTATCGATGTATATATATTCCATGCTGTGAATTTTAGAAAATCTGCTGGATAAAAGATTGTTTGTAACGCAAGACACACACTACTGGACAAATTGTAATGTGCTGTAGGCCTGTAGTCGTTAAGTATGTGAAATAAAGATTGAAGTAGTTCATTTGCTGTGATCTAGCCGGTGTTTATATCACCGGACTGATTCTTGACTGTGTGGTAAGTACTACTTGCTTATGATTCTACCTGTATCGTTTGCAACACCCAGCTTCCTTCACATACTTCCCCCTTGCTGGTGTGTCAACAAGGACAGTTCTTTTGTTTGGATATTTTATCAATTCTTGTTTCTGCTCACATGGAATGCGGATTAGAATGTCCATTCTGGGGTTGACATTGACCTACTGTTGACCAGAGAGGGGTTACTGTTTGTCTGACGCGCCGCACCTCCAGTCTCCTGATACTTACACAACCCTCAGTATTGCTGGAACACACAGCCAACAGTAAGTAATAATGGGTACATGGATACACTTTCTACAATACACCTGAAACCGGTGACTATGATTTTAAGTTTTTTAGGCATTTGAGCTTATAATATTTATCATGTTTCAATCGTGTCATATTCGTTTAAATTACAAATGGCAGCGTTTTATTTCAGATGTTATCACCTGTAACGATACAGACAGCGTTCGGCTGGATTTTTCTTTCTATCACAGTCCGTAAGTAGCTTTTATGTCATATTGTATTTGTGGACATTATTTGATGAAATGGTACTTTTGACATAATTGCACTTCGAGTGGCAGACAGTAAGATTCGGTTTGATTGTTGGTTTTCTTCTAACTACTATTACAGTTAATATTGAAGGAAGGTTGGCATGGTCCCTATTATACGAATAGGGAAGAGCAGGTCGCGTCTGGTCTGGTATGTCATTACATGTGTCTGTACCAATGGGGAGGACATGCTTTAGTGATATGGACCACGTCTTCAGGACGTTAGAAACCATCGTAGGTTATTATACCCCGCCAGGAAGTTGAAGGGGAATATAGGAATAGGTTCTGTCCGTCCGTCCCTCCGCCCCTCCGTCACGTTTCGTTTCCGGACTTGGCACATAGACAGGTTTAGTCACTTACTGTTTACATTTCTCAACTTTAGAGATACAATCGAACATGGTCTTTCTACCAAGATTTCAAAAGCGCCATACGCGTCTTGCTCTGAAGTTGTTTGATCAAGGTTACAACATTCAAGGCCTCAGTAAAGCTTTCAAAAAGTTTTATGGTAGACATGTGGAGGACATTTCCAAATTTGACGCATCAGTGACAAAAATGATGTCCGATGCAATTCCCTATTTTGACTTGTACCATATGTTCCCATATGTTTTTGGCTGAACAATTGACTTGCCTTTGCATGTGTTTGTGACGGGTGCCACCGGAGGGGCAGGATACGCTGACCTTTTCGCGAACAACTGGTATCATTACTATACTCACACGCAAAAGAAACGCAAGTCGAGTATGCAGTATACATGTTATTTATTTTCAACAGTAAAGACAAGAAATACTAATAGGGCAATATTGACAAATATTTGACTGAAGACAGTTTAATGGATTAAAGGGCAGATAGCATAATCGGGTTTTTTTTAATGTTAAGGGCTTACACAGTTTCGGGACAATACCCAAAATGTCAGTCAATACCTGGTGTGACCACCATTAGCATTGATCACTGCCACACATCTCCTGTACATTGAGTGGATCAGACGATTTGTGAAGGCCCTAGGTTCCTCCCGCACACATCCAGAGCAGCTGTGCGTAGTTCATCGGCAGTTGTAGGGACTGGGCGTACATTGTGCAGACGCCTTTGAACCTCATCCCACAAGTGATCGATGGGGTTCAGATCAGGACTGAGGGCTGGCCACGGTAGAACACGGATGTTGTGTTGTTGCAGAAAGGCCATGGTAGCTCTGGCAACATGGGGACGAGCGTTGTCCTGCTGGAAAATGTGTTCTTGATGTTGCGCAAAAAATGGAACAACGTGGGGTCTGATCACTTGGTCGATATACCGCTGAGCAGTGACGCCGTGTCCCCGACCTTGACCAACATTCAGAAAGCACATGGGTCCAAGTCTCGCATTAAGTCCAATCCCTGCCCATATCATGACGCTAGGTCCACCCCATGGATCCCTTTCCACAACGTTTCTGTCAGCGAAACGATCACCTCGACGCCGCCAATTTCTGACTCTTCCGTCTGCATGGGAGACACAAAAGCGACTTTCATCAGAGAAGATGACATGCCTCCAGTCACGATGACGCCAATTGTGATGACCCTGTGCCCACTGAAGTCGGGCTTGTCGATGCCGTGGTTGGAGAACAGGACGACGTGCTGGTCGGCGACATCTGAGGTTGATGGAACGAAGACACCGGATCACAGTGTCCCGGCTAATGTGTCGATTATGTGTTCCTATGGTCTGTCGAGCACTTTCACTTGCAGTTAGGAACGGATGTCGCTGGTGTTGACGGGTACTCTGCCGATCTTGTCCAGGTATGGTGACCCTAGGACGACCGCTCCGAGGAAGTCATCTGTGGTCTGTGTAGCATTGTATTGATGCAGGAGACGGTAAATTGTGGTTATGTTAACGTTGAAATGACGAGCAACATCTTGGACAGACTCTCCAGCTTCCAAACGTCCGATAGCCTGGTTTCTCTGAATTTGAGTTAGGCGTGGCATTGTTGACAAAGGAGTGGTAGGTCCAAGAATCGTCCAGAGTTTTATACCCACTACAGTTCGCGAGAAATGGGTGCATGATACCCACATATTCATTGAAATTGTACGTTTTGGCGATGCGTTTTTTATGTTGCGTTTTTACTCGGGGCTTCCAAAATGCAACCAAAAATATTGATAACACCATCAGGCTTCACTACATGCGACAACTCGTATCAATTTATGGTTCCGTGTTTGTTACCTATTTGCTTAAAACAACTTGCGTTTCTTTTGCGTGTGAGTATGTTTGATAGTGATTCATTAACACATGTTCATGATATAGTCCTAATTGTACAACGACTCTGCTTTATGCAGATATTTCTATTGGAATTGAAAAGGGTTTTGTCGCGTTATTTATAGTATTATTATTTGGATAGTTTTGGATTTTGGACAAATGTATTTTTCGAGTTTCCATGTCAACGACTTTGACGTAAACTGAAAATGGTGGTAGTGCTCGTTTCCGGAGCAGATCTTGAAAACCGTACAACATTTCTTCACCAAGCTTGGCATATTGATAGGTCTATTGGTATACTGATTCCTTTTGATAGTTTGGGATTTTAAAAAAAAATAATTTTCTAGTTTCCATAGCAATGGCTTTGACTTAGACAGAAAAGGCGGTTGTGTTCATTTCCGGAGCAGATCTTGAAAACCGTACAATATTTCTTGCCTTGCGCACAACCGGACATGTCATATTGGCGGGGGATATGAGTATTGTATGCATGTTGTGAATGTCACATAAACCTAAGGCACCCGTGTTGCTATCGATGTTAATACACCCGTTCAATATGTTCCAGGGTGTTCTCTGCTTCCTACCCGGACGTGGGATCAGGGACAGGATCTCTGCGCGGACAGAGCCGGGATGATTGTTCCGCGTGAGAGGACGCTGGAGGACCTCCGGGGAGTGGTTGATGGCATCCCACCTGTGTGGTTGGGAGGAAGGAAGATGCACTCCTCGTGGGCGTGGCAAGGTAGTAGGGTTCATTGACACATTCAGTATTGGGCGTTTGTGTTGTATCAAAGTGACCGTGGGTTTATTTTTAAAAGAATTGTCTCTTCCAGAAAATGCTGGGAAAGACTATGACCCCATTTTTGCCACATACAAAATATTTGTTCACTTCACCTCGTTGGATGTCCTAAGAAAATGTCTTGTGAAACAATATATTTATTCCACTGTCCTCGAGGGTGACAGTGACCGGCAACACCCTAATTACAATATTTTTTAACAATTAAAATACACAAAAGCTTTGGTAACTATTCCTAAGTTGGAGGACGGCTTACCTTTTGACTACATGTGTGAATGATACCGTTACATATTTTCATACTCTTGATTCTGTCACCTCGCCCACTTGAAACACCCGTCACGTTATGAGAAATAGTGTGGAGATAAACGGTGTGACCCGTGAAGATCCGGGGTAGAATAGGTCTTCATCTACCCACGCTTGCTTGTCGTAAGAGGCGACTAGTTGGATCGGGTGGTCTGGCTCGCTGACTTGGTTGATGCATGTCATCGTATCCCAATTGCGTGGATCGATGCTCATGATGTCAATCACTGAATTGTCTGGTACAGACTCGATTATTTACAGACCGCCGTCATATAGCTGGAATATTGCTGAGTTCGGCGTTAAACAACACACAAAAACAAACAAATAAACGGTGTGTCCCGACCCTCTTCATTTATTCTATCCATGGAAATAATCTGGTGCTTCCTACACGCTCCCAACGGCCTGCTTCTGTTTCAGATGGGACCCCACTATACACGCACGTGGGGTGCTACGTTCTGCCCCCGACCCTAACGCTGATCCATGGTGGGGTGACAGAGGTGTTCGACTGCTACCTCCGGTGCCACCAAGCCTACAAGTTCGCTGTCCTGAGTGTGAGCAAATATTCGAAGTGCCACATAGCATATTACAAAGACTAATAACATTATTAACGCTGTTACAATAAGTATGTCCCTGTCCCTATGCTGGACTAGCGTCATACTGCACGTATAACGTACGCATGTCTTGTGGCAATGGTCGTACGGGACTAGCGTCATACTGCACGTATAACGTACGCATGTCTTGTGGCAATGGTCGTGCGGGACTAGCGTCATACTGCACGTATAACGTACGCATGTCTTGTGGCAATGGTCGTACGGGACTAGCGTCATACTGCACGTATAACGTACGCATGTCTTGTGGCAATGGTCGTACGGGACTAGCGTCATACTGCACGTATAACGTACGCATGTCTTGTGGCAATGGTCGTGCGGGACTAGCGTCATACTGCACGTATAACGTACGCATGTCTTGTGGCAATGATCGTACGGGACTAGCGTCATACTGCACGTATAACGTACGCATGTCTTGTGGCAATGATCGTACGGGACTAGCGTCATACTGCACGTATAACGTACGCATGTCTTGTGGCAATGATCGTACGGGACTAGCGTCATACTGCACGTATAACGTACGCATGTCTTGTGGCAATGGTCGTGCGGGACTAGCGTCATACTGCACGTATAACGTACGCATGTCTTGTGGCAATGGTCGTGCGGGACTAGCGTCATACTGCACGTATAACGTACGCATGTCTTGTGGCAATGGTCGTACGGGACTAGCGTCATACTGCACGTATAACGTACGCATGTCTTGTGGCAATGGTCGTGCGGGACTAGCGTCATACTGCACGTATAACGTACGCATGTCTTGTGGCAATGGTCGTGCGGGACTAGCGTCATACTGCACGTATAACGTACGCATGTCTTGTGGCAATGATCGTACGGGACTAGCGTCATACTGCACGTATAACGTACGCATGTCTTGTGGCAATGGTCGTGCGGGACTAGCGTCATACTGCACGTATAACGTACGCATGTCTTGTGGCAATGGTCGTGCGGGACTAGCGTCATACTGCACGTATAACGTACGCATGTCTTGTGGCAATGGTCGTACGGGACTAGCGTCATACTGCACGTATAACGTACGCATGTCTTGTGGCAATGGTCGTACGGGACTAGCGTCATACTGCACGTATAACGTACGCATGTCTTGTGGCAATGGTCGTGCGGGACTAGCGTCATACTGCACGTATAACGTACGCATGTCTTGTGGCAATGGTCGTGCGGGACTAGCGTCATACTGCACGTATAACGTACGCATGTCTTGTGGCAATGGTCGTGCGGGACTAGCGTCATACTGCACGTATAACGTACGCATGTCTTGTGGCAATGGTCGTACGGGACTAGCGTCATACTGCACGTATAACGTACGCATGTCTTGTGGCAATGGTCGTACGGGACTAGCGTCATACTGCACGTATAACGTACGCATGTCTTGTGGCAATGGTCGTGCGGGACTAGCGTCATACTGCACGTATAACGTACGCATGTCTTGTGGCAATGGTCGTACGGGACTAGCGTCATACTGCACGTATAACGTACGCATGTCTTGTGGCAATGGTCGTACGGGACTAGCGTCATACTGCACGTATAACGTACGCATGTCTTGTGGCAATGGTCGTACGGGACTAGCGTCATACTGCACGTATAACGTACGCATGTCTTGTGGCAATGGTCGTACGGGACTAGCGTCATACTGCACGTATAACGTACGCATGTCTTGTGGCAATGGTCGTACGGGACTAGGGTCGTACTGCACGTATAACGTACGCATGTCTTGTGGCAATGGTCGTACGGGACTAGCGTCATACTGCACGTATAACGTACGCATGTCTTGTGGCAATGGTCGTACGGGACTAGCGTCATACTGCACGTATAACGTACGCATGTCTTGTGGCAATGGTCGTACGGGACTAGCGTCATACTGCACGTATAACGTACGCATGTCTTGTGGCAATGGTCGTACGGGACTAGCGTCATACTGCACGTATAACGTATGCATGTCTTGTGGCAATGGTCGTACGGGACTAGCGTCATACTGCACGTATAACGTACGCATGTCTTGTGGCAATGGTCGTACGGGACTAGCGTCATACTGCACGTATAACGTACGCATGTCTTGTGGCAATGGTCGTACGGGACTAGCGTCATACTGCACGTATAACGTATGCATGTCTTGTGGCAATGGTCGTACGGGACTAGCGTCATACTGCACGTATAACGTACGCATGTCTTGTGGCAATGGTCGTACGGGACTAGCGTCATACTGCACGTATAACGTATGCATGTCTTGTGGCAATGGTCGTACGGGACTAGCGTCATACTGCACGTATAACGTACGCATGTCTTGTGGCAATGGTCGTGCGGGACTAGCGTCATACTGCACGTATAACGTACGCATGTCTTGTGGCAATGGTCGTACGGGACTAGCGTCATACTGCACGTATAACGTACGCATGTCTTGTGGCAATGGTCGTACGGGACTAGCGTCATACTGCACGTATAACGTACGCATGTCTTGTGGCAATGGTCGTACGGGACTAGCGTCATACTGCACGTATAACGTACGCATGTCTTGTGGCAATGGTCGTACGGGACTAGCGTCATACTGCACGTATAACGTACGCATGTCTTGTGGCAATGGTCGTACGGGACTAGCGTCATACTGCACGTATAACGTACGCATGTCTTGTGGCAATGGTCGTACGGGACTAGCGTCATACTGCACGTATAACGTACGCATGTCTTGTGGCAATGGTCGTACGGGACTAGCGTCATACTGCACGTATAACGTACGCATGTCTTGTGGCAATGGTCGTACGGGACTAGCGTCATACTGCACGTATAACGTACGCATGTCTTGTGGCAATGGTCGTACGGGACTAGCGTCATACTGCACGTATAACGTACGCATGTCTTGTGGCAATGGTCGTACGGGACTAGCGTCATACTGCACGTATAACGTACGCATGTCTTGTGGCAATGGTCGTACGGGACTAGCGTCATACTGCACGTATAACGTACGCATGTCTTGTGGCAATGGTCGTACGGGACTAGCGTCATACTGCACGTATAACGTACGCATGTCTTGTGGCAATGGTCGTACGGGACTAGCGTCATACTGCACGTATAACGTACGCATGTCTTGTGGCAATGGTCGTACGGGACTAGCGTCATACTGCACGTATAACGTACGCATGTCTTGTGGCAATGGTCGTACGGGACTAGCGTCATACTGCACGTATAACGTACGCATGTCTTGTGGCAATGATCGTACGATGACAGTGAATGTGCCGATAGTCGCGAGTACTCGGAATGCGCTGACATCTGCAAATGAAGAGCTTAGAGTCATGAGGGCCAATGTCACGTGGAGTCCGTTTGGAGAAAAGTAATGAAAACCATAACCATAATTATGCATGCAAATGAACATTTTTTATTTACCTATAAATTCCTAAACTTTAACACATTCTGACAGTAGGCATATAAATGTTGCTATAAAAAATAACATCCCAAAAAGGATGGGCTAATGGGCTAATGTCTGTATTTTGGCCCTTTTGGCCCTTTTTGCCCTCAGGCATTTACATGGGATTTAACAGGTGCGATTGATAAACTACTACTGAAAGTATAAACACATACTATTGAAGCTCTTTTAAATGGTTTAAACTAAAATATTTTAAACATAATTATGATGTGTGAAAACTTTCAAAAATCTCTTGAACAACCAGTCTCAACAACACATGACAATGAGAGCTGAAAGGGCCAAAAACTTGTCAATGCAAACATACAATATTTGTTCTGTATGTAGACAAGAACTCATAGATATTATTTATGCAATAATATGTAAAAAGGGCCAAAATGCGTTTGGGCCCCTTTTAGCTCTAAGCTCTGCAAATATATTTCAGATTTAGATTTAGATTTAGAAGAATCTACATGATAAAATTGATGTAATAACAGTAAATGCCTGATCTTCATCTCGGACGATTTATACTGTATACAAGTACAGGTGGTGAATTGGACATATTCAGACTGGTATAACCGATTCAGACTAAGGGACATGACTGATCCAGACTCAGTGATATAACAGATTCAGACTGTAATATAATATATTCAGACGATGTAATATAACTGATTCAGACTTTGTGATGATAACAAATTGAATGGATTCAGTAAGTGAGTGAGTGATTTGGGTTTAACGCCGCTTTCAGCAATATTCAAACAATATCCCGGCGGAACAGCAGAAATTGGCTTCACACATTGTACCCATGTGGAGAATCGAACACGGGTCTTCGGCGTGACAAGCGAATGCTTTAACCACTAGGCTACCCAACTGCCCCTCAGACTATGTGATATAACAAATTCAGACTATGTGCAATTCTGGAAGGAAATGTGTTTTTGCAGATTCTAACAAAACTATGTTGTCTTGTTAGGAGACCAGCTGCGCCTGCGTGGATTTCATAGGGAACCTGTCCAAAGCGGACATTGGGAAGTGTGACCAGAGATGTTCCCACAACGTCGGGGAGCGCTGTGGAGGTTCAGGCTACGGCAGCATCTACCGCCAACGTAGGCTTTACTTCCTCTACCATGGGCGCATTATTATGTCTCACCAGAAGTGTTCCATAGATAACTTACAAGTGACCGTTTGTACGCCTACACGCCTCCTTGTTTACCACTCTCAAGCCCAGCGACATCTTTTAAGAAGCGTGCCCTCAGAAAATCGAAAGTCGGGGGGGGGGGGGGGGGGGGGGGGAGGTCGATCCCGAGGACGCGTCATTCAACAGACGTTAAACGATTGAATTGTTTGATAGGCATTACTTAGAAGTGGACGAATACACGGATAACATAATGTTATGTTATCCATAAAATGTGTCTTCGTTGACGTGAAACGATTATACTTACTGATACCTGGTGCTGGGCACGACAATACGGATACAAAGGGATACGACAATGATCGGGCAAGTCGGAGTGCGTATACTGTGTCGGAGTGAGGTATCCATCTTAAAATGCAGCATGGTATCTCAGTGGGCTAGCAGTATAAACCCTGCTTAGGTTCGGACTAGTATAAGCACACACACACACACACACACACACACACACATACACACGTGCATGCTGTAATCTGACAACGGGGTGTTATGTCCGATTTCACCTCACTTCATCTCTGTTAAGAACACCGCCAATACATATTCTTTTCCCTTTTAAGTACGAACAAAATCGTAATTATGCATCTGTAAGTGGAGTTATGTTCGTTGTAGCGTCAATGTGAAATATAATCTATGTAATAATGTTCTGTTGCCAGCCGAGGACATCTATCCCTGGTCCACCGCGAACACAGACAGCAGCCTGTGTGGGTACCTGTACAATCTACCATCATACGATGTCGTCATGAAGGCAGACAGGTGTGGATCCCAAGTCTCGACCAACAAACAAGCGTTTTGTCAGGAGGGTAACTGTTTTCTGGAGTTGAATCCTAATGTTCGAATCTATGTTAACGCGAAATCAAGACAGGTTTCATACTGCTCTGAATATATTTACTCTGAATATGTACACTTTGACATGGGTTCCGACCTGTGATTTCATTACCGATGTGACTTTGTAAATTCACTCACTCTGCATTCAAGTTCCACCAGTTTTATTAATAGTGAGTGAGTATGGTTTTAAGCCGCTTTTAACAATATTCCAGCAATTCACGGCGGGGGACACTAGAAATGGGCTTCACACATTGTCGGGAATCGAACCCGGGTCGTCGGCGTGAAGAGCGAACGCTTTAACCACTAGGCTACCCGACCGCCCCGTTATATTAACCTGTGCTGGGGGAGCTGTTGGGTTCTGTGACTGGTGCGCCAGGTATCCGAACTTTGATTTCCGAAACAGATCTGCGCCAAACTTGGCAGGTAAAGTACTCACGGAAATGAAAAAAAACTGTTTTTCTCAATTTAAAAATCGACACAAAGTGTTACGTAGCTGTAAATACGAAATGATAAAACAACTCGAAAAGTACTAGTCTGGATTTGCTTGTTTGATCTCAGTGAACAATACAAAATGTACTTTACAGGAGGTAATTTGTCGGCACTTTCAACATTCAAAAATAAAACTAAGTCCAAATTGACATAGCAGAAACAGACTATAGGCATTATGCACCTGTTCTCACCTGTCGTCAAGGTGTCATAGGTCACCTTGATCTACTTACACCTGGTTATGCCCTGTTTCACAATAGTCTGTTTTATTCACATTTTTACACACTTTTACGTGTAAAAAGGCATAAAAACATTTGATACGCTGTATTTGTGCCACGGCCCAATTAGTACTAATTTAGTTGTTTGAATATTTACATATTTATTTATTTATACATTTATTTAAGATCTGAGGTCGAAAAAACAGTTTTTTTTCATTTCCGTGAGTACTTCAGTTCCATACACACATGACTGGAATATGTGCACTTGTCTGCACAGGAGGCAACCTGACGGTGGACGAGACGTACAATACCTGGGAGCAGGCTTGTCGTGGACTGAAGAAGGCCGACGTGACGAGTAAGGACAACCCACCGTTTAGGAACTCTCAAGGCACACAGGAGTACTACTGGATCGGTGTCAGGAGAAACACAGAATGGCGGTGGGTTAATGGTACGTGGCAAGATGGCAATGCTAGGCGATTAGGAGAGCTATTTGCTGTGTTTTGCATTTAAGGTATACGCGGTTAATGTGATAACGAGACCTCTAAATGTCATTTGTAACATAACGCGTTAGTCCATATTGAACTAAAAATTATAATAACAAACCTAACGGTCTACAGCACAGTATACCAAGGTCACATCTTGATTCCAAGGTAATAAATAAAAAAATTATTAATGATAACAACCATTAACATAATTTCCAAGTTAATCTACATTTCAAGGTCATGAGTGATATAGTTTTACACCTTAAGCAGTTTGTGGATTAGCCTTTAAGGATCTCACGGACATTCGCATTGAATCGACCGCCTCCGTTGTCTAGTGGAAAAGCGTCCGCCCGGAGAGCGGAAGGTCGGGGTTTGTTCCCCGGTCGCGTCATACCAAAAGACGTTAAAAGATGGTACTTGTTGTTACCATGTCTAGCTCTCGGCATTAAGGGGAAAACAAGGACTGGTCGGCTCGGAGTTAGTATACTGTGTCTGAATGGGGTGTTCGTGTTAAACTGCGGCATGGTATCTCAGTAGGCTTGCACTATACATCGGCATCTGTCCGGGCTAGTACAAGCAGCCACACACACACGTGCATGCACGTCGCTATGTAAGTGCAATAACCCCAGTTCACCTCACCTCACCACCTCGTACTATACGTTTGGCTTCATCCAATAATCTGCTTGTTATCTATTACCGTTGTTGTCTGTGTTAGTCTGCTGCTTATCACAAAATGTTATGCATAAATACCTCTCTTCACTTGGCCCTTGTCACTCCAGTTTCATAACGGTGTAAGAATCGACATCGAAACATCGCTTTATGCAGTAAACCAGAAGTTATTATCCATAAAGTTGCACGTCTAAAGTCAAGGTGCTTTCTCTTAAAATAAAATGGGTACAATATGTGAAGCCTATTTGTGGTGTCCCCCGCCGTGATATTGCTGGAATATTGCTAAAAGCGGCTTAAAACCATACTCACTCACTCACTCACTTAAAATAAAAAGAAATAGATGACTAACCTCCAAATTGTGTCCCCTTGTACCTGGTGTATATCCTGTCACAATGTCCGCGATTCAGGGAGCAGTGCCGAGGACGTCGTGCAAGGCATTGATTCGGTTGACGAAGGTGGTGACTGTCTTGCTGCATACAAAGACGTCGGAGAGAAGATACACCTCAGCACGCGACCCTGTTCCGCATCAGCCATCATCATGTGTGCTTCAGGTGAAAGATGTCATACGTCACAACGCACTTGTTGACGTCTTTTGTTTGTTTGTTTGTTTGTTTGTTGTTTAACGCCGCACTCAGCAATACTCCAGCTATATGACGGCGGTCTGTAAACAATCGTGTCTGGACCAGACAAACCAGTGATTGACATCATGAACATCGATCCACGCAATTGGGATACGCTGACATGCATCAACCAAGTCAGCGAGCCTGACCACCCGATCCCGTTAGTCGCCTCTTACGACAAGCATAGTCGCCTTTTACGACAAGCATAGGCAGCTGAAGACCTGGTCTACCCCCGACCTTCACGATGTTAGATCTTGGGATAAATGTGACCATGCAGGACCATGGGCTGACGTTGAGATAACTGTCTTGAAGTAATCTACCCTTTGTCCCGTATCAGTACGGTATCACTATACCATGTCCCGCATCACGATCCTATGTCCCGTATCAGTACGGTCTCACTATCCTATGTCCCGTATCAGAACGGTGTCACTATCCAATGTCCCGTATCAGTACGGTGTCACTATCCTATGTCCCCTACCACTATCCTTTGTCCCGTATCAGTGCGGTATCACTATCCTATGTCCCGTACCACTATCCTATGTCCCGTATCAGTACGGTATCACTATCCTTTGTCCCGTATCAGAACGGTGTCACTATCCTATGTCCCGTAGCAGTACGGTGTCACTATCCTATGTCCCCTGCCACTATCCTATGTCCCGTATCAGTACAGTATCACGATCCTATGCCCCGTATCAGTACGGTATCACTATCCTTTGTCCCGTATCAGTACGGTATCACTATCCTAGGTCCCGTATCAGTACGGTATCACTATCCTTTGTCCCGTATCAGTAAAGTATTACTATCCTATGTCCCGTATCAATACGGTGTCACTATCCTTTGTCCCGTATCAGTACGGTAACACTATCCTATGTCCCGTATCAGTACGGTATCACGATCCTATGTCCCGTATCAATACGGTGTCACTATCCTTTGTCCCGTATCAGAGCGGTATCACTATACTTTGTCCCGTATCAGTACGGTGTCACTATCCTTTGTCCCGTATCAGTACGGTATCACTATCCTATGTCCCGTATCAGTACAGTATCACGATCATATGTCCCGTATCAGTACGGTATCACTAACCTTTGTCCCGTATCAGTACGGTATCACTATCCTTTGTCCCGTATCAGTACGGTATCACTATCCTTTGTCCCGTATCAGTACGGTATCAATATCCTTTGTCCCGTATCAGTACGGTATCACTATCCTTTGTCCCGTATCAGTACGGTATCACTATCCTATGTCCTGTATCAGTACGGTATCACTATCCTTTGTCCCGTATCAGTACGGTATCACTATCCTTTGTCCTGTATCAGTACGGTTTCACTATCCTTTGTCCCGTATCAGAGCGGTATTACTATCCTTTGTCCCGTATCAGTACGGTAACACTATCCTATGTCCCGTATCAAAACAATGTCACTATCCGATGTCCCGTAATGTTATTCCACACTGTGCACTGTAGCTGAAGTGACCGCGATCCGCCAATGAACCGCTATGTCCAAGTCACCTTCACCTGGTAAACGACATCCTTCTGTATTGATACGTTTCGTTCCGCACATCAGATGGTATTTTAACTGGTAGTGCTCAGCAAATGGACCTGAGCATGTGCTCAGGTGTCGAGTCGTATAAGGTCCTGCAGTTCGCTGTGCGTGCCAGGATCGCATGGGACCATCCCATCACCCGTGTTGTCTTAAAAATCATGTGCATTTGACATCGAAAAAATGATATTGAAAATATTCACTTCTGATTTGCTGTGATATGAAACCTATACATGCATTGATAGCATTTAACACTCCGATCTGTTCTCTGACACCAGATTTACTACCAACAACCCATACACTGCTTCCAGAACCTTCATCCACACGATTTTCGTCGCCACCTTCACCAACAACTTCCACAACTATTCCAACATCTTCATCGACTACGGTGGTAGCATCCACGAGTCACACATCGATAACGACTCCTTCGTCTCCCTCGACCACGGGGACTTCTTCTTGGTCAGCAACAATGAGGACGACGACGTCTTCTGAAGCAGCAACTTCCAACCCCGCATGGACCTCTGGTCAGAACACTGAGACTGGGGCGATACATGGAGACACATCGACGGGAACAGCTGCAGCTGCAACTACAACACACGGACAAACCGACACTGCAGAGATTACAAGTGTCCCAACGACGGGAACAGTGACCTCAAGGCCCTCCATTCAGTCGACCCGTACGTCGGTCACTACTGGGACGCGTGTGTCTGGATATTCCAGTAACCAGAGCAATGGAGCTGCTGTAACTCCTGCAGAAGGCTCTCCTAGTGCCAGAACACCTCCACAATCTACAACAATGGAAGGAAGCAAAACTACGGTCGGAGCTAGCCACGTTACCAACAAGCCCAATGAAGATCCTACTGACCTGCGGGGTAAGGTGTCTTAATATATTTCTATTCTGAAATAGTTCAGTGGCTGTGATCAAATTATTTTGAATGTATACTTACGATCACTGCTGTTAAGCGTGGAGACGGATCTCCGTGGGTGATTTAAGTTTTAGCAATATTCCAGCCATATCGCGGCGAGGGACACCAATAATGTCCTTCAAGCCCTGTATCCTTGTAGACTGTAGAGGTCATTGGATTGGATTATATTCACTCCAGTCTAGATTTCACGGTACATAAATAATAAGTTCTAATTTTGATAAGAACGATTAAGGTAATATTTTTTGGCGTTCATGGACATATGAACGTAATAGCGGTGTAAACACTATGTAAATCCCATAACTCCATAAACGCGAAAAGATATTGAAGTCAATTCTTACAAATAAATGCATTGACAATAATAGTGAGTGAGTGAGTGAGTTGGTTTTAACGCCGCTTCTAACAGTATTCCAGTTATATCGCGGCGTGTCAGCTTGATGTGGGAGGAAAGCCCGAAGTGATGCAGGTCTCAGACGTTTACCACTTCGGTGAAACCCACGAGCACGGGTATGGTGCTGACAAACCTAGAAACATAATTGGGGCGCATTGACAATAATAACTTCGCAGACTGTTTATTGTATCATTGACACTATAATGACTGCAGACAATACCAAATCACAGACGTCACTCAGAGCAATAATGAAACACAAGCCCCGCCCATTCTATTACCAACCAATGAGGAAGCAGTAGTTCGTTAGTGATTGTTCAACCAATCAAATGCTTTGTAAACACTTGCAATAAATTCATTGACAATTAGTGGCCTGGTCGTTACATTGGACAGGTCTGTACATTGGCTTGGGTGTGGTCGCCGGTCTCCTGATGGTGGGTCTAGGTGTGTTGGTGCTGGTGCAGCTGTTCTGGAAGAAACACAGAGGGTACGTCATATCGTGGTTCAGGGGATGTGTCATACTCAGCTACATAGGGCATATCGACCCGTGAAGATTCGGGTGAAAATAGGTCTTCAGCAACCCATGTTTGCCGTTAAAGGCGACTATGCTTGTCGTAAGAGACGATCGATGGTCAGGCTCGTTGATTTGATTGATACATGTCTTCGTATCCTTATAACGTGGATCGATGGTGATGATGCCAATTATTGGATTGTCTGGTCCAGACTCGATTGTTTACAGACCGCCGTATAGCTGGAATATTGCTGGGTGCGGCGTTCAACATCATAGGATCCCTGGAACGGGCATTACCTGAAGTCAATAATTTATTGTATGTTTGCGAATACTGGTAATACCCGCGTCACTATTTAAAAGTCCGTGGCAATATAACGCATACCGAAGTAATTATGGCTATGCAGTATGGTGTCCTATGCTGATTTGATATTTACTCCTTGTATATTCGTGTGTTGAGTGTTTGAGATATTAACATCAATTATTTACCCTCAACATGAATACTTTATCAGTTTGAGTGAGCATTGTTTCACGCCGCTTTTAGCAATATTCCATCAATATCACTGCAGGGGACACCAGAAATGCGCTTCACACACAGTACCCATGTGGGGAATCGAACACGGGTCTTCGACGCGACGAGCGAACACTTTAACCACACGGTGATGTGCGAGATGAAGTGTTAAGTTGTCCCTGAGCGCTTCTCTAATTGTAAGCACAGTTCAAACTCCTTTCCTGTTTACAGATTTGTGGTGTCCCCCGCCGTGATATTGCTGGAATATTGCTAAAAGCGGCGTAAAACCATACTCACTCACTCACTCGTGTTTACAGCGGACAGTCCCAGGTATATCGCGTGCGGAATCTGACAAAGCGCCACCTGTCGAGCAGCAGCAACAAAAGTCCCTCAAGAGAGAATCTGGTCCACCAGAAGCGGAACTCCGTGTGGGGAGACACCGAGAAGCGAGTCCGACTCCAGTCCGTAAAAGATGCACCGGCAAACAACAGTGTACGATGGAGAGATGAAAACTGGGGGTTTGATGTTGACGACGGTAACGACTCTGTATTTGAGGACGGCTCCCCAACAGGCTTGCCACGACTTCACAGCGGCGGCATGGCAACGCGAGCCTCGCTGGGTGTCCCAGACCCCGTCCGCTCAGTACATTTTGAAGATGAAGCTGAGTACCCACAGACGGGGACGGACTTGACACAGATACAGTCCATTTACCCCCGCTTGTGAACTAGTCAAGGATTTGTGTTACTATCTGTTGTGACCTATTTGCCCTGGCGTCGAAGTCATTGTCTGGTTCGTTCAGCACGAGACTGTGAGATGCTGTGACATGGCTGGTGACAACCGTTGGTACTCGTGTCATTCCGGACAACCCGAGTGGTTGCGGAAACGGACGAGTGTTTACGGTTGGCCAGGCCATTCAGTGTCGTGGGTTACAATGCCAGACGTGTAAACTTGTGAATATTGTACAGATGTGTTGTGTGTCATGGCGTTAGCGGTGGATGGGAGGACACGTGACATGTAACTTCACTCATAAATCTATGTACTGGAATCACAGGAACTCGTTATTGGTCAGTAAATAAAAATATATACCCCCCTATATGTAAGTAGAGTATAGGGGGTATATATTTTTATTTACTGACCAATAACGAGTTTTGTGACTGGAATATGGTTCAAATAATTTTTATTTTCCAGTTTGACAAATTACCAACGCTTTGCATTGTAGCCATTGGCAGTCCAACATTCTGGTGATATCGGTTCTGTTGCTAAACAACTAAACACACACAGGTTCAAGATAATAAAGCAAAACATATGATTAAATGTTTATTTGGATCATACAGTAATTGGATGACAAATGAACTCCAGCTGTAAGGGCTTATAGGGCTGGGGCGAGTCCAAATTTACTACCCGGGTACCCACCCCCTATTACCCGACCCTACACAGGTACCCGTTGTAGGTCTCAAGAGATATGTCCGATTGGGAATAGTTTAACTGTCGCCCTGGCAAAATGTATTTAGATACTTGTGTAAAACGATCTGGTCATGCATACACTGAATTTGGCTTAAGTTTTATCTATACTCACACAAATCCTTCAGCTACCCATGCTTGCCGTAAAAAGCGACTATGCTTGTCGAAAGAGGCGACTAACGGGATCACTGGATTGTCTGGTCCAGACTCGATTATTTACAGACAGACCGCTGTCATATAGCTGGATTATTGCTGAGTTCGGCTTTCAAGAACAAACACAAACAAACGATAGACAAACAATTCAGCCTAGAGGAAGAAAATATATTTGAGTGTCAGCTAGAATATTTGGATGAGGTTGAGAAACAACCAGTATTTCATCTGACCTAATGTTGTGGCAGTGTGCATAAATAATTGTGAATATCCTGATTTTAGTTGTCACTTTCATAAACCAGTCATCATCCTCTCCTGGATATCACCATGGTAACCGGATCAGAAATGGTACAACCAGATCTAACAAAGCAAACTTCTAATTACAATCATAACTGAAGTGAAGAGGAATATCAGGTATAAAGAAGAAATTAAAAGAGTGAGTGAGTATGGTTTTACGCCACTTTTAGCAATATTCCAGCAATATCACATCGGTTGACACCAGTAAATGGGCTTCACACATTGTGTCCATATGGGGAATCGAACCCCGGTTTTCAGAGTGATTAGCGAACTGTTTAACCACTAGGCTACCCCACTGCCTCGGTATAAAGAAGAAATTAAAAGAGTGAGTGAGTATTGTTTTACGCCACTTTTAGCAATATCACAGCGGGGGACACCAGAAATGGGCTCCACACATTGCACCCATGTTGGGAATCGAACCTTTGATGTGACGAGGGAACACTTAAACCACTAGGCTACTAGGCTACCTGGAAATTAAAGAGTGATTTGTGTCCATAGAAAGAAACGTGAGTGAGAGCGAGTAGGTCTCACACAACATTGACCATTGTGTGAGTTATATTGCAGCATGTCAGCTTAACAAGGAGTAAGCCTGAAGTGATGGGTAGAAACCCACAGCAACATGTGGCCCTGACAGTATAACATGCATAGATGAGAGTACTAGGGCTGGGACGAGTCCAAATTTACTACCAGGGAACCTGAGCACCCGACCCGGCTCTACCTGGGTACCCACTGTAGGTCTCAAGATGTGGGAACAAAATGTCTGACTCGGAATAGTTTTACTGCAGCCCTGGCAAGAACTGTTTAGATACATGTATCAAATGATCAGATCATACATACACTGAAGTTGACTGAAACTTTGTTCACTCAAACATATACTCGTCAGAAGGAATGTGCTTTGTCAGAGAGAAATGCAAACATTGGCGACTTGTAGTGTAACCACTGAGCTATAGTGAGTTTTGGTCATCAAACAATATATCACATGACTAACCACAGGTCCGGGTAGTCCTGTGGGTATCCAGGTCCTACTCAACATCCACCCAACCAGAGTTCCCGAGTGACCCGTCCCAGCCCTCGAGGGTACACTTTATATATGAGACTACGACAATGATACAAGGTAAATATATATTCAACACTTCATCACAGAAAGGATCTTAACAACAATAACAATAATGACTATCACATCAAGAGTATTACAGTATCATGTAACCATGGCAACAGGATGTATGGAGAAAACAGAGCCGACCTTGACTTGATGGTCCGTCATCGGCTGTGGTGGGACAAAAGTCAGAAAATACTAATACTTACAGTACAACATAGATATCTGAATATATGGACATAATACAAACCTAGTAGGTTTAATGTGCAAATATAAAACAATGATGCCAAGGTGAACTAAGAATGTACTTGTCATGTGAGGAGGAATTTTCAGTAATAACTGATTCTAGATTCTCTTGTTCCTGAGTTATTTTACAAACGATAAACTTGCATTATCTATAAAAAATTAATTCAGCCTGTACTAGACACCCTGTCTGTGTTTCTGTCCTCCAGCCTTAGCCACGGAATATTACTTTAGTATGTCAGCTTGCCACCAGTAGGCAGATCTGCTGACAATTCCTCTCCCCAACTTTATGAGGTCACACCTCGGACACTTTCAGCCAGTTCAGCCTGTTGTCTGTTTGCTAGAGCATGAGGATAAGCCTCCGACAGAATCTCAGCCAGTGCAGCATCAGTCTGTAGTCAGTCCAGCAATAGCCTGTATTGCTTGAGTTGTCCTCTACGAGTCCAAACCTCCGACAGCCTTCAGCCAGTTCAGCATCAGTCTGTAGTCAGTCCAGCAATAGCCTATATTGCTTGAGTTGTCCTCTACGAGTCCAAACCTCCGACAGCCTTCAGCCAGTTCAGCATCAGTCTGTAGTCAGTCCAGCAATAGCCTGTATTGCTTGAGTTGTCCTCTACGAGACTAAACCCCCGACAGCCTTCAGCCAGTGCAGCAATAGTCTGTAGTCAGTCCAGCAATAGCCTATATTGCTTGAGTTGTCCTCTACGAGACTAAACCTCCGACAGCCTTCAGCCAGTTCAGCATCAGTCTGTAGTCAGTCCAGCAATAGCCTGTATTGCTTGAGTTGTCCTCTACGAGACTAAACCTCCGACAGCCTTAAGCCAGTTCAGCAATAGCCCGTAGTAAGCGCAGCAATAGCATGTATTGCTTGAGTTGTCCTCTACGAGTCTAAACCTCGGACAGCCTTCAGCCAGTTCAGCATCAGTCTGTAGTCTGTGTTTTCAGCCAATCGGTTCTCCCTCCTGGACAGATTCGACACCAGTGTGTTGAACTTGGCCCTGGCCAGTTTATGCAGCGTTTCACGTTCCAGGTCGCCCTGAACAGTAAGTGAGTGAGTGAGTTATGTGTAACAAGGCTTTGGACAGCATATGTGACCCAGGAGAAAAGGGACCTCAAGGGTGCTAGGATACAACTCTGCTGGGGCGTCATGAAGAAAGACGTTTGACATCAACTTACTTCTGTAAAAATCACTGTGTGCAGACTGTAAAAACAGTATCATACTTTTCTCTCGTTAATCCGTAATGTAATAAAAACAATATTCAAAAGCATTTCAGCAAACATGTAGACTTTCAATTATTCAGACAAATCTAAAAACTGCAATTATCACAAAAACAGTAATAAGCCTGAAAAAGGGAATTTGCAGACAATGAATCCAAATGTTCGAAGCCATGTCACGCTGTAATAAACATAAGTTGAAGCTTATCAAATGTATTTTTGAAGTCATACTATACTGTAGTTTTAAAATAGAGTAAGAAGTCAAAATGTGATTTTTCACCCTTAAAGGGCAAGTTCACACGGAAATTAACCTATTTTTCTTGCACTTTTTCCACATTAAAAGTGTTAACCTAGAAGTGTCATAGACAAAAATATAAAAATATCACAATTAATTAACATATTTTTCGCATTAAAACGATATATATTTTTCACATTTACCAAGTGTTCTATTTCCACAACAAAAACACCATGGCTTATGCCCCTTGCAATATGACGTCATTGGTGCCAATTGATAAACATTATGACGTCATCATGCTTTGTTAGAGCCGCTTCACGTGGTGTAGGTCTAGGTGTGTGATTCTAGCGTCTCAGATGCCAGCCAGCATAGTGTTATGCTGAGTCACCACTGCGCCGGAGTGTGTCGTAGGCCATGTTGTTTTACCGCAAACTGGTACTTGATATCTTTTGCGTTGAGAATAGACAGGGACCCAGTTGAATTGGCACCAATTACGTCATAATCTAAGGGGGATAACTCAGGCCTGTTTAGCTCGAAAAACGAAGGCCTCATAACGGCATATCATTTTCACACTATTGTGAGCTTCCTACTTTCACTGTGAAAAAAATGAGTGTATATTTTCAAACACAGATACTAATTAATTCTAAAATTGCGTTTTGTTTAGAAAAAGAAAGAAAGTGATTTTTGCGTGTACACTCCCCTTTAAGGTCCCTTATCTCATGGTTGGTCACATATATCATTTACATCCATAAGTGTCGGCTTAACATACTATTTTATCACTGTTACCTCCAGTGGGAGTGTCCGGACCCTCATGATGAAGTCTCGCACCTCCCCCTCACACTTGACCGGGGGGCAGTCCCCTCGAGCCATGTAGTTCAGACTGTCCAGTTTGTGGAAGATCTGTGGAGACAAACATGTCAGTCAGGAGCCTGTTATACAAGGATGTTAATGCTTGATATCACCCCCACACCAAGTGCACACTGACAACAATGTCAAACAATGACAAGCAATAGCTACATGCCAGTTCTCATTACAAAACAATGTTACAAAGCTTGATTTATATATTTTGGTATCAGTCTGACCTATTTAATGTTTATAACTTTAAATTTGTTCAATATGTCATGTCTCGCATTAGCTTACTATCCTTTGCCTTGTGAAGATCCAGGGTAGAATAGGTCTGCAGCAACCCATGCTTGCCATAAAAGACGACTTTGCTTGTCTTAAGAGGTAACCAACGGGATCAGACTTGGTTGATGCATGTCATCGATCCCAATGCTCATGATGCTCATGATGTCAATCACTGGATTGTCTGGTCCAGACTCGATTATTTACAGATTAACGTCATATAGCTGGAATATTGCTTAGTGTTGGGTTAAACAACAAACAAACGAACAAACATACTGTCTATCCTTTGCTGACAAGTAATCACACATATCATTCTGATACAGCTGACCTCACCTGGTAGAAGAGTTTTCTGTCCCTGCCTGACCCAATGTGTTTCTGGCTCTCAATGATGTTGAAGTTGTTCTTGATGAGGCCAAGGTACTGCTGAATGCCTCTCTCTGTCACAAAGCTTGATTTCTTTTCTGACAGAGCCTACATATCAGGACAGAAACCACACATGTGTCATGTTTACTAACAAATATACTAACCGCCAAAAGAAACGCAAACCATAGAAACATACGAAGAAGTATGTAAGTTAAGATGTTTCCAATGTCTATGAATTAAAGTCAAAACTAACAATCAGTCAAGTGTTACCACAGCGTGTCTTTATTCTTATCACGATATACTGCACGTGATTTCCAAACTTTACACGCTTATCCTGCATGAGACAAATGGTGCTTTTCTAGTTATGGATTTACAATTGGATATGTTCATGTGGGTCAGTTCATGCAACATAACAGTATGGTCGTTCCTGCATCAAACCAAACTAACATCTCCTGAATATGAATAATTCTTCATATATTAACCAACATGTATGGTTTTTGGATTTCTTTTGGGTGTGAGTATATATACAAAGATAAATCATTTTTTGACCAGTGAAGATCCAGGAGTAGAATTTGTCTTCAGCAACCCATGCTTGTCATAAGAGGTGACTAACGGGATCGGGTGGTCAAGCTCACTGACTTGGTGGATGCATGTCATCATAATCCAATTGCGTAGATCGATGCTCATGATATCAATCACTGGTTGTGTGGTCTGGACTTGATCATTTCAAACCATCATTATAGAGCTGGAATATAGCTGAGTGTGATGATAAACAACAAAAAAACATCAGTTTCAGACTTGTACAGACTTAGTAAAATCTAAATATTTTTTACATTTGTGTACTTATCCTGCATTACTCCAATGCATTCACTGCTGACGTTACGACAACAAAAAGGACAGTGCAACAGCAATGGTCCTGGGTGAAGAAATAAAGTTGTTGTTCTGAAGTCCCACTTTTACTGACCACCGCCACTGTCCTGTGAGCTTGATGACACCTAAGGTCACCTTCTTCACACCACTGCCTGTTGCCCGAGCTCTTCATCTTCCAAGGCAAGAGAGTTAACTGACTGTAAAAGTCCAGTTTCCACCCTTGCCGAACTAGGCTGGTATTATGGAGTTACATTTTAGCTTGACTTACGAGTGTATGCATAGTCCAATCAAAATCGCGCACTGAAATCGAAATCCGGTTCGTAAAGTGTCATGCATAGTTCGGTCGACTGCAGGATTTGCAAAGCATGTGCACCGCTAACTCGTTGTCAACAAATATTTTCTATATCTTTTCATGTTTTTGATCAAGGTGCTCACGTGATTTGATGCACTTCGCGATGTAAGACTCGTTTGATCACAATATAGATCTTGATTATCGATCAGATGGTCTTGACTAGGCGCCACTGTTTTGTTTGAAGCAAATGTTAGTGATACGAGAAGTTGAATCTGATTGGTCAATAGGAGAGGCATAGAAAGGACATTACTCGTAATAGCCACTGGTGGCGCTACGATCGAGCCCAGCAATTCCAGGCTAGTTCGGCAAGGGTGGAAACTGGACTTTTAAAGTCAGTTAACTCTCTTGCCTCGGGAAGATGGAGCTCTTAGAAAAATATACTTTTGAAATTTCTGAAGCCAAAGTGGGGAGGCAAGTCTGCAATGGTTGGGCCTTAAACGTAGTAATGCAGGATATGTATGCACATGTAAAAAATATTTAGATTTTACTTATCCTGCATTACTCCTTAACGCATCAGAATCGGACGGTTTGGAAATGGGTCAACCTTCAGAATACAGAAATCTAAATACGACACCAGTTTGTCGATAAACAATAAAGCGGAAAGGTTCAGAAAAACATCATTACGGTAGGTTTGCTCAAATATCAACCCGACTGAACATAGGAATTGAAGTGAAATTCCCTATACACATTTAGTGATAAAGAAAATAATAGATAATCAGCTAATTCTTTACTTACTATGTCATAGAGCTGGTATTGACAAACAAGATTGTTGCGGTATTCCGCTAGGAACTGTTGTGACGCAATCGTATGGTCTTGATTCTTTTGCCTTGCACAAAGTCTCAATGATCCCCACTTGTCATCGTATAGTCCACAGGGAGAGGGACATATGTCATGCGTTAGTGGTTTAGGCAAGTAGCAAACAAGCCAGTGATTGGTTGCCTGAACTTCTGAAGCAGTAACTGGAATGCTTCTGTGCGAAGTTTCCACTCGGTGGGAGCCACCCTGTCTGTAAGGCATCGGCCAGTAAGTTCCGACATCCGGGGATGTGCTCAACTATGAACTGTATAACTTAGTTCCAGACGATCCACTAGATGTAAACACCTGAATGTCTGTTGAAGCAGGGAGTGGGAGTGCGTTGTTCCCTGATTGCACTGGCACCACACCACAGTGCTTTTGTCTGTGGATATTGCGAGTTGGGCAGACTGTAGCTGATACTGCCAAAGGGATATGGCCAGAATTAACGCTCCCAAGTCCATGTTGTTTCTGTGCCACTTTCGATGAGCGCCTGACCATAGCCCTGAGGCTGACTGGCCTTGCAGGTGAGCACCCAAACCCTGAAGTGAGGCATCTACGAACAGGTGTATACTCAGGATATCCTGGGTAAAGAGACTCCTCCTAAGACATTCGACTCTACCGTCCACCAATGGAGGTAAGGCCTTAGTTGAGCAGGTAGAGGGATGGCCTTGAGTAGATCCTGACGCTTGATGTAAGGGTTCAGGAATTGTAGAATTGAGCAGTTGTCAACGGCCTGTGCTGGTTAAGTCCTGTGCCTAGGTGAGTAACCCTTGCAACACTTGCCATTGGCAAAGGGTGCATGGTTGGTATAGCGCAGGTGACAAGAAGCGTAGAATCTTGTGCCATCTGTCCCTCGGTACTGATAGGAGATCCTGGTCTGTCTGGAACAGGCCTCCTATGAACTATGATCTATGAACTCATTGACTATTCATCCCAGTTGATATTGTAGCCGTCTGCATGGTGAACTCCCGGTGGCATACTAACGTTGGCGTGTGTTGATGACACAGCAGACTGTCCTCTATCTACGACTCGAACCAAATGTTCGTCAGGTGTATATACATAGTTATTGGCTCCATTACTCCTGTAAATAGCCATAGGGTCACTGAAATGCCAAATGGGAATACTACCCACTGGTAGTGAACCCTACTGAACTAGAACCTGAAGAGTCTGCGGTCAGAGGGATGGATAGTCAAGACTGATCAAGGATCGAATGCATTGATGTTGGTTCTGAGCAGTCTCACCATGGTGAGGCGTCAAGAAGGTGGATGCTTCAGATAGCGTATGTTGAACACGGAGAGATTGTGGATCATTCTTATCTTATCTGAGTCCCTCATGGGTACCATGTGAGGATAAAACCCCGGTGTTAAGTCTGGGGTGTGCGCCATCTCTACAGCTCTTTTTACCAACAGCATGTCTATGTTGGATTTTCAAAGTTGGAGGAGCTGTGGTCAATGGTGGGGTTACCCCTACGTGTAGACGGAATCCGCGCTGTAGTATGATGAGTATGTAAACGTCCCTGAGACTTGCCACTACCACGCCCCTTCCCATGCAGGTAATACTGGTCTTCCTTGAGAGATGCGCCTCTAGGCTTATAAATGCCTGAACTGCCAGCCCGCTGGGATAGACTGAAAGAGACGTGCTCTAGAGTCTTGAGGGCAGTGTCATTCCAAGCATCTTTGGGAACTTTGGCGTGCGGGTCTGCGATCTGTTCATTGAACAGGGAAGTAGATGACCAAGATAGACATAGCAGCCTGCGCTTGAGTCCCAGTTGGAAAGCGCTAAACAAACAAGTCTGCGTGTGACGGTAATCTCCGCCATAGCGGCCTTAAGATGAATTTTCATGTGGTCAATCTGACACTGTAGGAAAATCACCATATTTTGGAAATGATCTAATCGGATAGGGTTATCCTCTGATAGATCCAGATCCACCGCATGCATTGACGTTGTTGGTGGCTTAAATGACGGAGCTTGGAGAAGTTTTCATCCAATGACCATCACTGACACGAGACGATCTGCTACCCAATTGGGTACTTGCGCTAAGCTGAGATGCATATTCAGTTCCACAGAGTCTGATGAGTCAGAACAATGTTGACGCTTAGACGATGATCTGCTCCGGAGTCTAGTGTTTCCTCTATCAGAAGGCTTTGATGACCTGCCAGTCTGCTGGGACACTTGCTGTAGCGAGACAAGCAGTGATGTGAAGAAGGTGACCTTAGGTGTCATCAAGGTCACAGGACAGCGGCGGTGGTCAGTAAAAGTGGGACTTCAGAACAACAACTTTTTTTCTTTACCCAGGACCATCACTGTTGCTCTGTCTTTCTCGTTGTCGTAAGGTAAGCAATGAATGCATTAAGGAGTAATGCAGGTTTAGTAAAAAATATGATTTTCGTAAAACTTCAGCACACAAGAAAGAACCTACCTTCCATGCTGGACTCATGTATTCATGGCTATCTGTGAAGATCAGCTGAAAAATAAACATTGCAAGCACTATCAGGTCAAGAAACATTTTTTTTTTTTGACATGGGAAATGTGTAAATTATTCTTATTTCTTTGAAAAGGAGGTGAAACTGATTTCTTTCATAATGATATTCCTTCCTGTATCTGATCTGAGGCTTCACCAAACATGTCAACCAGCAGGTAAGCAAGAAAGACTTGACATGGCTTCAAAATAACCACACCAGCTTCCGTCTACTGACCTCCTGAATAACCACACTAGCTTCCATCTACTGACCTCTAGAATAACTACACCAGCTTCCGTCTACTGACCTCCTGAATAACTACACCAGCTTCCGTCTACTGACCTCCTGAATAACCACACTAGCTTCCATCTACTGACCTCCAGAATAACTACACCAGCTTCCGTCTACTGACCTCCTGAATAACTACACCAGCTTCCGTCTACCGACCTCCTGAATAACTACACCAGCTTCTGTCTACTGACCTCCAGAATAACTACACCAGCTTCTGTCTACCGACCTCCTGAATAACTACACCAGCTTCCGTCTACCGACCTCCTGAATAACTACACCAGCTTCCGTCTACTGACCTCCTGAATAACTACACCAGCTTCCGTCTACTGACCTCCTGAATAACTACACCAGCTTCCGTCTACTGACCTCCTGAATAACTACACCAGCTTCCGTCTACTGACCTCCTGAATAACTACACCAGCTTCCGTCTACTGACCTCCTGAATAACTACACCAGCTTCCGTCTACTGACCTCCTGAATAACTACACCAGCTTCCGTCTACCGACCTGAATAACTACACCAGCTTCCGTCTACCGACCTGAATAACTACACCAGCTTCCGTCTACTGACCTGAATAACTACACCAGCTTCCGTCTACCGACCTGAATAACTACACCAGCTTCCGTCTACTGACCTCCTGAATAACTACACCAGCTTCCGTCTACTGACCTCTAGAATAACTACACCAGCTTCCGTCTACTGACCTCCTGAATAACCACACCAGCTTCCGTCTACTGACCTCCTGAATAACCACACCAGCTTCCGTCTACTGACCTCCTGAATAACCACACAAGCTTCCGTCTACTGACCTCCTGAATAACTACACCAGCTTCCGTCTACTGACCTCCTGAATAAATACACTAGCTTCTCACTGACCTCCAGAATAACCACACCAGCTTCCGTCTACTGACCTCCTGAATAACTACACCAGCTTCCGTCTACTGACCTCCTGAATAACCATACCAGCTTCCATCTACTGACCTCCAGAATAACCACACCAGCTTCCGTCTACTGACCTCCTGAATAACTACACTAGCTTCCGTCTACTGACCTCCAGAATAACTACACTAGCTTCCGTCTACTGACCTCCAGAATAACCACACTAACTTCCGTCTACTGACCTCCAGAATAACCACACTAACTTCCGTCTACTGACCTCCTGAATAACTACACCAGCTTCCGTCTACCGACCTCCCGAATAACCACACTAACTTCCGTCTACTGACCTCCTGAATAACTACACCAGCTTCCGTCTACTGACCTCCAGAATAACTACACTAGCTTCCGTCTACTGACCTCCAGAATAACCACACTAACTTCCGTCTACTGACCTCCTGAATAACCATACCAGCTTCCATCTACTGACCTCCAGAATAACCACACCAGCTTCCGTCTACTGACCTCCTGAATAACTACACCAGCTTCCGTCTACCGACCTCCTGAATAACTACACCAGCTTCCGTCTACTGACCTCCTGAATAACAACACTAGCTTCCGTCTACCGACCTCCAGAATAACTACACCAGCTTCCGTCTACTGACCTCCAGAATAACTACACCAGCTTCCGTCTACTGACCTGAATAACTACACCAGCTTCCGTCTACTGACCTGAATAACTACACTAGCTTCCGTCTACTGACCTCCTGAATAACAACACTAGCTTCCATCTACTGACCTCCAGAATAACCACACCAGCTTCCGTCTACTGACCTCCTGAATAACTACACCAGCTTCCGTCTACTGACCTCGAGAATAACCACACTAGCTTCCGTCTACTGACCTCCAGAATAACTACACTAGCTTCCATCTACTGACCTCCAGAATAACCACACCAGCTTCCGTCTACTGACCTCCCGAATAACTACACCAGCTTCCGTCTACTGACCTCCAGAATAACCACACCAGCTTCCGTCTACTGACCTCCCGAATAACTACACTAGCTTCCGTCTACTGACCTCCAGAATAACCACACCAGCTTCCGTCTACTGACCTCCAGAATAACTACACTAGCTTCCGTCTACTGACCTCCCGAATAACCACACTAGCTTCCGTCTACTGACCTCCAGAATAACCACACTAGCTTCCGTCTACTGACCTCCAGAATAACTACACCAGCTTCCATCTACTGACCTCCAGAATAACTACACCAGCTTCCGTCTACTGACCTCCAGAATAACTACACCAGCTTCCGTCTACTGACCTCCTGAATAACTACACCAGCTTCCATCTACTGACCTCCATAATAACTACACCAGCTTCCGTCTACTGACCTCCTGAATAACTACACTAGCTTCCATCTACTGACCTCCAGAATAACTACACCAGCTTCCATCTACTGACCTCCAGAATAACTACACCAGCTTCCGTCTACTGACCTCCAGAATAACTACACCAGCTTCCATCTACTGACCTCCAGAATAAACACACTAGCTTCCGTCTACCGACCTCCTGAATAACAACACTACCTTCCATCTACTGACCTCCTGAATAACCACACTAACTTCCGTCTACTGACCTCCAGAATAACACTAGTTTCAATATACTGACATCAAGAATAACAACACTAACTTCATTCACACTAGCTTCCATCTACTGACCTCAATAATAACCACACTGGCTTCCATCTACTGACATCCATAATAACCACACTGGCTTCCATCTACTGACCTCCATAATAACCACACTGGCTCCCATCTACTGACCACAAAAATAACCACACTGGATTCCATCTACTGACCTCCAGATAACCACACTAACTTCCATATACTCACCATGCTCACCCCCAGAATATTCATTCACACCAGCTTCCGTCTACTGACCTCCAGAATAAACACACTAACTTCTGTCTACTCACCTCCGGCATAACCATACTAGCTTCCATCTACTGACCTCTGGCATAACCACACTAGCTTCAATCTACTGGCCTCCAGAGTAACCACACTGGCTCCCATCTACTGACCTCCTGAATAACCAAACTATCTTTCATCTACGGACCACCAGAAAAACAACACTGGCTCCTATCTACTGACCTCCAGAATAACAACACTAAATTCCGTCTACTGACCTGAATAACCACACTAGCTTCCGTCTACTGACCTGAATAACCAAACTATCTTTCATCTACGGACCACCAGAAAAACAACACTGGCTCCTATCCACTGACCTCCAGAATAACAACACTAAATTCCGTCTACTGACCTGAATAACCACACTATATTCCGTCTACTGACCTCCTGAATAACAACACTAACTTCCATCTACTCACCCCCAGAATATTAATTCACACTAGAGTCCATCTGCTGACCTCAAGAATAACCACACTGGATTCCATCTACTGACCTCCAGAATAACCACACTAACTTCCATCTACTTACCCCCAGAATATTAATTCACACTAGAGTCCATCTGCTGACCTCAAGAATAACCACACTGGATTCCATCTACTGACCTCCAGAATAACCACACTAACTTCCATATACTCACCATGCTCACCCCCAGAATATTCATTCACACCAGCTTCCGTCTACTGACCTCCTGAATAAACACACTAACTTCTGTCTACTCACCTCCGGCATAACCATACTAGCTTCCATCTACTGACCTCTGGCATAACCACACTAGCTTCCATCTACTGACTTCCTGAATAACAACACTAACTTCCATCTACTCACCCCCAGAATATTAATTCACACTAGAGTCCATCTGCTGACCTCAATAATAACCACACTAGCTTCCATCTACTCACCTCCGGCATAGCCACACTAGCTTCCATCTACTGACCTCCTGAATAACCAAACTATCTTTCATCTACGGACCTCCATAATAACCAAACTAGCCTCCATCTACTGACCTCCTGAATAACCAAACTATCTTTCATCTACGGACCACCAGAAAAACAACACTGGCTCCTATCTACTGACCTCCAGAATAACAACACTAAATTCCGTCTACTGACCTGAATAACCACACTAGCTTCCGTCTACTGACCTCCTGAATAACAACACTAACTTCCATCTACTCACCCCCAGAATATTAATTCACACTAGAGTCCATCTGCTGACCTCAATAATAACCACACTAGCTTCCATCTACTGACCTCCAGAATAACCACACTAACTTCCATCTACTGACCTCCAGAATAACCACACTGGCTTCCATCTACTGACCTCCATAATAACCAAACTAGCCTCCATCTACTCACCTCCGGCATAACCACGCTAGCTTCCATCTACTGACCTCCAGAATAACCACACTAGCTTCCATCTACTCACCTCCGGCATAGCCACACTGGCTTCCATCTACTGACCTCCATAATAACCAAACTAGCCTCCATCTACTCACCTCCGGCATAACCACGCTAGCTTCCATCTACTGACCTCTGGCATAACCACACTAGCTTCCATCTACTGGCCTCCAGAGTAACCACACTGGCTCCCATCTACTGACCTCCTGAATAACCAAACTATCTTTCATCTACGGACCACCAGAAAAACAACACTGGCTCCTATCTACTGACCTCCAGAATAACAACACTGGCTCCCATCTACTGACCTCCTGAATAACCAAACTGGCTCCCATCTACAGACCTCCTGAATAACCAAACTATCTTTCATCTACTGACCTCCAGAATAACAACACTGGCTCCTATCTACTGACCTCCAGAATAACAACACTGGCTCCTATCGACTGACCTCCAGAAAAACAACACTGGCTCCTATCTACTGACCTCCAGAATAACCACACTGGCTTCCATCTACTGACCTCCAGAATAACCAAACTAGCCTCCATCTACTCACCTCCGGCATAACCACACTAGCTTCCATCTACTGACCTCTGGCATAACCACACTAGCTTCCATCTACTGGCCTCCAGAGTAACCACACTGGCTCCCATCTACTGACCTCCTGAATAACCAAACTATCTTTCATCTACGGACCACCAGAAAAACTACACTGGCTCCTATCTACTGACCTCCAGAATAACAACACTGGCTCCCATCTACTGACCTCCTGAATAACCAAACTGGCTCCCATCTACAGACCTCCTGAATAACCAAACTATCTTTCATCTACTGACCTCCAGAATAACAACACTGGCTCCTATCTACTGACCTCCAGAATAACAGCACTGGCTCCTATCGACTGACCTCCAGAATAACAGCACTGGCTCCCATCTACTGACCTCCAGAATAACCACACTGGCTTTCATCACCATCTCACAGAACAGCCGGGCCTCGTATGCTCCGTACTCAAACTGCTTCTGGGGCCCTCTGTTTTCCACACTCTCAGACAGCTGGCGACATGCTGACAGCACCGTCTAGGAAAACAAATAAATTTCAAAGTAGATTATTTTTACCAATTAATTTACAGTGTTTGTGAATTTATCTAAAACTAAAACAAGACTTTCTATATAACCTAGAGCAGTCATTGTGGACAATCAAGGTAAGTAAACAAACAGTGGCTGAATATTTCTTCCTATTTCTATTTATCACAAACTTTATGTCCAATGTTTTACATTTATTTACAGAAAAACATAAAAAAACACATGTGAGCCGTGAAGATGCGGGGAAGAATAGGTCTCCAGAAACCCATGCTTCCAATTAAAAGGCGACTATGCTTGTCGTAAGAGGCGACTAACGGGATCGGGTGGTCAGGCTCACTGACTCGGTTGATGCATGTCATCGTATCCCAATTGCGTGGATCGATGCTCATGATGTCAATCAATGGATTGTCTGGTCCAGACTCAATTGTTTACAGACCGCCGTCATACAGCTGGAATATTGCTGAGTTCGGCGTTAAACAACAAACAACAAGCAACAACAACTAAAAACACATGTAATCATAGAGAGTGAGTGAGTGAGCGGCTAACTTGGTTTTAACGCTGCTTTGAACAGTATTCCACTTATATCACAGAGTGTCAGGTTATTGTGGGAGGAAAGCCCAAAGTGATGCAGAACTAAGATATTTACAACTTCGGTGAAACCAATGAGCACCGGTACGGAGCTGACAAACCTTGAAACATAATCATAGAATTCTGGGACACTTTAAATGTCTGGGTTGTCCTTGTGACCTAATCATAGAATTCTGTGACACTTTAAATGTCTGGGTTGTCCATGTGGCCTAATCATAGAATTCTGTGACACTTTAAATGTCTGGGTTGTCCATGTGCCCTAATCATAGAATTCTGTGACACTTTAAATGTCTGGGTTGTCCATGTGCCCTAATCATAGAATTCTGTGACACTTTAAATGTCTGGGTTGTCCATGTGCCCTTATCATAGAATTCTGGGACACTTTAAATGTCTGGGTTGTCCATGTGCCCTAATCATAGAAAGGACAACACTTGAGGAAAGCAACATAAAATCTCCCACCTACCATGTTTGGTTCAGCATACACCACCATGTAATCGACATCACTGTCAGGGGTAGATAACCCATACATGTAGCTCCCTGCCCGGGCCACCAGGAGTATTTGGCTGGGCTCCATCTTCTTGACTGGTCCTCCGATCATCTCCATCAGCTTCACCAGACTCGAGCGCTCATCCTCAATACCTGCACAGAGAACGACTCTCTCACAACTATATTACACATGAGGGCTGGACATAGTGATCACTGTACTTAAGGTGGACTTGTATAGCCGATATGCTGGACATAGTGATCACTGTACTTAAGGTGGACTTGTAGAGCTGATATGCTGGACATAGTGATCACTGTACTTAAGGTGGACTTGTAGAGCTGATACGCTTAGCAGATTGTTTGGATCCATTTAACAATGGTCACAAAATGAACCCCTCCTTTTACTAACTTCCTCTTCCACACATGCACGGCATCAGGGCTAGATGGTCAGACTGGTGACACATCGCGACCCCTAATCAGAGATAGATGATAAGACAGGTGGCACATCACGACCCCCAATAAGGGCTAGATGATAAGACAGGTAGCACATAGCGACCCCTAATCAGAGATAGATGATTAAATAGGTGGCACATAGCAACCCCCAATCAGAGATAGATGATAAGACAGGTGGCACATCGCGACCCCTAATCAGGGCTAGATGATAAGACAGGTGGCACATTGCGACCCCCAATCAGAGATAGATGATAAGACAGGTGGCACATCGCGACCCCTAATCAGGGCTAGATGATTAGATAGGTGGCACATAGCGACCCCCAATCAGAGATAGATGATAAGACAGTTGGCACATCGCGACCCCTAATCAGGGCTAGATGATAAGACAGGTGACACATAGCGACCCCTAATCAGAGATAGATGATAAGACAGGTGGCACATAGCGTAACCTAATCAGTGCTAGATGATCAGACCGGAGACATGTTAAGACCCCAAATCAGTGCTAAATGGTCAGGCAGATGACACATTGCGACCCCCAATCAGGGCTAGATGATCAGACAGATGACACATCGTGACCCACCAATCAGTGATAAATGGTCATACAGATGACGCATCACAACCTCCAATCAGGGCAAGATGATCAGACAGGTGACACATCGTGACCCACCAATCAGTGCTAAATGGTCATACAGATGACACATCGTAACCTCCATCAGGGCAAGATGATCAGACAGGTGACACATCGTGACCCACCAATCAGTGATAAATGGTCAGGCAGATGACGCATCTCAACCTCCAGTCAGGGCTAGATGATCAGACAGGTGACACATCGTGACCAACCAATCAGTGATAAATGGTCATACAGATGACGCATCGCAACCTCCAATCAGGGCAAGATGATCAGACGGGTGACACATCGTGACCCACCAATCAGTGCTAAATGGTCATACAGATGACACATCGTAACCTCCAATCAGGGCAAGATGATCAGACAGGTGACACATCGTGACCCCCAATCAGGGCCAGATGGTCAGATAGATGACACATCGTGACCCCCCAATCAGGGCCAGATGGTCAGATAGATGACACATCGCAGCCTCCAATCAGTGCCAGATGGTCAGAGAGATGACACATCGTAACCTCCCAATCAGGGCCAGATGGTCAGATAGATGACACATCGTGACCCCCCAATCAGGGCCAGATGGTCAGATAGATGACACATCGTGACCCCCCAATCAGGGCCAGATGGTCAGATAGATGACACATCGCAGCCTCCAATCAGGGCCAGATGGTCAGATAGATGACACATCGTAACCTCCAATCAGGTCATCAGGGCTAGATGATCAGACTAGACAACATAGTGTGACCCTTTCATCCACAAGCATGCCATAAGAACAGTGATGGTACTTGGGTTTAACAATGCAGCTAAGACTTGGATGTATTCGCAAGTGCATGATTTTAAAATTAGGCACTTATTCTTTGGTATCTATGGTATTTATGACAGGGTTCCTGTGCAAACACACTGGGCATAAATACATGGGAACATGTCTTGTCAGAGACACAACAAAGACAAGACACAGCGTACATAATCTTAAAGTGTCAGAACGGTTGTGTGTGAGACATGATATTTCCTAAAACAAACATGGGACAGAGAAAACTATGTATCCCTGATCTTGCATTTCACGTGTTATGTTTAACTAAGGAGACTTTGATCTACGACTGTTAAACAAACTACATCTGAATCACCGGTCGACAGTCTCAACATCAGCCCAGCAGGCACATCTGGGAACTGTGTCCAGGAACTGTGTACATACATGTGAGAGGATGGAGTTGTCTCCCTTGTAGCCTCATCGACGCCATCCAGCCACCAATGACTTGTTCTAATTCTGCTGGCTTTGAAAACTGGAATGACTTGAGCTTAGCATCAAGTTCCTCTTTCCATTCGACGAGGATGGGGAAGAACTCGTGTTTGGTACCCCCACCTTCCTGTAAAACACAAACATCCAACAATCATGATCACACTCATCAGCACTAGGAAACTAGGCAGATGTAAACAAACCTTTTACAAATTTCATCTTTGATTGGGAATTAAATATTTTTCATGCGCCTTTGGCCCTATGTGGGCCAATTTTAACATGTATGTTACATAAATTTTACCCTGTGTTGCATTGGTAATTGTAACAGGCCATAAATTAATTACAAGAAAACAGCATATTATCACTATCCCCTGCCATGGGGCACACGAGAATTTTATTTGTTCAATTTAAGTGAATATAAAAAATAAACAAAGAGTCCGAAAAAGTCTGAAGAAGAGATAGGCACAAGGGTTGTGTAGAAACAAAGTTGAAAAGCATGGAGCAAGGGACATAACTCTGTACAAAAAATATGTTACCGCATCAAATTTCGAACTCAGTCTTGACAAGTATTTCTTATTTAAGAAAACAAACTTTCATTCATATAGTTTCAATAGTTTCTGAGAAAACATGTCCCCATTTCATGCAGTATGCACTAAGTTGAAAAGCACACAGCAAAAAATATTTTTTATTTCCTCTCACACTACGTTAGAAGTTTTTAAGATAAATTTTCAACAGGTTTAATTGTAGTTTTTTAAATAATGTATAAAGTAATTGAGTTTGGCTAAAACATTTTACTTATTTCTGGTCAGCGGATTAAAGTCATTTCATTGTTAGTCATTTCATTGGTCTGTCGTAGTTCCCGAAAGGTAGTCTGACGTGACCTGTAATGGAATGTCCTCGGCGATAGTGAGAACTTGCATCTGATTTTAATGAGATTGAGGTAATCTAAGCATTAATTGTTTATTGTTAAGCAGGTTTATCTCTGCAGCGGTTGTAATATGTATATATATTATGTGAATACAACATGACCTTAACCACAGCATCACTTCATGATGTAAATCTATGGTTCTTGGGTATATGGGTGAGTGAGGTTTAACACCGTTTTGAATAGTACTTCAGTTATATCATGTTAGCTTGGTGAGCGAGAAAAGCTCTGAGCAACGTAGGTCCCACATGTTGACCACTTCAGTGAAACCCACGAAAACGAGTATGGTGCTGACAAACCAAGAAACATAATCATGACAAATGTTGGATTCAAACCTATAATCACAGGTTTCTGGAATGCCAAAAGAATTCAACTCCACGCTGTGCCCCAGATTACTTGGACTACAGTGACCAGCCGCTCTATTCATGCCGTTCTCGCAATTACTGCTCATGGCCATCTATAGTACGAGATTTTAGTATCTTGCAGTGGGGTAGAAGAGTGGGGGCGGAGTGGGCAAGCGGTCAAAAGCCCCATGTTAGCAAGCACCAGGTGCTGAGATCATATCCTGCTAGTGTCCGGGTTGTTATTCAGCCTTGGAACCAACAATGTTTACAGGTGTTTATAGTGTTGTCACTACCCCTAGTGTACAGTACATACACCCTGTGCACTCGAAAGAACCCACTTGTCCAATGGTAGATGACCAGATGGTGGAAACACGAATACGTACATATACCCGAAACACAAGTGTAAACACGCGTGGTGTCCCTCTGGGCAAGTGACTTGGTTCAAATGTGCCTCTGGTCACGCAGCTGGGAATGGTTACCCGATATGTGAGGTTGATGTAAAAACCTCTAGTAACCCTGGGCAGCTTGGGTTGTACTTCCTTAGGGAGTTGAGAATGATAACTGGAATGCAAACGGATCCACTGGTCGGGGATCAAATAAAACCGCATTTGAGCAGACACTAGTACCTGGATATCTGCGGTATAAAAATGGATAGTATAAAATTTTAAATCTTACATGATTTTACTAGCTGTTTCAGATAGTTATATACAGTATCCCAAGCCATCACTATTCTAAATATATCGCTGGATCAACTAGTTTCATGGAGTCACAGGATCACCTTCATAGCGATAGAATATCCGATATTCTGAACGTCATAAACCACCTGTCATGACATACCTCAGAGCTCCAGATAACTTTTTGAGCAGTTGAGTTTTTACTCTAGGGTTTCTATCTTAATTGGGTTTTTTACAATTTTCATTTGGTAACCAATATTTTTTCACTCATCTATTCATCACTCTATTGGGTTTTTTGCCAAATTAGTGAACGTTTTAAGATTTAAAAAAAAATGAAATAATGTTTTTAGATGTATATAACTGTGCAAAATATAGAGGCTTGAAAGTAAATTAGCCCCTTTGTACGTATCCTGAAAAAGCTTTATTGGGTATTTACGCACGATGTTTTTATACCTTTGAGTTTTTCATTTAATGCATGCGATTTTGAACGCAAGTTAATTGAAAGTAATTGGGTTTTGAATATTTGTGGGGGAGTATTTTACGCAAATACGCTTCTTATCTGTAGCTCTGATACCTACAACTCAGTAAACATCAGTGTCGGAAATAACTGCCTGCCGCCTGCCCATAGCTGGTTACTTTTCTGTCGGGCTGATTGAAACCTTCCACCTTCCCGAATGTCTGGCAGATAATTTTAAGATTACTTACGCATTCAGTTTTATCACATCTCCTTGTAGATTCTCAAATAATTGTTTGCATTATTTCAACAGAATCAAGATCTTATTTGTCTCTTATTTTATTGGACATTCTTTAATATTTAAAATGTCTGAATGCTTGTAGGTAACTTTGAAGATGGACAGGCAACACTAATGGGACATTTGACTGACTGTCTTGTTGGGTTTTAAAATTTCAAACACTGGTAAACATGTCTTACCTGATACATTGACTTGAGGATGTCCAATGCTTTCCTGCCTATGTCAGACAAGTCTCCCTCCACCACCTGACTACAGACAGACCGCCCGGCCAGGACCCGCTCAAGGTGGTGCAGGAGTCTACACAACACAGTAACAACGTGTCAGACAAGTCACCCTCCTCCACCTGACTACAGACCGACCGCCTGGCCAGGACCCGCTCAAGGTGGTGCAGGAGTCTACACAACACAGTAACAATGTGTCAGACAAGTCTCCCTCCTCCACCTGACTACAGACAGAACGCCCAGCCAGGACCCGCTCAAGGTGGTGCAGGACACTACACAACACAGTAACAATGTGTCAGACAAGTCTCCCTCCTCCACCTGACTACAGACAAACCGACCGGCCAGGACCCGCTCAAGGTGGTGCAGGAGTCTACACAACACAGTAACAATGTGTCAGACAAGTCTCCCTCCTCCACCTGACTACAGACAGACCACCCGGCCAGGACCCGCTCAAGGTGGTGCAGGAGTCTACACAACACAGTAACAATGTGTCAGACAAGTCATCCTCCACCTGACTACACACAGACTGCCTGGCCAGGACCCGCTCAAGGTGGTGCAGGAGTCTAAACCATACAGTAACAACGCATAAGACAAGTCTCCCTCCACCACCTGACTACACACAGACCGACCGGCCAGGACCCGCTCAAGGTGGTGCAGGAGTCTACACAACACAGTAACAATGTGTCAGACAAGTCTCCCTCCTCCACCTGACTACAGACAGACCGACCGGCCAGGACCCGCTCAAGGTGGTGCAGGAGTCTACACCATACAGTAACAACGCATAAGACAAGTCTCCCTCCACCACCTCACTACAGACAGACCATCCGGCCAGGACCCGCTCAAGGTGGTGCAGGTGTCTACACAACACAGTAACAACGCATAAGACAAGTCTCCCTCCTCCACCTGACAACACACAGACCACCCGGCCAGGACCCGCTCAAGGTGGTGCAGGAGTCTACACAACACAGTAACAATGTGTCAGACAAGTCTCCCTCCACCACCTGACTACAGACAAACCATCCAGCCAGGACCCGCTCAAGGTGGTGCAGGAGTCTACACCATACAGTAACAATGTGTCAGACAAGTCACCCTCCTCCACCTGACAACAGACAGACCGCCCCACCAGGACCTGCTCAAGGTGGTGCAGGAGTCTACACAACACAGTAACAATGTGTCAGACAAGTCATCCTCCCTCCTCCACCTGACAACAGACAGACCGCCCAGCCAGGACCCGCTCAAGGTGGTGCAGGAGTCTGCACAACAAAGTAACAACGTGTCAGACAAGTCATCCTCCACCACCTGACTACACACAGACCGCCCGGCCAGGACCCGCTCAAGGTGGTGCAGGAGTCTGCACAACAAAGTAACAATGTGTCAGACAAGTCTCCCTCCTCCACCTGACTACAGACAGCCCATCCGGCCAGGACCTGCTCAAGGTGGTGCAGGAGTCTACACAACACAGTAACAATGTGTCAGACAAGTCTCCCTCCTCCACCTGACTACAGACAGACCACCCGGCCAGGACCCGCTCAAGGTGGTGCAGGAGTCTACACAACACAGTAACAACGCATAAGACAAGTCATCCTCCTCCACCTGACTACAGACAGACTGCCCGGCCAGGACCCGATCAAGGTGGTGCAGGAGTCTACACAACACAGTAACAATGTGTCAGACAAGTCATCCTCCCTCCTCCACCTGACAACAGACAGACCGCCCAGCCAGGACCCGCTCAAGGTGGTGCAGGAGTCTGCACAACAAAGTAACAACGTGTCAGACAAGTCATCCTCCACCACCTGACTACACACAGACCGCCCGGCCAGGACCCGCTCAAGGTGGTGCAGGAGTCTGCACAACAAAGTAACAATGTGTCAGACAAGTCTCCCTCCTCCACCTGACTACACACAGACCACCCGGCCAGGACCTGCTCAAGGTGGTGAAGGTGTCTACACAACACAGTAACAACGCATAAGACAAGTCTCCCACCTCCACCTGACTACACACAGACCACCCGGCCAGGACCTGCTCAAGGTGGTGAAGGTGTCTACACAACACAGTAACAACGCATAAGACAAGTCTCCCTCCTCCACCTGACTACAGACAGACCACCCGGCCAGGACCCGCTCAAGGTGGTGCAGGAGTCTACACAACACAGTAACAATGTGTCAGACAAGTCTCCCTCCTCCACCTGACTACAGACAGACCACCCGGCCAGGACCCGCTCAAGGTGGTGCAGGAGTCTACACAACACAGTAACAATGTGTCAGACAAGTCATCCTCCACCTGACTACACACAGACTGCCTGGCCAGGACCCGCTCAAGGTGGTGCAGGAGTCTAAACCGTACAGTAACAACGCATAAGACAAGTCTCCCTCCACCACCTGACTACACACAGACCGACCGGCCAGGACCCGCTCAAGGTGGTGCAGGAGTCTACACAACACAGTAACAATGTGTCAGACAAGTCTCCCTCCTCCACCTGACTACAGACAGACCGACCGGCCAGGACCCGCTCAAGGTGGTGCAGGAGTCTACACCATACAGTAACAACGCATAAGACAAGTCTCCCTCCACCACCTCACTACAGACAGACCATCCGGCCAGGACCCGCTCAAGGTGGTGCAGGTGTCTACACAACACAGTAACAACGCATAAGACAAGTCTCCCTCCTCCACCTGACAACACACAGACCACCCGGCCAGGACCCGCTCAAGGTGGTGCAGGAGTCTACACAACACAGTAACAATGTGTCAGACAAGTCTCCCTCCACCACCTGACTACAGACAAACCATCCAGCCAGGACCCGCTCAAGGTGGTGCAGGAGTCTACACCATACAGTAACAATGTGTCAGACAAGTCACCCTCCTCCACCTGACAACAGACAGACCGCCCCACCAGGACCTGCTCAAGGTGGTGCAGGAGTCTACACAACACAGTAACAATGTGTCAGACAAGTCATCCTCCCTCCTCCACCTGACAACAGACAGACCGCCCAGCCAGGACCCGCTCAAGGTGGTGCAGGAGTCTGCACAACAAAGTAACAACGTGTCAGACAAGTCATCCTCCACCACCTGACTACACACAGACCGCCCGGCCAGGACCCGCTCAAGGTGGTGCAGGAGTCTGCACAACAAAGTAACAATGTGTCAGACAAGTCTCCCTCCTCCACCTGACTACACACAGACCACCCGGCCAGGACCTGCTCAAGGTGGTGAAGGTGTCTACACAACACAGTAACAACGCATAAGACAAGTCTCCCTCCACCACCTGACTACAGACAGACCGACTGGCCAGGACCCGCTCAAGGTGGTGCAGGAGTCTACACAACACAGTAACAATGTGTCATACAAGTCATCCTCCCTCCTCCACCTGACTACAGACAGACCACCCGGCCAGGACCCGCTCAAGGTGGTGCAGGAGTCTACACAACACAGTAACGATGTGTCAGACAAGTCATCCTCCTCCACCTGACTACAGACAGACCGCCCAGCCAGGACCCGCTCAAGGTGGTGCAGGAGTCTACACAACACAGTAACAATGTGTCAGACAAGTCATCCTCCCTCCTCATCCTGACTACAGACAGACCATCCGGCCAGGACCCGCTCAAGGTGGTGCAGGAGTCTACACAACACAGTTACAACGCATAAGACAAGTCTCCCTCCACCACCTGACTACAGACAGACCGACCAGCCAGGACCCGCTCAAGGTGGTGCAGGAGTCTACACAACACAGTAACAATGTGTCAGACAAGTCATCTTCCCTCCTCCACCTGACTACAGACAGACCACCCGGCCAGGACCCGCTCAAGGTGGTGCAGGAGTCTACACAATCCAGTAACAATGTGTCAGACAAGTCATCCTCCCTCCTCATCCTGACAACAGACAGACCACACGGCCAGGACCCGCTTAAGGTGGTGCAGGAGTCTACACAACACAGTAACAATGTGTCAGACAAGTCATCCTCCCTCCTCCACCTGACAACAGACAGACCACCCGGCCAGGACCCGCTCAAGGTGGTGCAGGAGTCTACACAATACAGTAACGATGTGTCAGACAAGTCATCCTCCTCCACCTGACTACAGACAGACCGCCCGGCCAGGACCTGCTCAAGGTGGTGCAGGAGTCTACACAACACAGTAACAATGTGTCAGACAAGTCATCCTCCCTCCTCCACCTGACTACAGACAGCCCATCCGGCCAGGACCTGCTCAAGGTGGTGCAGGAGTCTACACAACACAGTAACAATGTGTCAGACAAGTCTCCCTCCTCCACCTGACTACAGACAGACCACCCGGCCAGGACCCGCTCAAGGTGGTGCAGGAGTCTACACAACACAGTAACAACGCATAAGACAAGTCATCCTCCTCCACCTGACTACAGACAGACTGCCCGGCCAGGACCCGATCAAGGTGGTGCAGGAGTCTACACAACACAGTAACAATGTGTCAGACAAGTCATCCTCCCTCCTCCACCTGACAACAGACAGACCGCCCAGCCAGGACCCGCTCAAGGTGGTGCAGGAGTCTGCACAACAAAGTAACAACGTGTCAGACAAGTCATCCTCCACCACCTGACTACACACAGACCGCCCGGCCAGGACCCGCTCAAGGTGGTGCAGGAGTCTGCACAACAAAGTAACAATGTGTCAGACAAGTCTCCCTCCTCCACCTGACTACACACAGACCACCCGGCCAGGACCTGCTCAAGGTGGTGAAGGTGTCTACACAACACAGTAACAACGCATAAGACAAGTCTCCCACCTCCACCTGACTACACACAGACCGCCCGGCCAGGACCTGCTCAAGGTGGTGCAGGAGTCTACACAACACAGTAACAATGTGTCAGACAAGTCATCCTCCCTCCTCATCCTGACTACAGACAGACCACACGGCCAGGACCCGCTTAAGGTGGTGCAGGAGTCTACACAACACAGTAACAATGTGTCAGACAAGTCATCCTCCCTCCTCCACCTGACTACAGACAGACCAACCGGCCAGGACCTGCTCAAGGTGGTGCAGGAGTCTACACAACACAGTAACAACGCATAAGACAAGTCTCCCTCCACCACCTGACTACAGAC